CTAAGTCCACAGAAACACTCAAAAGCGCGTTTCAGCCACAAAAAGCAAGTATATAGCATAAAGTAAGTAAGACTAGCAAGTACAGTTGGTCCAGCGACTCAAGACCGTCAAAATGTGCCACAGCAAAGTTCAAACACACTACCAGATGAAAAACATATACTCACATTATAAAGTGCAGTGCGTGGGAGCCCTCTGTAGGGTGGCAGCCCCGCAGGGAGCAATCCTGTTGCACAGTGCTGAGCATGCAATGCCAACTGCGCTCAAAGCCGCCGCTGCCGCCGTTGCGACCGCCAGCAGATGCCCGTGGGCAGAGGCATGCGAGGCCACCCCAAAAGTTGAGGACGGCGACTGAGGGGTCCATGCACACATTTATATTGATGACGAGGCGACAAGAGGTGGCGAGGCTATATCAGTCGGGGGATGCTGGTGGTGTGGTGAACGTCTATGGTCCAGCGTTGGCATCAAGGGAGTAGTGAGTCAGCGGAGTGAAGGCGGTGATGCAACAAAAGGCGGCAGTTTCTAGCTCCGCCATCAGCAAACAAGTACAAATGTTGAACTTAGCGTCTTCTCGCGGATTCTTTCCTGTCCTTTGTTCCTTCACGCTTTGCTTCGTTGCCTCCACCCTCGCCCTCGCAGCTCCCTCACTAGCACTGGTGGGCCCTCTTCCCCTTGCGTTCTCCCTCCCTCACCCTCGTTCTGGCCCTGGATTGTGCCCTCACCGTCTCCGGTGAGTAGTAGACCGACACTGCTATGCTTGCTGGCTTGACCACCACCCAGCAGACCCTCGGTGCCGCACAGCAGTACTCGACGGGCTCTGAGTCCCAACAGTTCCCTACCGACGGCCTCATGGGCATGGGCTACCCCGCCATCTCCTCCTACGGCGCCTTGCCCGTCTTCAACACGTTCGTCTCCCAGGGCCAGACCGACGCGGGCGTCTTCGGCTTCAAGCTGACCTCGTCCGGCGCCGAGCTCACCATCGGCAGCGTTGGCCAGTCCGCTGTGTCCGGCGACTTTACCTACGCGCCCGTCACATAGCAGGGCTACTGGCAGATCACCGCCGACGACATCTTCTTGGGCGGCCAACAGGGTGTCGGCCAGTTCGATGCCATCGCCGACAACAGCACCACGCTCATCATCGGAATCCTCAACAATTTTGCCTCGTTCTACGAGGCCATCAGTGGCTAGGATGTGTCGAGCACCCTCGGCGAGGGCTACTACACCACATTCGACTTTAACAACCACGAGGTTGGCCCAAAGCGTGTATGTGTCCTTTCATAAGCCTATTTGCGTGATGTCGATACTAATGGGCTTCCACAGGTGTCTTTGGTCTTACCTTCTGTGCCAGCCAAAGAGGCCTATCACGAAATCTTTTCTCATGGTGTGTGCTCATTCTTACTGCTGGCTCTAGGTAGTGTTGTGCAGGGCCAGGCCTGAAGCCCTAAAGCCCTCGGGCCAAGCCCTGTATAGGCCAAGCCCTGCCCGAGCCCTGGCTAGGGCTTTTGAGGGCCTAGGGCCTGGCCTGGGTTGTTGCAAAGCCCGAGCCCAGGGCCTAAGCCAGGGCCTGTAGCTAAAAAATTGAAAAATGTTAGTATGACTGTACAACTACTCTAGTAACAAAAGGTTGTATAACTTGAACTTAAGTATTAGCTAGTGTACGATGTTTTTATTGATTGTGGGAAATTCTAATCAAAGTGTGCTGTGTCCTGATCTAACAATGGCATTATCTGACTCACTTGCCCTTCAATTAGAATATAGCCTTGAGAGTTCAGTAAATAAGGTGATGTTTGACCCAGCAGGTTACTAATGTCCCAAAGACAGTTATGGTGCAAACAATGAAGCTGAAAACACCTCAGCACCTCAGGCTCAAGGATTTCATGCTTATCTTGGCTCTGAGATGCCTCTTCCAGAAGAGATATCTATTGTCCATTGGTGGGGTGTAAGTTATCTTGTTGTATCACATTTTATGGTTCTAATCAGTGCTACGGTTGAATTTTCCTTTGTACCTTATTTGGGGATCACTTTCATGCAGCTACCTGTCCATTATGGCCTCTTCAGTGTCCAATGAGCGTGCTTTTCATGCAGCTGCTGAAATAATCACAAAAGGGTGCAATCACATTGGTGGAGATGGTGTTGAAGCTATTCAGGTGTTGAGAACACTCTGCTGCCAGGAATTAATTTTCCATGAGCTAGGGCCATCCTCAGCAACTGAGTTATCCTTCGAGAAGACTGAGGGCAATGTTATTGATGAAATGACTGTTGAGAAGCATGATGATGAGCTTGGAGACTTAATTTTAGGTATTTCAGACAATGAGAACCATTGAGATTTGGATGAATAAGTGTCTTTTACTACAGTGATTATTGAGACACAATCAAAAGTCAATGTCTTCACTGTTTTTTACTGTCTGATTGATCCTGATAGCTTCATTGAGTAGAAAATGGACCGCTCCAATTTTTTATGCACAAAGGAAGCAAAATACATGATTTTATAGTGAAAGCCCTGGCCTAGGCCCAAGCCAAGCCCGAGCCAAGCCCTGGCCCTATGTCAGGGCCTGGCCTAGGTTTTTGCAAAGCCCGAGCCCTCAAAAGCCAGGCCAAAGCCAGGGCTTTCAGGCCAAGCCCGGCCCTGCACAACACTAGCTCTAGGTCGAGTGCCCTTGTGAATGAGCCATACCAGCATGATCCGAAGCCTAATGCACAGAACAGTGGCTGGGCACGTCTATATTTCGCCTTGCTTTCCGGCTCTTTCTCTCTACTTAATGTATGATTCATATCTACTTGTGTTGTAATTATGAATGCAATACAGCAGTTTCCGAACGCTTGCTTTTAGCCCCTTGGAAGCCACTTTCTATCAATCAGCCCTGAAAAGTGCGCAAAAAGCGGCGTGTAGTAATCCTGATGGGCCAATGACAACGAAAATTTATCAAAATTCGAAGAGATTTCAGCAAAGTTGTCGCGATCATCAAAGGGGGGCTGCAGTGTTTCGTAAAATTCTCATCCCACCAAAATTATGAAAACTTGACCAAAATTTGGCCAGTTTCGCATGACTATAGGGAAGTTCGGGCAATTACTAACAGTAGGTTTTTCCTGATGATGAATTTCTGCTCAGCATTTCTTTGACATCTCGCTCACCGGTAGAGCACTGATACATGCAGTTGTAAGCAAAATGTGGCCTGCCCCATAATTACTGATAGTAAGTGTATCATAGGCCGATCATTAGACATGCTTTCCCTCGTGCTAGGTCCTATGGTGGTTTTTTTCTTCTACAAGGTAGGGCTGTGGATATCATCCAAGTTTACAAGGTCCCATAACAATGGTCTAGGGATGATGAGCGTACTGGTGTATGCCCTTCTCGGGAAATCGCGCATAACTCTTCTCATGCTCCTCGGCTGCTTTGTAATTGCTCAGGCAGCTAACGTTGGATTCAGGGTTCCTATGATCATGGGAGCCTTTGGAAACAATGGTTAGTGACTGAAATGCTTTATATAAAACACCCTCATTGATATTGTGCCGATGAAGATGGCATTTACTATTGCTTCATCCCTTCTCCTAAAGGAATGGTGTGGACACAGTCAGCAGGATCAGCAATGTCGATGGCATACGAGGTCATCCTCTGCATATTGTCTCTGACACATGCACTAAGGCAGCTGTCTTATGTTCCTTCGTTATGGTCAAACCCATTCCGCTCGATTAACACTTTGTTCTGGATTATTTTCCGGGATAACCTGGCGTATGTTTTTGTGTAAGAGCACTAATTTGTATCTCTACGCCGTGTTATCCCTGACTGCTTTTTTAAGAGTTTTGATTGATATGATTCTCAGCATAACCAGCACATATCTCAGCCCCGTAAGCAACGGAAACCCTGATGATGATACCATACTAACCCGCAATCATATTCAGCCCCAAATCGGTGCCTTCGTCAGCAGCAATTTGAACAACTTTTCCTATGGATTAGTATACGGGTTGGTTGGGCCCTGGATGATTATAAATCTCCGAAAGTGCTACGAGAGAGATCTCAACCAATGCGTTGAATCTCATGAGCTCACGGAGGTAATTTTTGCGAGTCGCCGAGGCACACAGCACGATGTATGACCAGTTAACTACCAACACCCCGTCTCGATTCCTTTACTTTATCCTCTCCGCATCCTTGCACCCTTTCGTACTTAGACTGGTTCCCCCGCCACCACCACGCCATTCCGTTGGGGGTGGCTTTTTGTTTCACCATTCCTACAGATTTCATACTACTACTTGCTCCGTTGTATCGCGTAGTACCTTACATACAGTCTCGTCTGCCATAGAGCGCCGCCCCAGACGATAATAAACGAATATTTCTGTTCTACTACTACTATGTATAACTACAAACTTCTTAGCTCGAACGTGAATCGGAACGTGAAAGCGGATGGACACTGGCCATTTCAGGATGGCGTCTTGCGAGGAGGAGCAGGTGGCTTCAGCAACGAGAAGAGGAGTAAAACGCCAGTTGGTCCTCCTGCTACTGGCAGCTTCGAGAGCTCCATATCCTTTTTCAGGTGAGGCTCCAGTGCGCCTTGCCAGGCTGGTCGCGTGGCGGGTTGACACTCAAACGATCAAGCTTGACATTCACGAATGACGGGAGCACGACGAAAACAAGACAAGAAACGGTTATAGATTCTCTTCGCCAATCCCGGCGAAGCTAGCCAGCACCCTGTCGCGCAGCACCTACTCAGCTGCGATAGTCCCCGTTGATCCGCACATACTCCTGTAAACGCCAACGCCGCAAATCAGCCCCCAGTTCACCCGCCACTCGTAGAAAGTGAAAGCAAAGAAGCACTCACGTAGCTGAAATCGCACGTCCAGCATCTCCCCTCCTCACTACCCACGCCCAGATCCAACACAATCCCGAAGTCCTCCTCACCCAAAAGAACCTTCGCATGCTCCTCGCTGAACCCGATCGGCTCGCCGCCCTGGAGCACCTCGAGATCCTTGATCTTCCCTTGCGCGTCGCGGAACTGCGCGCCGGGCGTGGACGAAGAAACAGGCGGCTTTGAAGCGAGCTCCGAGGGGGTTACGGAAGGCGTGAACCTGGGCGATGACGGAGATGGAGGAGTGGAGGAAGACGTGGGGTTGGAAGTGAAGGTGACGCTGACGCGCGAGGGGTCGATCGGGGTGGAGAGGCGGGCGGCGACGGAGCCGGTGGCGGAGAGAATGCGGCCCCAGCTGGGTGGAGGGTATCATGTCAGGAAGTAAACTTTGGGTAAGGGATGCGACGTACTTTGCGTCTTCGCCATATAGCGCGGTCTTGACGAGCGCCGAGGTGGAGATGGCACGTGCGATGAGGTTTGCGTCTTCGAATGTTGCTGCGCCCTACGTACGTGCGCGTATACGCATGTGATATGGACAAAATGAACGCATACGACGCACCTTGACCTTGACCTCGACGAACTTCGTCGCGCCCTCGCCGTCCCTAACCACCAGCTGCGCGAGATCGCCCGCGATGCCCGTGAGTGCATCCCGGAACGCCTTGAACGCAGCCGGATCGCCCTCCTCGGTAATCTCAACCACGTTCTCGACCTCTCCTATCGCACCAGCGCTAGCGGCGCCCGAGGTAGTGACAGTGGTATCCAGGCCCTTGGCGTCGCTCTCGCCCGCCTGACCTTGTATTTCCAGGGCAGCAGTGAGCGTCGCGAGCGTCGGCGGGCTCTCGAGCGCGCCGGCACCGTTAGCGAGAAGAATGACCGTGTCGTTCGTCGACTCGGCGCCATCGACGGAGATAGTGTTGAACGACCGAGCGATAGCGTACTCCAGCGCGCTCTGCAGCGCCTTCGGCGCCACCGGCGCGTCCGTAAGAATCAGACCCAGAAGCGTCGCGTGTGCGCCCTTTGGTGGCGCAGGCCCCGCCGACGCCTGACCGAGGAAAGGCGTGCCCTTGAATGTCGATGGTTGAGGCGAGCCCATGTCGGGATGGATCATCCCCGCGCCCTTGTCCATGCCTGCGATACGGTACGTCTTCCCGCCCATCTCGAACGTCCTCGCGCGCAGCTTGGGGAACGTGTCCGTCGTCATGATCCCACGCGCAGCCGCGACCCACGCCTCGGGTGTGCTCGCAAGCTGGGTGTTGGGCGCTGAGGGGTGCTGCGCGCGGATGGCGTCGAGGATGCGCGTGGCGGGGAGCGGGACGCCGATGACACCCGTGGAGAGCACCATCGAGCTGGGGGCTGTGGAAGAGGGAGATGGGGAGGACTCGAGGGGCTTGAAGAGCGCGTCGGTGGCTTTGACCATCGCCCAGGCGTCTTCGTCGCCCTGCTTGCCCGTGACGGCGTTCGCGCAGCCGCTGTTGGCGACTATGCCCCGGACCCTGGCTCCCCCTTCCTCCAGGACGGCCTCGCAGACGCGCACAGGCGCGGCGCGGAAGGCATTGCGGGTGAAGACGGCAGCTGCAGCGGCGGGTGCGGGAGTGGTGCTCACGACAAGGGTAAGGTCGGGAGGGGGCTGAGCGTTGGGGTCTGTAGGCTTCTTTTTGACACCGGCGTACACGCCTGCCAGCGCGTATCCGCGAGGAAGGGCGTTTGATTCAGGTGCAAAGTGGAGGTGAGATTTAGGAGGACTAGGACGAGGGGTGATGGGTGCTGAAGGAGCCGTCGAGAAAGGACGGACGAGACGGGGGAGACGTCGCATCTTTTGAGTGGGTGAGGAAAGGGAGGGGAAGGGGAAGGAACGAGAGAGGTTTATATGGGCGTGCTACAGCAGGTAGCTGCACGTATGCAAGGCAACTTCTGGAAGACGGCGAGGACGGCGTATATGGCTCAGAGCTGCGAGGATAGGATGGGTTGAATAGGATGAGCACGCGCAGGAGTAGCAAATTTGGCGCACGCAAGACGTGCTGAGAGCTCACCGGAAACGAGAGGGAAGTCTCGAGGCCGTCGCTCACAGGAGAGCGGGCGGATGTTCTGCTCCTCTTCTTATGGCCGACCTCACAGCGATCGTCGACGTTGCGCTCAGCCAATCTGTGACTCGAGGAGTTAGTGCATTGACGGGCCGAGCTAACCGCGATTTCAGATTGGGTGACGTCGATTGGCCAATGGCACAGCCACAAAAGCCGTGAGACAGCCTTGATTCGCTTTCCACGCGGGCCACCTTCATCCACCAAACCATACATCATGCTTGTGTTTGTCAGAATCTATGAATAGCTCACTTGAATCAGCTTTCTGCCTCAGATAAACGCCCGCAAAATGGCGAGAAATTTAGCTCTTGCACAAACCATAACCCAAAATATCCCAATAAATTATCCACAATGTTTGTCCACCAGCTCCGAGATGTGCCCAGGAGCAACATCTGTAATGCACGTATGACCAAATGGTTATACACCAGGACAGCACAGTAGTGAGCGCAGACGCATCGCGGCAGAACACCAGCTAACGGCGTTTAGTCTGCTTAAGAGTGGTGGTCAACATGGACATCGCAATAATGGGTAACTAAGTAACTTCATCAAAAGTCTCGTATTACATGCTTCTCGCAAGCCAACGCACGCCGATCTAGAATGACGAACAAGATAGCCCAGTTCAAGGCCAAGCTCGTCAGATGAAAGAACCTGCACGACGTGCATTGCGCCCGCCACCTGAAGCGGGCTTGCCCCAGCGGCCTCTGATACCCTGCCCGCCCGAGGTTCCTGCTGCAAGGCATGGGTCGGTATTGACCGCGCAAGGCGGGAAAGGCGAAGAGAAGGAGGGACCGCGCAGTGCAGCTCCTTCATCAACCACTACTCCCGGCACGCGGGCTAGAGTTACGCCAAAACAATCGGCGCCCATGTCTATCGTGAGCAGGAGGACAGGCTCGTCGCTGGGTGCAAAACCTACGCCTGAAGCACTCGCTGCGAAGAGTTTGATGCGGGCGAAGCAGGGGTCTTCCTGGGCTCGCCCCGGGCAAACCGAGTCAGGAACAGGGACAGGAACACCAGGAGGAGCTGCGTCCTCGCGGTAGCCTGCAGGTCACGGAGGCTTAGCATGGTTCTCAGCTTCGCGGTCAGCACCATGATGACGACGAACGTTGGTGCAGCGGGAGAGGAGAGGGAGGCACAAGAGGCAAGCAAGGTGAAATAAGGATGAAGATGATTCGTATCCAATACTTTGGCTCAAGAGCAGCCGCCACACGATGGCCAGGCGAGCACACAGCGCGGAAGTTGGAATTTGCAAGTTGAAAGACCGACGCCATCAGCCAACAGATGTTTCGAATCGAACTCGGTGAGCGTTAATTAATAGCCAAGCGCGTCTTAACGCTCTTTTGATTTGATCTTACGGGGATTTGCGGAACCTGCCTGTTTCATCCGACGTTAGGTTTTCGCGGGGTGCGCGCGGAGCGTTCGTGAGCCCACAGGCAGGGCAATGCCGGCATCACGAAGGTTTCACAGTGGTGATACGAGATGGGAGCATAGCCTCAGTACCCGACGACGTGGACACTTCGGATATCTTCCCCGTTCATATCATTGCTGCTCATGCACATGGTGTAAATTGGTTCGACCGGGCGCCTTTCAGCCTGCTGTCTAAGGCATAATCGTATGTCGGCTCAAAACAGCTAGTCCATTCCGCAATCGTCGGTGCTGCTTTGTTATGCCGGAAAACCACGGTTCAGAGTCAACTCGACAAGGCAGGCGAAGGTTCCTTTCTGCTCAGAAGCTGCCGTGTTAAACCTTTTTGCCGCATGGAGACGTCACCATCAGTACCCCAAACCTTCGCGGCGCTCGGACTCGGAAGCCGCAATCAATTGCTTAGAAAGGTTCATTGAGACACTAGGGATTTGCCTCCGGCGGTGGTTACCTGGACAATTGGTTTGTGACCGGAGAGGTACCTACGTACACTCGACCTTACGGACTATTAGGAACTATCTAGTCAAATTGTATTTGCGGGCTGATCTCGTATACACTTTGAGTCAATTTTGAGCTTGAGACCCTTGGATGAACGACATTGCGACCAGAGCCTGGGATCGCATAGGAAGAAACGAGGCTTATCGACGCCCCTCGCTCCTCACCGGTTTGGAGATCGTGAACGGCAGACCGGGTAAGCTCGGCGGGTTGCCTATTGTCCGTCGGAAATTTTCGTTGCTGTTCGACGATGCTCAAAACTCGAAGGCAGCGCCCTGCTATTTTAGTTGAGTTTTTCTCTGACAGTCAAACGCTGCTCCGGGACGTTGCATCTCGATTGTTGATCGGGGCCGTGTGCAGATCTAGAATTCGTAATATCGAGCGGTATACGGTTCGCGGAGTTCCGTGCGCGGAGCGGGCAGGATGGAGTTAGTGCCATTTTTTTGCGCAGCCCATGCTCGCGGAAGAGACGCGCCAGCGATCTATGGCATTTTTGCAAATTGATCTTACGAATCGTCCGACAGATGTGGGGTAACGAACGTCATTAATTCATTGCATTACTCGCTCGCGGATCTAGCTCACAAGTCGGAGTCTACAAGAAACAACGCCATTGGTGGTGGTTAGATCGTTGACTCAGGTGTATGGCGCGTTGCATCGGACTCGGTGTGCGTGGGTAATGGTAAGGAGAAGATCGGAAGATGGACCGAGGAAAGCATGGTCGAAGGTGGTTCGAGAAAGCGAAATCTGATCCAGAAGAAGGCAAAGGCGGCAATAACCAAGGCGGCCGAGAAAGTGGGCAGGTGCGAAGCCTACAGCTGGGGGTTGCCCTGGTGTAGTCTCTGTGATCTTGCGCTATGTTCGGGAAGATCACACCAAATGTCAAAGAATCGCGCACTCGGGAGAGCGGTAAGGCTGGAAGGGAGATCCGGAATATGGAAGCCAGAGATGATCGGTTTGATTATCGCTGACTCCTCGAAATACCAGGCGCGAGACGACGAAGAGAGAAGATACGTATGAGGAGGACGAGCCCACGAGCAGACGGAGGAAAAAGGAAGTGTGTCTTCCTTGGTAATCAACATTTGGTGGCCGATGTTCGTCCGCGTCATCTCCGCGGCGCCTCTCCATCTCGTTCGGCATGATCTGGCTGTCGTGTCATGGCACCTAGTGTCGTTAGCGGAGGCCGAATTTCTTGCGCCGATACGCAGTCGGAAAGTCTCGGAAGTTGACGCTGCGTGCCAGTGAAGACCTAGGATCCACTGGTCTGGGCGTAGTGACATATCGCAACAAAACGGAGAAATCGGGTGCGCAACACCACAAGCAGGAGCTGAGTTTGGGCTACACATTCAGGTGACCGATCCGTACTTGAGAGCGGAACTGTCCCATGCGTCTTCTCAGCGCGCAGCTTATAAGCAAGCCCATTCCACCGTCCTCTCTCTATCTCTCTATCTCTCATCTCAAAACAGCCACATACAATGCCATCCAAGCAGGTCTTCTCCAACAAGGACGGTGCGAACTACACCACCTCTAACGGTGCACCCATCGCCGAGCCCTACGCTGCTCAGCGTGCAGGCCAGATCGGCCCTCTCCTTCTCCAGGGTATGCCCTCGCTATTCTATATTCCAGTGGCTGTGATCCAATTATTGATAAATCTTATGTAGACTTCCACCACATCGATCTCCTCGCCCACTTCGACCGTGAACGTATCCCCGAGCGTGTCGTCCACGCCAAGGGCGCTGGTGCCCATGGCTACTTCGAGGTCACTCATGACCTGAGCGACATCACCTCAGCCAAGCTCCTCACCTCTCCCGGAAAGAAGGTCAGGGCCACCGTCCGTTTCTCCACCGTCGGTGGCGAGAGCGGCTCGGCAGACACTGCCCGTGACCCCCGTGGCTTTTCTACCAAGCTCCGCACGGACGAGGGCAACCTCGACTGGGTGTTCAACAACACCCCCGTCTTCTTCATCCGTGACCCTGCCAAGTTCCCCCACTTCGTTCACACCCAGAAGCGTGACCCTCAGACCCACTTGAAAGATGCTGACATGTTCTGGGTGAGTCTGAACCGCATATATGCGCGCTAAGAAGGGGATATTGATGATCTGTCCAGGACTACCTCTCTCGGAACCCTGAGTCTGCCCACCAGGTCGCAATCGTGTTCTCCGACCGTGGTACTCCTGATGGCTTCCACAACATGCACGCATACTCTGGTCACACTTTCAAGTTGGTCAAGGACGACGGTTCGTTTGTCTATACCCAAATCCACCTCATCGCAGACGGTGGCTTCAAGGTGAGATCCCGTTGCAACCGCGATTTAGCCCCTGTCTACCCCGCATAGATGACGTCAGATGCTAACTCAATTCGGCAAACAGACTCTCGACGGTCCGACGGCGGGCCGCCTCTCTGGTGAGAACCCCGACTACGGCATCCAGAGCCTGTTCGAGACCATCGAGGCGGGCAAGTACCCAAGCTGGACGGCCTACGTCCAGACGATGACTCCAGAGCAGGCGGAGAAGTTTCGCTACAACATTCTCGACCTAACCAAGGTCTGGCCGCATGCCGACTTCCCCATGCGCCCCTTCGGCAAGCTCGTCTTGAACGAGAACCCTCAGAACTACTTCGCCGAGATCGAGCAGGCCGCCTTTTCGCCATCTCACCTTGTGCCCTACATTGAGGCCTCGTTCGACCCTGTCCTCCAGTCTCGTCTCTTTTCGTATCCTGACACCCACCGCCACCGCCTCGGCACCAACTACCAACAGCTCCCTGTCAATGCACCGATTGCACCGATAGCCAACTTCCAGCGCGATGGCGCGATGGCGTTTAGCAACCAGGGTCCTCGCCCCAACTACCAGAGCTCGATCGCACCCCTGACATACCAGCAGAACAAGTTCTCGATCGTTGGCTGTGTGCGCGATGTCGAACGGGAGGTCGCGCACGAGAACTTCCTCGCTGGCGCCTACTTGGATCTCAGTGAGATTACTGAGCGTGAGTATCCATTTCCGCCTGCGAGATGAAGGACCGGACTGATCACCAGCATACAGTCGACTTCGAGCAGCCTCGTTCTCTGTACCAGACGGTCATGAATGACACCGACCGTCAGCATCTCATTGACAACCTGGCTGGGCATATGGGCGGCATCAAGAGCACCGAGGTCAAGGCCCGTACACTCTCCTACTGGGCAAGCGTCGACCAGGATTTGTCAGACGCGATCGCCAAGGCCATTGGCGCGCCCACTGCCAAGCCTCTACCCAATGTCAAGCCTGCTGCTGAGGCTATCCGCTTCAAGGCCAACATTGGCCTCAAGAGCCAGCTCAAGCTGTGAACGTGATCTCGGATAGTGGTGTGCTTTTGGTGTCTGTTGGAATTGGAGCTAGAAGGATGAGTGACCCTTGTCTTTGTATATCAGTGTACGATGTATAGCTGCAAACTGCAAAACATCTGAATTACCCTCCGCTTGCATTACACTGTGACGTATAGCATGAGTTAGTCTTTAGCTTTCGGTATTGAAGGAAGAAACCAAGCTATTTTTGTGTGGTAAAAACGTGTTATTTCTTACAAACTGTGCATACATGCAAATATCCCTTCGACGTCTATCTTACACTGTCCTCACATATTTCTGGCGCGAAGTGCTTTCCTAGGGTTCTTCCAAAACCTTGCGGACTTCTTCCTGCATGAACTTGTCATCGGCTTCGGTCGAGCCTCCACCAGCTATACAAGGGCACAAAGTAGGATAATATTCAGTAAGTACTGATAAAGATAGCTCGACAAACTAGGGCCGACCCATGTGTCCCCAAATACTTATCCTACGCTATATCGTACAATCCATTCTTGCTATTTCATCCGCTGGCTGTCGTATACAACTTGTCTAGGGCTTTTCAAAGTTCTTCCTTTTACGACTAAGAGGTTGAGATTACAGACACACCGCAACGAGGAACAACACTCACAGCTTCCGACGGCAGCGTGCAAGATATAGTAGTCGGCTTCCCGTTCTTGTATCCAAATCGGCCGTGGTCTGCTGTGCTGATAAGATTGATGGGTGATACGGTCCTAGTCCTTTGATCTGATCCCTCGCTAATTACCTCTTCGTTGTGCGTATGAGCCGAGGCGCCCGGTGCAGACCAGCAAGGTGGTTCCCCGTGAACACATCATGGATTATATCTCTGCGTACGTCTGCTGTGAATTGCGTTTCTTCCGAAATACCAAGTCTCATTCTGACAATGATAATAGAGAATGTGATTCCATAAAAGAATACTGATTGAGTACGCGGGAAGTGGGTTTCTTATGATCTTACTCACAATCAAAGGGATGATCTACAGTACAGGAAGAATATCAGTGAGTGCATCGACTTGGACAGATAATGCTTACGGCATTGCTGATAACTGTGTAGTAATAACCAACAGCAAGGCAAGCCATTGACAAGGAGTATATTGCGCCTGATTCAATGATTACCACTGCAATGGATACAGGGCCCGTGTGACACTGCGCTTGTCCACATGTGCTGACCTCTCGATGAAGGTAAGGTATCCTCTCAGCGATAAATACTGAATTAGATCCATCAGATCAATATTCTTTGTATTTGACCTAAGAAGCCAAACTCTCACCTGTGCAGAGGTCGACCACAAAGCTGACCGAGAATACAGCTACATACGTCATCAAAGCAAACCATTGGTTGTTAAGAGCCATCGTGTTGCAATAAACACTGGGGGAGCACCTCCTGTATTGCAACACAGATGTGTGAGACCTGGTAGGGCACAGTACCATCCATATCAGCACATGTGTTGCAATACATGTGCACGCTAACTTTTGGCACAGTGTATTTCAACAGGGGGACAGGATGTGGTGCGCATCTGCAGTACTGGTTGATGCTCCGGCTGACAGCATGATGGTGAAGGTTGGGGCTGGCGCAGCGCGCTATCAAACACATCGGAACGTTGCCCGTGGAATCGGTCCAAACGCAACTTGAAGTCCCGACTCACTAAGTCAAACAAATTCTTTCCTACAACAAGACATGCCAAAACAAGGATCGAGAGACGTTGAGAAAAGTATCGTGGAGCAGGCGAACATGCACACACGCAAACCAGCGATGTGCTTAAAGCAAGCTTAAAGATACGGAGAGATAGCTACCTTGTGACGGTGCATTGAACTCTAGTTGCTATCACATGTATGGTATCTAACCTTCGCAACACATACACGAACCCTATTTCATCTCCACAGCATCCTAGCACCCTGCATCCGAGTAGAGCTCGCGTCAGAGACTTTATAGCTGTACGCTTCGTTTAGCCTCCACGGTACCTGAAAAAACCAAGTTGGAGAGATGAACGGGGTCAAGAGACCTTTGATTTAGGATTTTATCGTGATTGATACGGAGGCTAATGTCCATTCACGGACCGAGCAGTACATGAAAAATCAAATTGGATACTAGAGCTATGCTGCCGACGGAGATGGCCCCGACGTTGAACTATAAAATTAACAAGAAAACAAGAATACGTCGAGCCAGCCTATAGCTCTACTTCAACTGATGTCACTTATATTATCCCTTGTCCGTTAGGCAGGTTCGAGCCGTGCTACGACAACTAATCACCCACTTCGTTTCATTGAGCGCTTTGGTGTTGTGCACTTTGTCCTGCATCCGTAACGCTCGCAAAAACTATAACGGTGAGCCCGTTATTATCCATCGCCATCTCATCCAGATTTCTCTCGTAGCTTCTTCGGAGGCTAATGATCATCCACGGACCAATTACGGCGAATAGAAGTATCTGGGGTACCTTCTCCATGCCAGATATCACAAAATTCAGCTAAACAGACATGAGCTATGTTTCCATCACCAAGCTTTGATTCTTACTTTGAGACAGTGACTGATAATGGTGAGAAGTATGACGAAGAAGAATCTATAAATTTATGCGGGTTTCCAAGTTAAAAAGCAACAACGACATAACGAGCCTTGTGCTTACCCAAATATATAGGCCAGATGATCGCGGCAGATAACCCACATCAAAGCATTGACTGAGCGGGCCGGGTTGATCCACAATGAACTTGAATAAGGCAGTTGTCTTGATGCGTATGCCAGGGCAAATGAACCAAGGATGAACTCGTATGCCAAATAGCTTGTTAGCTTTACTACTGATACCGGAGCACATGGAAGACTCCCAAGTGCGCAGTAAGCATGTGTGTGCTTACCTACACATATGGTTTCGATGTATGTTATTGAAGCCATTCGACTGATGCGCTACAAGTACTCACGAAGGTTCCCGAAATATTCTCCCACATTGCGAATGGTAACACAAAAGGTAAAACCTTGACAAATTGTGAAGCAACTGAGTAGTATAAGGAGTGTTTTTCGCGGTTTTCCAAGTAGGATGTACACCCGGGCAGTCATCATCCCTATCACAATGAGGTTAAAAGCATTAGCTTGAAATATTATCAAACCATACCTTGTACGCAGAACACGATAATATCGGGCCCCAATGTACCGAAAAATGCGCTCAAATACTGACCTAAAATGTATCAAGGATTAGTGAAGAATATGAACGCCGATTGCTTCGTACTCACGTCTATATCAGGATGATAGATGTAAGGTGAGTGTTTTAGACTATCGAGTGGTTTATCATACAGCTTGAATGTCTCATGCTGAGCACGATTTTGAGCCCGCGTATGCTTGTTATTAGAGTGAAATTAGAAACTTTACCTGAGCTAAAGTCAAGGGCGTGGGAGTCGCAGATCCCGACAGATGATCCGAGAATATCAGTAAGTTCCCAAGGAGCCATGCACTGTGTGTAGCTGTCAGAGTCAGTGCGATATCATGTGCCCTTCACATACATTGCAATAGCAAGACCAAGGTATCGCAGCTGATTGCTCCAGTGAGCTGACTCCTATAAAACAAATAAAGTCTGAACTGACAATAATGTAAACCACTGTCGTTGACGAGAACTTTCTGAGCTGAATAATTCATGTAATAAGTAGATCTGTTTTGTTGGATCCAGTGTACACAATGGTAAGGCTTACCCATATCAACTCCACCTGGTAGCGAAGAGGTGTACGTCAGCGATGTCTATCGTAACAGGCCTGATGGTGTCTCCAACGAGACATGATACATACCTCAAGATCAAGGTTCAGCACTGTCAATGAAGTTAGAAAGTCAATGATACCACTGCAAGTATAGAAACTATATTGCAGCATACGATAGTCGTAAATGACAAGGGCTGTCGAAGCAACTAAAAAGTCGCCAGTATATCGATTAAACGGAGGCTATGATCCCATGCCTGATCTCACCTGAAATACGTTTGAACATTTGATCTTTTTTCGCTACCAACAGTATAACTTGGGCTAGTGAAGCTGACATTGTTTTGAGCTGGTGAAGATGGTCACAGGGAGAACGCGATGGACAAGCCGTGGGCACCAGAAATACTGCGTCATTATATAGGCTGAGAGTCTGGGAATCGAGTGCATACTGAAAGATGAACGTAAATACTGGGTCACATTTTGATGTAGAAATCCAGTAGCTGGTAGGACCTTATGGCGCTATGGGCTTTGTGCTTCGTAAAAGTTTTGATCCGTGGATAAAACAAAGGAAGTAAGATCAGCGGCTCCGGCGGAGGCATGGCACATAGTAATCGACCATATTTACTCGTTGAATGATGTGCGTGTTATGCGCATCATGAACGGCGCGCAGTAGAAGCTTCTTTGGCACCTGGGAGAATTTACCAGTACCGATATTTATACTCAGGATTCCTCTTACCATTCGTGAAGTTGACGCCGTCACTGCTGGTTGCGCCATCAATATCATCCCATACGCCTTGATTGTTACTTATCTAACATTACACCCGGGATTGTTCCCCCCTATTATGGGTGGTCGCATCCTATATCATTAAAGCAGGCGCATATCGCTGCCACGACAATGTAGTCGGTGCACGGCTGATGCTGCGCGTTGTTGCGTCTTGAAATAGAATGTGCGCATACGAGAGTAATTTGATTGTTTCCGCAGCATGACTGAGATTTGAATGTCGAGTGTTCGAACTTTGACTACGTCAGCCCATCGATATTGAAATATTGAAACGTAGCTGTTTCTTCTGCATGGAAACCTGCTGCAAAAGGGTTTGGGTGCGCGTGTCACACTGACAAAAACGTACTAGTTCTCACCGGACTCGCAAGTAAATAACCTATGTGCCTGATGAAATTGTAGGCATGGACTGCCCCTGTACAGACATGTCTGCGACTAAGTTTACGAGCAGAAATGGTCACGCACATACCTTTTGTATTGTGAACGGCGCAAACGGCCCACAGCGACGTAACTAAGCGCTCGAAACTATACTTCCCCTGTCATCAGCACCCCACGAGATGCTATCTCCATGATCTCCGTTCTCGTGAGCCGCGTTGGGGCTAATGAGAGGCTGTTGAGATGCTCAGTAGCTCAGTAAGTCTCTGGAACTTTTGGATGACAGACGTGTACACTTAACGTTCAACGTTCAACGTCCGAAGCGATATGGAGAATCAATGACCTCAAGCCTGTACGCACATTGTACGCACACGCAGTGAAGTTCGCATCCGTGATTGGTATGAACGCATCGGTGGAACTCTATGTAGACAGGATATTGTCGAACGTTCTCACAAGTTACTGGAGAGAAGAAAAGTGGTGACAGTTAGGGGCGGCCTTGCCACTGTACAGTAGGTGCGTAGATTCTCACGGCTTCTACCATTAGTTTTTACCTATCCTATCCTCGGAGCTGCGAGCCATATACTCGAGTACAACGTCCTCACCGCCTTCCAGAAGCTATCTGAAACATGCAGCATCGTCTTCGGTCCGTTCTTGATGGCCCCTTCAGCATCTAAGTATCACCCATGCCATTCCGAGTCCCATCTTCACTTTGCGCCTGATGCTCAAAGCTACTGATGCACTCCTCAAACCCCATGGATCTTCCTCCTCTTCCACCAAGCCCAGCCCGCTCGCTATTTCCACAAGCGTCATTCGCGTGCCCCCTCTCGTATCCCGCATCCTCTCCGCCATGCTCGCGCAGTACCCTTGGACACCCCCGATACGTCAGGGGCATGGGTCGCCGCCTTGGCGATGCAGGGTCAGGTGGGATAAGCGATGCAAAGGGTCTGGATACGACCGTCACCACCTCTGGGGTCCACTAGCGTGGGTGCGATAGGCGAAGCTGAGTACGTGGTGGAGATTCCCGAGGAAGGTGATTCGGCCGCACTCAAGGCGTTTCGGGATGCGCTCACGGGTATGGCGGGTGACCTTGCGCAGTTGGCGGTGGGGGGCGACGGGGACGTGACCAAGTTTGTCGAGATTAAGGTCAAGGTGCGTAATTCATGTTTTTACCCATAGCGCATGCTTATGTGTGCATATACGCGCGGAAACAATGTGTGCAGCAACATTCGAGGACACCAGCATCCTCTCGCGCGCCATCTTCACCTCGGCACTCGTCAAGATCACGCTATACGGCGAAGACGCAAAGTACGTCTCCATCGCCTCTTCCCCTTCCTCCATCATGCACAATACGACCCAGCTGGGGCCGCATCCTCTCCGCGACCGGTCCCGTCGCCACCCGCCTCTCTACCCCGATCAACCCCTCTCACGTCAGCGTCACATTCACCACCAACCCTACCTCTTCCTCCTCTCCCCCGTCTCCCTCCTCGCCAAAGCTTATGCCCGCCGTAACCCCCTCGGTGCTCGCTTTGAAGCCACCCATGTCCTCGGCCGTGCCCAGCGCGCAGTTCTGCAATGAGCAAAGGAACATTAGGGATCTCGAGGTGCTCAAGGGCGGCGAGCTTATCAAGTTCAGCTAGGGGCACGCCAAGTGCTGCCTGGTGATGAGGATTTCGGAATTGTGTTAGACGTGCTGGACAGGAGGAGGGTGCTGGACGTGCGATTTCCAGCTTCGTAGGTATTTCTACTGTGATCAGTGAGAGTGAGTGGGAAGCTGATACATTTTGTGATGTATGTAGAAATATGCGCAGACCAACAGGGATTATCGCAGCTAATTACGTGCAAAGCGATGAGCGCTGGCTAGGCGACGCAACTCGGCGGCTCTTGTGTGTTTTCTCTTATGTTGCGCTCATTAGGCATTGATAAAACCTTTATTTCTTTAAACTGTACACTCCTGTTTCTAGAACGTGAAGAATGATCTCGGGCCTTCGGGTGATCGTGCCAGCAATTAGATGCAAGACTTGTCACATAATGCTCCGCGTGACATCAGACTCGTACAACGTACTATATGTCCCAGGTTGATGTTACTATGTATGCATAGACCAGCTGGCCGTTTATGACCTATGCCCTGTATGTTTTGCTGATGCTGGACTGTACGATCTTTGCGGCTGGGCATTCTACGAGCAGGGATAGTGCGTGAGGCCGACATAAGCTGCACAGTTCCACTTTTTCTAGAAGAAAGACTGCTCGCTGCGCGTGCAGTATTACGGAGTTTTTTGGATGGGATGTCGCCTCTCGCGGCGTCGATTTGCGAAATGACATGACCACGTAGACAGTCGGACGTCTTCGACTCCGAGTAGGCCACTTACCCACCATACGTCTGCTTATGTTCAAGGGCGTAAATTCAAATGACACTGGCACTCTATGTAAACTCTGTATGACCCAATTTTGAGTCTTTATACGACAAGCGTCGTAAGTTCTAAAGACAAGATAACAACGACTCGCTAATCTACAAAGAAAAATGACAACCCCCTCAGCGGATACCCAATAACGAACCTATTACTCCCCTTCGTGAGATAGTCGCTCTACACCAGCCAATTCCCATAACATGTGCGCGAGCCGCACTCCATTCAGTAAGCTCTATGCGTCAAACCCGCTGTTGCTGCAGGGTGCTCGGTTCCGCGCCCTGAACTCCCGCAAAAGCTATCTCGGAGAGCTGGCGGGAGTCAATGACCCTTTGATCCGTTTTTCTCTCGTAGCTCCTTCGGAGACTAATGATCATCCACGGGCCTATCACAGCGTACTGGAATACCTCGGATATGGCTGTGATGCTGTCCAGGATGGAGTCTTTGAGCTCGAATTGGACCTGACCAAGATCATGAATACCAATCTGCACGTCGCTCCTAAGATCTGTCGCTTTACCTTTGCGTAGTAGTACATGGTGGTGAGAAGCATAGACAAGAGAACGCTGAAAAGTCGTGTGTAAGCTGCAAAGCAGAAGGCACCAATATGTTCCACCTTACACAAAAATGTAGATCAGATGATCCCGAAAGAGAATCCACATCAGGATGCTGACTGAGCGGGTTGGACGCATCCACAAAGAAGTAGCAGCACAAGGCAGCTGCTGCACAGCATATACCAGGGCAAATATGCCCAGTATGACTTCATATGTCATGTACAGTCCCATAGCCACCGTCGCGACCCAGGGTCCTCCAGAAATCGAGAGTGCGCAGGCGGGGTTGTCCGTGCCTTCCGTGCAGCATCCAAATGTCAACAATGTCGGCTCATGATTCACGCTGGAGACACTCACGAATGCATGCGAGATGTGTTATGATTAAGTGCGTGTTGAATCCGAAGCTGACTGCCTGCGAGGCTATGAGGCAAGTGAGAAGCACGAACAGTACGGTTCATGGTTTTCCTAGAAGGATGTACACCCGTGCCGTCATCATCCCTGCAGCGTTGGTTTGGAAAACTGTTAGCAATCAAGAAGCTGCGTCTCGTACCCTGCAAGCAAAGAATGATAATGTTTGGCCCTATGACGCCGAGGAGTACATTCAAGTACTGACCTGAAACCAAATCAAGGTCAGCTATCCAGTAATCGTGGATATAGTTTAGACTCACGGCTAGATTAGAATTGGGAGGCTAAGAATGAGTGCGTAAGCAAATCAAAGGGTATGTCGTACAGCTTCGAGACCCATGCGAATCATAGTATTTAGCCCGTGAACACGCGTTTACATGAGAGAAGAATGCTCACTCGATCTATGAATGGGAAATCGGGAAGGATTGGCACTGAGAGATGGTCAGACATTGTCAGCAAGTTTCGGGTCTCAACAGCGCGCACATGTATGCGTACTGCGTGTAATTGTTAGCCGTGCGGTGTTAGTAGTCAGATTGCACATACACCGTGACGATCAGACCCAGATACCGTAGCTGAATGAAGAGTGCCTGTGATGAGCGGACTATTGTAAAAGCAGACGACGATTATACTTGCAATCAGGTAGACCAAGCTTGTCGATGTAAACTTTTGGCACTGGAGAAGGTCTTCATGTCAGAAAAACAGCATGTACAGATCTTGAACGGACAAGTTACCCAGATATATTCCGCCTAGCGTTGAAACAATGTATGTCAGCGTTGGCAGGTACAAATGATATAACTTGCTCCACCACTCGCGATGCATACCTCGAGGTCAAAATCCAGCACTTTTGATGAAAATCCACAATCACGATCAGTTATCAGGACGAAGACATGTTACAGCATCATCGACCGCTTACGATAATCGTAGATTACGAAAACCATTGGAGCGACTGGGGGCTTGTTAGTACGTTGATAATTTATATATGGTTATATCCCAGCATTGAGCTCACCTAAGATACGGTCCTGTACTACGGATGCTTCCTCGATTGACGCGAAGTATGGGACCTTTGACGTCGGCATTGCTGCGGCTAGAAAGGATGGGTTCAGGTAGTGTTCTATGGAGATGGAAAGGAACTGCAACTTTATAGGCAGCGGCGCATGCGAAGATACACTTGCGACGAGACATGCTGCATCACATCAAGAATATCATACTCTCGAGCTGACTCATACCTTGTGGTAACATGGCCTTCGTAGTTCGGAAAGAAGTCGACCTAGAGCCGAACGAGGAAGATCCGTGTCAGCTGACCGCTGGAATTATCTGGTAAAGTAGGTTTTGGCACACGTTCGACCATGTTCGCATCCGTGATTTGGATAACGGTATCGGCGGTCTTCCAAAGAAGAATCGAGGGAAACTGACCAGAAGCGCACCGTGCAGTCATCAACGACATAACCTTATGATAGTTAGCAAAGTTGATACCATCAAACACATTTGGACATACCTTGACTGCTCCTACCACGTTTACACATATCATACTTCTCTACACAACTTGTGATCCCCGTATGCATTGATTCAGCTTATCACCGTCCAAAGCGCCCATAATACAAAAGACAAATAACCACTGATGTCGCAAAAGCAGCGGTCTTAAAGCAGGCTCCGGGAAGCCACGAGAGGATGGTTACTTGATATATGTACCATCGACGATGAGGACGTTGCAGTTTACACGTCTTAGGGTTGAACAGGACCACCTATCTCTGCGGCAGAACAACAATGGGCGTGTAGCAGAGTAGCCATGTTAACGTTTAGCCACGAGAAGCGAAGAGATAACACGCACATCACTCGGAAAGAGCATGCGGAAGGGAGACGCATCCAAGGACGCATCGCTTATGCGAGAACTCCGAAGGTGTTCCCGCTACCATCTCAGGAAGACATTTACGTTATAGAAATCAGATCAGAGTGTTGTAGAGAAGACGGCAGTAGAGATATGAACTTTCCCTGAGCTTCCAAAGTCGAGGATTGAGTTTGTTGATTCGAGTAAGGGCAGCATCCGATCAACATCCGAACAGAAACCATGAGCTTACTCGCAATGCAGGTATACTCCCAAGAGCAAACTCGGCACCGCGGCGCAGATGCATAACTGTACATCAGACTTGCATCAGACATCTCGAACGTACATAGAAGAGTCCAATTACACGTACGGGGATCTGAGCCCAACTTCAAGCTGTAGAAGGTTTCACATACTGTATGGCCATGCGTGTTGCGAGATGACTTGCGATGAATGCAGGCAAGTGTTTATTGAAGGACTCAGGCAAGAGCCAGGCAACGAATAGGGATTGCGTCAGTGCGTTAACAGGCCTTGGACTGCTAGTTGGTTCCACGCTTCAAGGTTTGTCCGATGTATGACCGATGCGAGGCAAGAGACAGGGGCTTAAATGAGTCGGTTCTCACGCCGTAGATTTTGCGCCCGCATGCCCGACGCGTGGCACCAAAGTCCCATCATAGCTAACATTCCCCGCCAGTCCCCACCTCTTCTAGTCTCCATGTGCTTGTTCTTCTTCCTTCTCTGCCTATTGTCTCATAATAACTTTCCCACTTACCTCGCGTACAGTAACAAATTGACCCACGACCCAACCGTCATGAGAACTCGGCATCCCAGGGTGTTGGAAAACGCGGGACGTTGAACGCTCTCCCATTCCTTTGACCGTCACCATGCAAGAGAATATTGGCCGCATTGCACCTCCGGGCAGCACCGGGATCAAGATCATTGTTGTCGGTGCTGGATACGCCGGACTGGCGTGTGCAATTGAGTGTACGCGCAAAGGGCACGACGTGGTGATACTCGAGAGAGTACAGAAGCTGAAGGTGTTGGGTGCGTCTCGCTTCGCTGACATCCGTATGGGTGGTAGTATAACGACATCTACATTTTCTAGGCGATATCTTGAGTCTGGGACCCAACGCAGGCCGAATCCTCGCTCGATGGGGGTTGCATGACCGGTGAGTGGTACTCGCTAAGCAGTCTATCTCTCTCGAACACCAACATCTGCAAGGGTGTGGGCTGTGTGCGGTCACCATCCGTGTATGAACCTGCACAATCACCTCGGGGAGCTCGTCCGCGTCCAAAAGTTCGAACAACCCAAGTTTGGCGCATACAGCTACAACGGACACCGCGCCGAGATTCACCGGATCTTGTACGAGCACGCAGAAGAGCTTGGTATCAGCATTCGCATGGGCGAGGAGGTAACAGAGTACTGGGAGGACGGGCGGCGAGGCGTGAGTGGAGTGGTTCTGCGGGGTGGTGAGAGGCTTGAGGCAGATATGGTCGTTGCTGCAGATGGAGTAAGGAGTTTCGCTCGGAAGTTCGTCTTGGTACGTTGACATGGTCACATTTTCGTTCGTGAGGACTGACCCTTCCCAGGATTACCAAGACAAGCCAAAGCCATCTGGCTATGCCGTATATCGGGCTTGGTTTGACGCAGCCGAGCAAGGCGTTGACACGGACCCGCTCACTCGTCATATGGTGACGAACGGGGACGTCTTCTACGGCTGGATAGGTGAGACGTCGCGGCCATATTACCCTTGCTATGGCTGATGCGAACCTCTCCCAGGCCAAGACGTACACTTCCTTACCACATCCAACCTCGGTGGAAAGTCGATTTCATGGGTCATCACGCACAAGTACCCACCCACCCGTTCACATCTCTTTGAACCCGCTAATCTGCGCCATTTGACAGAGATGACACCGAACTCCTCGACACCTCGTCGCTTCCAGGTAAGATGGAGGACGTCCTCAAGATCGTCGAAGGCTGGGACCCACGCTGTGCCGCGATCCTTTCGAAGGCTCCCGAGTGTGTTGACTGGAAGCTCACGGTCCACGATCCGCTGCCCACGTGGGTCAGCAAGGGCAGACGAATCATTTTGATCGGCGATGCCGCGCATCCATTCTTACCGTGAGCTATCTCCACGATGTTGCACAGCGTTAGGTCGTGTTTCTGATTTCGCTCGTCAAACGGCAGCACTAGCATTCAGGGTGCATCGCAGGCGATCGAAGACGGCGTTACGCTCGCCACCGTCCTTCAAATCGCTGGGAAGGATAATATTCCCGTTGCACTGCAAGCCTGGGAGAAGATCAGGTGTGTATTCATCTCTCACACTCATCGCAGCGAATAGGAGCTGACGACTCATGTACGTTCTCAGGTACCAACGCGTACGCAACGCGCAGCTAATGGGCGAGTCTACACGGGACAAGTGGCATCAGGCAAAGCCCGAGGACAAGGGCGAGCAGCTCGATCTCCCAATGCCCGAGTGGTTATTTGCTTTCGATGCTGAGGCGCATGCGTACAAGGTCTTCGACGAGGTTAGGAAGGGGATTGAGAGGGACGGATATCGTCTTCCGAGCCTGGCTTGAACGCTGCGAGTTCGTCGACTGATCGCTACCGCTATTGCTGTGTCTTATTTCTACAGAAATCACCTCCGCTGAATGCTTCACATAACGACTAGTACGTTAGCCACAGCGAGCTCGGGTAAGCTGAAGAAGGTTCGGGCCGGTGTTGCCGTCGGAGTTCGGATTCATCCTACCTTGTTGGCGCGCTCGGCCGGACGAACGAGTTAAACTCAACGTCGTTATAGTCTCAAACTACCAAGACCCTGAGTGCTTAAACCAGCTCATAGAGGCCGTTTACTTGCCGACGAGAGGGATGGTGCCCTTCCATCAACCCATTCAAGGCGCCAAAGCGGGTTTGGGAAACTGCCTAAACAAGACCCGCTAGAGAAATGGAGTTATCCTCACATCCGTTCCTTCCAAGGGCCTTGGCCTGGCAGGGGCATAAATGCTTTCACTGTATCATTTGAGTTAGCATAATAAACCTTAAAACCACATCGCAGGAATCAAAGACTGAGTCTGTCGCCCTCTTCGCAGTTTATAGGCAGGGATATGGTACGGATAGCATGAAGAGCTACCGTCTGCATCAGCGCAATGGTTTGAATATGCGAGAACAGGACTAGTCGTACGATTAAGTTATTACAGTAATTACTAGTATTAAGGTACATCCAGTGCAAAGGGAGGCTCGAAGAACCGTCCGAAATAGATGGGCTTAATCTCAGTCATGAAGCAGGCTCGATGCTGATATTAAACCGTTAATTTACTACTATTTACGCTGTTGAGGATTCGGTCAATAACCTGGAAGGGGACACTGAAGTTAGCTCCCATGGACTAGATACTTCCGAGTCGGAGCTGCTGAGTTTCTCATAGCTCTTCCGAAGATTGATCATGACCCACGGGCCAATCATGGCCACTTGCCATGAGACCAAGAAGTCAGATCCATCGTTAAATAAGGGAATCTGAAATATTTGTGTTGGTAAATCAGAAATAAAAGTCATGAAAGCTGCATGGAAACCTCACATTGGAAGTGATGCTTGTGGCGTTGAGGACGGCAACAAGTAGCGAGAAGGTAACACTAAATATCCGTGAGAGTCAGTTTCGCATATCCTAATCAGACAGCTTTGCTTTCTTACACGAAGAAGTGGATCAAACTGTCTTGAATTATCACCGCTACTAGAACGCTGACCGACCGAAATGGATTTTTCCACGCAGCCGGTGGGATTTCTTTAAAGGCATAGCGTAAAACAGCTCCACAAAGAATGGTCTCATACGTCATCCACAGTGTATTGCTCGTTGGCGTGATCCACGAAAGGGAGGATGGTGCCCCAGTATCACAAACGTTGAAACCAGAAATATTGGTGCGACCTATGTGTTGTCTAACGTCTTAAATAGATATGAGGATTTGAGAGCTTACTGGTAGATTTGAACACAGCTCCGAACATGAAGAGGTTTGACGTAATGCTGGTGCCTTGAACCACAACAAAGAGTGCAGACATGACATATAGGAATGGTTTGGATCTTCCCAGCAATGCGTATGCGCGCAATGTCATCATGCCTGTTTTATTATTGCACCTGAGTGTCTATTTCTCAACATGTGTATCAGAAATAGAGAACCTTGTAGAACAGCGGTCAGAATTAGGCTGAAAACTTCGCGAGATGACCACAGAGCGAAGCCTAAGAACCATTAGTCCAGGTATATGTTATATCGAAAGAAGCAGTGCTTACAACTGGTGAAATGAAGGCAAAATAAGAGTTAGTGCTCACACAGAAGTCGTAAGCAGATTACCACTGTAATAAGTATAAACTTTGGCTGGTTTCCATGTCTGGGAAGTGAACTTACAAGCGGCGATACTGGCTCGTTCAGGAGGGCCGATGCTTGCTCTCTAATGAGAACATTGAGAGTGCACGTAGCATCGATCGACTCACCCATTGATAATCTAACATGCGAGCGCAGTCAGTAAGGTGATAGATAGGCGTTTGAGTCAGTTACATGCCCTGAGTAACCCAAACCAAGATAGCGCAACTGTGTCATTATGCTATCCCTTCAGTAGACCGTATGAAAATTCAAGCGAACACACCGTCATGTACACCAGGGTTGTGTTGGTGAAATCTCGACACTGCAAAGGGTTGGTAGCTCAAAAGGTTTGTATGCCAGACAATGTAAGTCTCACCCATATCAACTCCACCTGAGGGCACATGCATGAGTGGTGAAGGTGACCCTGGGAACTGGTTGCGTACTTGCCTCATCTGTGAACGCCAAGACTTAATGGCAATTACCATACATTATTATTTAAGGCATGTCTGAGAAGAATCTCGGCCATACCATAGTCGTAAAAGACAATCAACGACGCAGATACTGGACAGCCGACCGTTTATTTCTGTTTAAAGAACGCAAATGTATCAGAACTTACATCCTATGTACTCCTGTGTCACATATTCTCGTGCCCATGCTGCAAGCCCTGGGTCGTACATCCTCTGGATAACAGTTGGGGGCTGACAGACGTAACAGGGAGCGGGTGTCTAGCCTTTGTATGACTTTCGAGCATCAAAAAGGAATGCGGCAGTGGGCACAGAGGGGGGGCCGAGATATGCCGATGCCAAGTCGGTGGGGGACGCGCTTTTTATATAGTGCAATTTGATTTTAGCGCAGGATACCTGACCGTTTGGCTTAACACGGTCATGTTTGAGGTCGGAAGTCTGGTGAACGTATAACAAGGTTACTTGCAGAAATAAGCCAGCAACGAGAGCGGATTACAAGAACACTCTTGAGACGATGCGTAAGAAGTCAAGTCTGTCTGCAAAATATCTTACATAATCCCCAACGAATATTCAAACAGGATCAAGGAACCATTGGCAAAGAGCGGTGGCGGAACAGAGTACCGTTAACGTGTAGCTGGATGCCTAGACAAATACAATATTCCTAAGGGATCATCGCATCTGTACCGGGAATACTTATATGCTCACGTTCTATCGTTGACATGAAACACAGATAACGTTCCATTCGTCGCTTATCCAAATATCCCGTACACGTAGCACGTTGCGGTTGATAAGGGGCACTGCCAATGATGATATGATTTGTATTTCCACCGGCCCAAAGCGGATGAGTATATTCTACACATGTACAAGCACAATGTACCAGAGCATGATGATGCACAGCCCGGAAGATCCCTGCACGTACAAGCATTGCTTTAATGCGACAGTGTAATGTGCACCTTCTCAACGGCAACTCTCTGATATGAGAAATAGTTATACAATTTGTACGGTGAGTGTGTTACTCACCTTGACGGTCAGGCGAATCCAAGAGCATCGGCGGACCTAGCGAGCGTTCTTGGATAGCGCAGAAAGTGGACAATGATAATCTTTGGACAACGTGCTATAGCTTGGTACCCCACAGCATTCGCACAGGAACCTTATACAGCATGATATTAAAGAGGGTTCTGCTGTGCTAGTCATGCTGATCATGTTTCACTTCCATCGCGCGGAGGAGAAGCCTGAGCACAGCACCTGTAAAGCACGTACATGCCCATAAACATACAGGTCGACTTCTTTGCTGTGATTCAGCCTGAGATTCGTGACCAACGTGACATACTCCCTTCACTCGAACCAAGAAGCCAAATTCCCTTATAAATATGTAGAAAAAGCCGATTGAGTCGACGAGTAGTAGCAGGAGGGCTACATCTTTATACCACTTCAGTGGGATCCTGTTGCACGGTCGATATCTTTAGCATGTCCTCAGTACCTTGGCCTTAGTGCTCGGAGATTGAGCAAGAACGTATCTCAATTGTAGTAGCACATCCAAGTTGAACTGCCGATCCTTCAGAGTTGGCATGATACGGATTGAACCACAGAAGACTCGGGATGCACGAGAGGATTGCTGAGGATGGGATGTCACATGTATTGTTTAGGCCTGTCTGATAATGCCTTAAAGCTACAGACTCAACGTTACTCTAAACTAAATTTCGGATGAATGACATTACTTGGATGGCGTTTGGATGGCGGTTTGGTCATAGCGATAGAAGAGCAGGCGGCGGAAGCAATTCGGACGTCGGGAACCTCGCCTCACCGGCACCCTCGTAAGCGAGATGTGTCATCAGGACGTTCTCCTTGAAGGTACCTCGAGCACAACGTTGACCACACGTCGGCATCATTGGTATCTCCGTCCGCTTAATTCACCTCCTCCTTGTTCCTTCTTGTCCATGACCACCTCGCCACTGCCATCCTGTCCAAGGCACCTGAATGTGTCGATTGGAAGCTGACAGTTCACGACCCTCTGCCAACGTGGATCAGCAAAGGCGGGAGGATCATCCTCATTGACGACGCTGCGCACCCCTTCTTCCCGTGAGTTTCCCTTGCGATCTTTGAAGGCCTCCACCGCATATCTGGACGATCAACAGCACGAGCGCCCAAGGTGCTTCGCAAGCCATTGAAGGTGGCGTCACTCTCGCAGTTCTGTTTCAGCTCGCAGGTAAGCAGAACGTACCAGTCGCACTGCAGGCTTGGGAGAAGATCAGGTATATATTTCTCTGAATAACTAGGCGTTAACGGCTCATCTCACGTCCATAATTACCAATGCGTTCGCGACTCACAGGTCATGGGCGAGTCGACGCGTGACAAGTGGCATCATGCTCAGCTCGAGGACAAGGGCGAGAAGCTCGATATGCCACGACCTGCGTGGCTGCTCGCATTTGATGCAAAGGTACATGTATACGAGGTGTGCGACATTATAGTGCCAGTCGTCGCCAGTGCAGCCATACTATTATGAATGAATATCAATGAATGTTGGTAAGTTGTCCCCGCTTCAGTGAATATATTAATGTAAAGGTGACACACAACGCCTAAGGGGATTATGTGTGTAGTCCACCCCAAGAATCATAACCTTCGGCGCACAGGCACAAGTAAGTCCTCAGAGAATATGTAACCTTGCCCATTGAATATCTTCGTCAGCACTCATCGCTAGCCAATGCTACTGTTGTCTTCTCCCGTGCTGTTGATGCGCTTGCGTTGGTGGTTTGCTCGTAGCGTCTTCGAAGGTTGATGATAATCCATGGTCCTACCATCGCCACTTGCAGTGAAACCAGGAAGATATTGCCTTGATTGATCAATGATATCTGTCAACGTCGGCATCGGATCAGTACCACACATCATATAGAGACCGTTTGGAGATACGTACATTGCTAGTGACACCCGTAGAGTTGAGGATTGCCATGAGCATAGAGAAGGTAACACTAAAATTAGGTTAATTGTCTTGCAGTTAGGGCAAAAAGAGACTGCGATCCTCACACGAAGAAGTGTATCAAGTTATCTCGAATTATCACTCCGAGAAGAGCACTGACTGACCGAGTCAGGCTTTTCCACGACCACCCGGGGATTTCTCTGAACGCATAGCGCAGAACAGCCCCGCACAAATTGGTCTCGTAGGCCATCCACAAGGCATCGCTCGTTGGCGTGACCCACAAGAACGATGGGGGCGTTCCAATATCGCAGACGTTGAGACCAGCAACATTGGTGCGACCTTTATCACTGATAATGTTTTTCTCTTAATAAAACAGAGATGGTAATGGCTTACCAACAGCTTTGAACACGGATCGCAACATGGAGAGGTTCGATACAGTACTGATTCCCTGTACGATGACGAAGAATGTCGAGAACGTGTAAAAGAATGGTTTGGATGCTCCCAGCAGTGCGTATGCACGCATCGTCATCATCCCTGTGGATATGTTAGGGCAACGCGTTCAATGGAGTCCTGAATAAAAACAAATACTACCTTGCAATATAGATGTCAAGACTAGCTGGAGTATCTTGCGAGACGACCACAAAACGAAGCCTGCAGGATGATTGTCAAACTTCTAGCGAGCGTGAGCCAGTAAACACTCACAGCTGTGAATGACGATATCAAACCAAGATTAGAAATGATCAGTTCCAAAATTTAGTGATAAATTACCACTTCGTTGGAAAATAAGTATATTGCTACAGTACCAATGGCAACGTAATGTACTTACAAGGGGTGAAACTGGCTCGTTAAGGAGGGACGACGCTTATTAAAGAATAAGACTTTTGCCAGTATCCTGTACGTGGCGCAATTAGACGCACCCATCGTTACCCTAGGCGAGTAGGTTAATGAACAAGAGCCTTGTATAATCGAACTATTCACGTACGCCGAATAGCCCAAACCCAAGTAGCGCGACTAAACGATCAGGATCTTGTTTAGAGGACAATAGAAGACCATTTGGACAATCAAACCATCAAATACACAAAAGTTGTAGGCGTGAATTTTCGACGCTGCGTTGGATGAATATTCAGAAATTTCACATGAGATCGAGTCCGTTTCTTACCCACAGGAACTCCACCTATAGAGTACCACTTTTATATGAGTACTCAAGGCTACCAGGCGGTGGCTGCGGCTCGCTTACCTCGGGTATGAAATTAAGTACTATGGGCCAATAGTAGATCCCCCGATATAAGTGTAAGCGCAAAACGGTTGAAGCAAACATCTCCCGCACCATAGTCATATATAATTATGAATGAAGCAGCAACTGGAAAACTCAGATTTCGGCAACCTAGAAGCGATCAATACTTACGTCCCACGTATTCCTCTGTAAAATAAGCATGAGCCCATGCTAGAAGCCCCGGGTCGTACATTATTGTGATTCTTGTGGGATATATGGAAACGGATGAGTTTTACGACTATGGTGGTATTGGTCCTCTTATAAACGATGGAGAATAGATGGACAAGTTTAAACTGAATAGAGGCGGAGTTGGTGCAGAACCACGGACAGCATCACTGAACAAGAAAGATCCGGCAGCATTGCGAAATTGTAGTGTTGTGACATGTTTCAAGTTTGTTATTTGAGCAGATGGATCTCGGTAGCAACCGTAATGTTTGGTTAGATGGATCTCAAGCTCAAGCTTGGGCTGGGTTGTCTTTCCCATTTTTTCTTTCCCTACTTCGCCCCGTTCGATAAACCCGCGCTGTGGCATCTACTATCATAAAGCTAGTAGGTCACTCGGATCTCCAACCGCCTACGTCTATTGATGCAATGCAGTTGGTCATTTTTTCAGTCCCAAACTCCCTTGCCTCGCGTTTCACCATCCTCCAGACGAGTTTTTTCACTAACGACGTGCCTATCGCGCGTTTCACGTTCATAAATACCGAATTGGACCCCATTTCACGTCCAGGTAAAGTGAAAGATGTGCTCAAGATCAACGAAGGATGTTAATCGCGCTGCTCTGTGATCCTATTACAAAGTGCCCGAATGCCAGTGCATCGATTGGATCTTCACGGTTGATGACAAGTGCGGGACTGCCATTCCAAATGGCAACGCTGCTCACCCCTTCTTGCCGTGAGTTCCTCGCCCCAATATCCAGCATTTGAAGGTTTCAGTAGTTGAAACCGCCTAAGCAACAGTACAGGCGTCCGCTGAGGTGCCTGTAAAATGATCAAAACGCGCCACCCTCGCTGTTGTGGTGGCTTGAACTGTTAGAGCGGCACATGAAATCAGCAGCATGTTGGCATAGGAGAAGTTCAGGTACAGTTCGGATACAGGTTTCTCTGGCCACTTGAGCGTTCAGGTACACAGCATATACTATTCATAGGTATCAACGTGTTCGAGACTTGCAGCTCGTGTACAAATAGACCTGTGATAAGCGGCTTTAGGCCGAGCCGGAAGGCAGGAACGAGGGTTTTGATATGATTGCGACCTGGTTGATTCTTAGGTGCGGTCCTCATGGTAGACAAAGGCGATGTTAAGAATATCGAAGGCATCGGCTTCCGCCGCTGGTATGAATACATGTTATTCGTTCATCGCATGTTGCAAAGGATGCTTATGGAAGGCGTGTTATGTCCCAGATATGCCCAGTACTATGACTGCTTGAGGCGCAGAAGATATCATCGATTATCCATGGGGAATGCGTTGGAGTAAAGATAGAAAGTAACATTTACGGGATGTTCGAAGTGCTTGGAGAAGGCGATAATACGAAGGCAAAGGAGGCTTAAAACATCCGCACCCCGATTCGGCAAAGGCCGCGACGTGCGACGCGTAGGCCTCGTCATCGTCTCCCGATGTTCGACTTCCTTTACAATCTTCAACAGGCTAGTATTTACGCAATATCAACTCAAGGTACCCAATGTAATCGGTTCAAGGCAGTCTATCCATTATATCAGTCAGTCACACCGACAAATGATCGAGTGACCTCTGGTGCGCAAGATCTCGGTGAACACTAGCCATCCATTGGTATCCGCGATTCGGAGGGCGAACGCACATGTTATTCAGGGGTGAGATAGTGAGGCATACTCATCGTGCATGAGCTACCGACGCGTTAACTAGGACCTACTAACAACGCACACCTACCGCAGGCAACTACGTAACGTGTTCAAGCTGAACACGCGTTTTGGCTCTCCGCGTACCCAGTCTAGCTCAGACGGACGTCAAGCTACCTGGTGGTCCATAAGGGTAAGCACCCATAATAACAGGTCCCCTCAAGTAGGTTCATAACGACAACCAGCAGGTCTTAGCTATCAACAGGTATCTTCGGGTAGCCTTGTCTGCTCTTGATACAGCCTTGCCCTGCGCAGCCTCCTCTCGTCTTCATGGATATCTCCCGACCTGGTAAAACACTTTCATTACGGAAAAGTATTGGTGAAACCACTGGAACGGCACTAGGATTGGCGAATCGACACGATAGAAAAGCCAGTTACGACTCGGTTTCTGGTGTGGATGTCGCATCGGACGTCTGCAAGATTGATCTCGATGAATCTGCTGCGCTGTGAACTCGCTTCCCTGATGTGCATGCTGGTGTTCCAGTGGCTGTTAGGTGACGTCGGTTTCATGGATCACTGCAGTGTCCTACGCGTTGATGATGTGGACGAGGGCGTCTAGGACTCGAGTGCGAGACCACGGATGATCGCCTACCGGACAGCAGCAAGCAAGGAAGGTTGGTTGCGACTCGCGGCATGCTCTGGTATGATGCCTCGCCTTCTCCACTTTTTGACTTGAAAGTTCGCACCCAGCTGTAATGGTCTATTATTACAGGACATGCTGTGGTTGTGTTAACGGTCGTGAGTTCACCGCCAGGGCTATCCACTGCCTTTACTGATGGGCCTCCTCCAGGGGTTGAGCCCACTTTCTCGCAAGGCACAAAGATAGGCTATACAGGCTATCCATTGGGACTGGCGTGTGTACAAGGTACAGTCTAGCATATACTCGTTTGTAATGCAACCAGATTTTCTAGTTCACCTCGAAGGGTCATGCCCTTGTCTCGTTCCGCAAGGCGATTACTCGTGCAGTTTAACCCATCGGACTCAAAGCGGCATATCTGACGCGTTGACTCCGCTTTTCTCTGCTTTACTCCTTTGGCCATGAAATCTTAACAACTTCTGATAGGTCTGCTATATTTTGGTACGACGCTATCGATGAGTCAGTCTCGTCTATACCACGTCCCGAAACATCGTCACCTCCAACGCCACCGGACACACATGCTATCTGATATGTTCAAGCGGAGTTCCTATGCCTCCGTGTCAGTAACGCATGCAGCCGGCAACCACACAACTTGCCGGCCATACCCACCCGCTGATCTCCCAGGCTTCTTCGTGTGTTCCGGTGGCCCTGGGTGTTGTGTCGCGATGCTGCCGCATGCCACATACGGCACATCGAGCTAGTTTTCCGCTGTTTGGATGCTTACTTGACGGAAAGTCCCTCATTGAATTGCGGTGGCGTCGCGGCAAAAAGAGTTTGAGCTGCCCTCTCTTCTCATAGAGTCTCTCAGAGTCTCATCGGCGCGCTCGTTCCCAGCAACGAGGGCAAGGGCAACCGTGTGGTTCTGGCCCCATGGTGCGCTGTCCGCTTCGCTTGATTTGGTGTACGTTTATTGAAGGGTACGTAATTATAGTCAAGAGTGTCTGCAGGCACAGTTCTACCGCAGTCCCCGCGTCCTGCGTGTGCAAGTGAGCACTTTTTGCGCACGATTAGAGCGCGCGCGTTGGCCTCTCTCGCGTGTGTCGGTACCGGTGGGTAAATCACGTTCGCCTTGGCACACGCGCTCCCAACGAAGCCGTGCTCATGGTTTCCATCGACACTTACGGCAGAGAGAAGACGTCTCGTGCAATTGACTTGTGGATGCGGCACCGAGGGTACGTGCGCATGATCCACATCAGACTCCAGGTCGTGGACCGTGCAGGCTTGTCACCTCGCCCAGAGCTAAGGATATCTCGGGGGACGAAACTCTGATCGTGTTATCAATTTGATAATCATTCCTTTCTTTTTGGAACGAAGGTGGTCTTTCTCGAGTGCTGGTTTGGTGCGTGGAACATCGATGGACAATGCATTCAGTCGGTCTGCTGGCGCAAGCACAGGGGCCTTTACTAATTGAATCAGTTTCACTGGCGTCAATACATTCATCGTCATTCCGCGAAGCCCGTACATACGATATCGGCGCCCGTCTGTCTCGCAATGTGGCCGCATGCGACTGAACCTCGATGTGGCATGACGACAGAGAAAGAGGGAGAAATACTATCGAGCAGGGGCGGAACTGACGTCAAGTGAGCATCCGATCAGCGCTATCGATCAATGTTGGGTGATTGCCTTTCCCCAGCTACGCGAACGAAATCTACTCACGCCCAGTACCGAATTAGCCTCCGTGCTTCCCAGTGGCGTTAAGAGATGCCGTATCATCGCACATCTAGCGAATCCATCCAGAACATCCAGCGAGCGACCACTCACATAGAGTTTAATTGGTGTGGGGAGGAGAACGTACCGGGACCACTGCGCTAGCTATATCGCGCAGGAGCGAGCGGTGAGCCGATAAGTCAAGAAAGTAAGCTTCGTCTTCGGGCCGTGCCAGTGCCACAGAGCCAGTGTCCAAACGAATATTGAAGAAGAGGAAAGGGTTGCGTGTCTCGTGCACATAAGCTCTCGATTCAGCCCCGCAAACAGGCTGTGTGGGGACATTCGGGCGCTCTTCAGGAAGCCGCCGCGATTCTTCCGGAACGTGAAGAAGCGCCCTCGACATAGCACTTTGCCCACAAATAGACGCCTTCTTCCCATCACTGTTTGCTCCGATTATGGCTTGCTACGGACCTGGTCCTTACCTCGTGTTTACGTGGACTCCGCCGCCTGCTCCGCTATCTGAGTTTCGTTCAACCGTCCTGTACAGGCGTCTACCTGCAACATCTTATCTGGAGTTGCCCGCCGGGTGAGAACATACAAGCGCCACATTGAGACGAATCAAGGCAGTTTATTTACGGAATGCCCGATATGACCGTCGCCACACTGCTCTTCGATGAGGATAAGCTCAACCGCCCGCAAACGTTTCTTCGCTGGTGCTCTATTTGCACTTGCACTTTCCATGTACACGTCCGGTAATTTTCTTTCCGAGCTATCCATCCGAGTCGGACACGGAAGAGTCCGTCGCAATTCCTCTGATGGAGTTGCGGCACCATTCTGCTGTGATGGACTGCCGGTGATTGCGCTGATCCCGAGATGGCCACGGTTCCTGTGCGATTATTACTCGAGGCCAGTGCAATCCCGTAAGTTCACCGTAAGCGAGTTTAATATATCCATAAAGTGTAGTTGTACGCAAGTAGCGTAACAAGGTGTCTGTCGCGAGGAGCTCATGCGGGCCTCGTGTTTCCTGAGCCACCCTTGTGGTTTGTTTTATTGCAAAGAGTGATTCAATCAATTAAGTGCGTGCATACGCGTCCTTCGCGGGTACCTGTCAAGTTCAAGTTTGTCTATATGAGCCAGGCGGCCGCGTCAGTTTTCCGCGCCTACTGTCAATTTGTACGGTAATTGGATCAGTGCCCCTTACTGCTACGGTATCACGTATTCTCGGACAAACAATGTCCCATATGTGCGTCATGCATGGTTCTTGCCAGCTAATCGAGCCTCTGGTACCACAGCAAGGCAATCTTTCGCTATAACAACAAATCGCCTTTCTCCGAAGATCAAAACAGCGGAGACGTGCATAAACGCCGTTAGACCAGATGCCGAAGCCCTTCTTCCTGATCCTGATGAACAAGAATAATATGGTGCTCCACCCACTCCCGTATCATGGCTTGACGCGTTCCAGACCTTCCATGCAGCCCTCAGACCTGAGTATATATGGTGAAACATCGAAGTCCATGTACATACAGCTTCTTGGATACCAAGTATACACGAGCCACTCGGAGCGTTCGCATCGCTCCTTCCTTATGTCGCCGGACCCACAACGCCCATACAATGAATTTGGATCATGATCAGTATAGTGCCATGTATCACCATCATCATGCATCAGCTGCATGCATCATTAATTGCAGCAAGGATAGATCAGACGGCCATCACCCCCGCAAAAATCCGTCCGTCTGGCCATCATGCATCAGCTGCCATCCGCTCGCTCGACGAGTCGACCGCGGCGTCCAAAACCTGGTGTGCGTCCACGCTCGCATCGAGAAAGAAGGCACCCTCGGCGCAACCCTGAGGCCGGGGTACCTCGCAGGAAAGGAGGCACCCAACCGGGCAAGTCCCATACCAAAACTTGCAAGTAGCTGTATGCATGCAGCACCATCATCTTGGAGCTCGCAGCCCACTATGGCGCTTAGCCAGTGGCGTACGCGTTCCACGTTACGGAATATTCCACGCCAGCTACTAGCTATAGCACATAACTAGCCGCCCGCAATTTCGAATACGACTGACGCTGGCCAGGGAACGTAAGTTGGATCGAGCATGGCGTCTGCATAGTGGAGCATGCGCACGGAGCGGCGTATTGCACTAGTAGGATGGGGAGAAGGCACGTACACAATCACACGCCTGTCAAACCTGCGAATCCCTGATTGCGTGATTGCGAATCACGAGCCCGCACTTGCACTTACTTTGGTGATACAAAGTCCTGTTCCTGTGCTGCGCTGCAATTGCAAGTTGGAATGTTTCGAAGCGAAGCACCATGCTAAATTCAGAGGAGAACAAAAGGGTCAAGTGCATCCCTTCCAGCGCTTCAGTTCGTCTTGTCAACGCGTATGCCGATGTTGACTTGGACTTGGGCTCTCTTGGGCTTCGAATTCGCCGAGCATCGGGGCCGACGTCATCACACCAAATATTCGACGGGGCAGCACAGAGAAGAACATTGAGTTTGGGGGCAAAGCCATCTAGGCCTACGGGCGCCCGCGAATGCATGTATGCATTGATCAAGAAATCGTAGCCACAGAAGAACTACTAGAAAAAGCAGCAAAAAATAAACTTTAAAGCCGTAGCAAGTGGTATGGTGGGATGTCGATAAATAATGCAGGTGCAGGTGCAGAGCCAGAGAGGTATATCGGAATCAACGGAATAAACTTTTTACTGTAAAAGTCCTAATTTTGTAACTCTCGTTCTGTCAAGACAAGCAGAGGGGGATCGTAGTGATACAATTTGGTTACGTGCGTCTCAAGAAAATGCAAACTGCAGAATTACACGGTTTGTTGGGAGAAGAAAAGGGGCAAAAAAAAGCATAACGCGGATGGACAGCGAAAGCGAACCGTGGCAGCGCCGCAGAGAATGGTAAGCGGGAGTGGCGCCCGACGACGACGGGGAACGGGGATCAGCCGACGGGCGCTCGATGCGCCCCCGCTCCCGAGCCTGAGAAGAAAGCGTGTTGCGAGGGCGCTGCCAATAATTACGTAGCGAAGGAAGGCCGAGCGGGCTGAGCCGTCTGCCATTTTTCTATGTTGGGCGAATGTGGAGGTGACCACGAGGGGTGGGCAAGATATCGATGCAGCGGCAGCAAAACCTGATACCGGGGAATGGTGAACGGGCATGGAGCAAAAAAAGCATGGTGCGGCAGAACGCGAGAGCAGAATGTGCATGGCATGAGAATGAGAACTGACGCAGAGGATTACGCTAGGGAGGGTAACCGACAAACGAAGCGAGAGCAGGCATGGACTGTTCCATTGAGGATGCATGCGGCGGCAGTAGGAAACAGCGGGAAATCGAGAAGAGATGAGGAGAACAGTGAGGATTGCACAGGCGCGCTTGCGCCTGCGCCAGAGCCGAGTCGAAAAACGAGAGCGCCGATCTAACAGCACCGCGGCACCTGGGCCAATGACCAACGAGACTTTAGTAGCCTACGCTGGCCCTGGTCCCACTCGGCTCATCGGCTCATCGGCTCACGCGACGGCCGCCTCAGCGTCCACATGCCCGAACCTTGGCGGACTCCTCGCCCTCTGCAGCTCATGCAGCCGCCCAGGGCTGCCAGGCGCATACATGCCCGAGGCGCGCGACGCTCCCGCATCGACCCACGAATTCATGCTGGGCAGCGATCCGCTGTGCGAGCGTCCGCGTGTGTCCGGAATGGACGAGAGCGGCGCGATAGACGGGTGCGTGTATTGGTGCGGCACAAGCGAGCCCACGTGTGCAGAGATCGGCGGGAGCGCCGTCGACAAGCCCACTGATGACGGCTGCCCGCCAGGGCTCCGCGGGCGCATCGCAGAGGGCACGCTGCCTGAGGTGGTCGTCGCGAGCGGGCCACGGCGGTGTGGGAACTGTTCAGGGCGCGACCGGCCGTGTGTGCGCTCGAAGAGGCCGCACTTGTTGCACAGCTGTTGCGATGACACGAAGATCGGAGATGATTGTCGAAGATATCGGCAAGGCACCGAGGTGGGTCAAGCGAGCGGTGATAGAAGAAAAAAGAAAGCATGTTTAATAACTCGGCTAATATCTCGCATGTGAAAAAAGGGTGCTTACAACTTTTCCAGGGCTGAGGTTAGACCGACGCCATGTCGAGGTGTCCGTCGTGCTGCAGTTGTAGCATCGTCGCCGCATGCGGTCGCTGAGCTTGGTCGCGGCGTCGTCGGTGTATCCAATTTGATGGTATGCCTGACCTGGAAGAGGATACGACGAAAGGCCTCCATCCCGCGGTGCGCCATAGCTAGCGACCGAGCTCGAAGAGTATGAAGGGACGTGGTAGGGGTGCGACTCGTGTGAGTAGCGATGCTCGGCGTGCGGCCGCGGATAGCTGTAGCTGCCGGCGTGGTGTGTGCGCCCAGAGTCGCGCAGAGAATCGAGGTGGTAGGGTCTGCTGGAGACGCGGCCAATCGAGCTGCTGTGAGCATAATAGGGATCCCTGTATCCTGCGTGAACGTCTGATGCGACCCCGTGATCAGTTGGTGACCTCCTGGGAGCTGGTGAGGACACGGAGGAACGATCGAGAGACGAGACGGAGAGAGAGGGTGAGTGGGATATGGCGGCAATGGGGGGAGGCGAGGGTCGTCGACTGTACCCATAATCGTACGGGCGACTATCGTAAGAGTCGCGGCGATGTCTGTCGAATAGCGACGCGTGAGGAACGTATGACAAACTGATGGGGTATGACACGTACGAAGGAGGAAGAGGCATGGACTCGACTCTGGTAGGCATGTTGTGAATAGCGGGGAGGGTGAGCTTGTCTAGGCGAGATGGAGAGGATTTGCGGAGGAGTGATGGGCCTGAGGCGGGAGATGAAGAGTAGTGAGCAGCCAAGGGGCGGTCTGATTTATCAATGGGACGAGTGGATGAGAACTGGGGAAAGGGAGGTTCGAATCAGTATCACAGGGGCAGGGCACGTAAGTGATATCAACAAACGAACACCACGCTGATCGAGGGGATCAGGAAGTCGTAAATTTGGACGGAAGGCGGTTGCCTGCGAGATTGGGGGTGCTGAATCTGGATGGGGCCGGTGCTGGGAGGTATGCCTGTCCTGTGCAATCAAAGATAGAGGGGCCGTGACGGATTGAGCCAAGCTGGGCAGCCTGATATCAGAACGCAGACGAGGCTGGACTGGGGAGAGCTGTGGGGAGGGAGAGGGTGACCGGGAGGGGTCGGAAGGTGAATTGGAAGAGTAGCGAGCAGCCGAGGGTTCGGTGCTGTCAGCGGTGGCCTGGCTGGGGAGATGGAAGGGGGATGAAGGAGACATGGGCGGGGTATTTAAACGTCGACTTGCCATAGTTTGCGTTTGTGCGGAAGACAGGACCCGAACAAGGGGCGATCGATGTTGTCGACTCTTAGTCTGGGTGCGTCTGGCGCGGGTAGGAGGAGATTTGGAGGAGATTCGGCGATTGGAGAAGACGACATCGTGACCCGCCGCTGGGCTATCAGAAACAGAACCCACGCAAAAATCTATCCATCCTCCCCCGACACCGAATCCCGTTTTTGGTCCGCAGTTCATTCATTATTATTTTTTCTCTTTCCGCAAGCGGAGACCCAATATCGCCCACTCCCACACCCACCCCCCTGGCATTTTTGAGTCGCCGACCGGTGCGATAAGCTCCGCGACAGCATGCTCCCTTCCTTTCCAGACCATGCCGCCTCACCCTTCTGCCGTAAACCAGTCCGTCCTGCCATCCACCCACTTGCCCATCTCGCCCCAATGACCTGAATCCTCTCTCACCCGTCCAAAAACGCTCGATACGCTCTCCTCGCCTCTCCCCTCGTACAGTCGCCGCAAACTCGCCTCCATTCTCACACATAGAGTACATACTTAGACCATGCTGTGTGGTCACACTTCTCCGAATCAGGGTATTCATCTTGATCGCCTACCCTATCACAACGACCCTGTCCATCAATCAGATTTCGAGTTTCTTGACCAATTCATATTCCGAGTTTCTTCGCCCCCGGAACGTCAGCGAAACCTTCAACCTTGATTAGGCCCCCGTGTTCTCCCATCCCCTGCCCTCCTCCTCCCAATGACGATGCTCTTGCCGCTTGTGCTTCCTTTCTGCCTATTGCCAGCGCAACACACGTGTCGCACATCATCAATATTGTATTCTTCCGTTGGGACACGCCCGCGGCCCTTTTGTTGCCCGTGGCCAGACATGGAAGAATGTTTCATCACATTTGCATGCGACACGACGTGGCCCATCGATCCGTCTCGCTCAGAGAACGTGTTTCAGGAGGAACGCCGGGACACACGCACAGACGCACAGACCACAGTCTATCTGCCAATCTACCGCAACTCCCAGCACTTCCCAGCTCCCACCCCAGCAGACCCAGCTAATCCCAGTACCCGTGCCGAGGCTGTGGTCCGCCGCCGGTGCCCTCCCTTTTTTGAAACTCGTCGAGCTTTTTCCAGATTAGGCTCACGAAGCTCTCCCATACCCTATTGACTTGGGTGGTTCTTTCACAGCTCACAGCAACTTTTGAGTTTGAGTTTCTCCCCACTGCCCACCTGCTTAGCATGGTGGCCAGTTGCCTCTGTCCCCGACCAGCCAATGGCGCGGCGTCCATCATTCATCAATGAGAACCTCCACCAGCGCGGCGGTGCGGTACGAGTTCAACACCCCCATGATACGTCTTATGTGTGTTCTACTAATAGCTACTCTCATTTCAGCGAGGTCTTGGGCCTGTAATCAAATGGGCGTTACCGTATACGTGCTGTATACGCACAACAGGTCTGCTTTTGCGTCGATGTGATCCTGATGTTCTTATCTATGAACCCACGAGCTACGAATCAAGACAACGGGATAGGCGCCTATAAGGTCTAGGTCCCGATCCATCGGTGGACGATGTCGATGGGAAGGGAAGCTGCATTACGGCGCGATTTCATTATGAATGAACACTACCGCCGCCACCCGACAGACAATTTAACTAGCAGCTCGAGGTAAGCGAACGATCTTCGAGCAGAAGGCGGCTACGTTTTTGCCTATCATCCGTTACTGTGCGTTTTATCTCATCGCTTCCGTTCCATTGCTAAATAAACGCTGATGGATCTACTCGTGGGTGTGACATCAATTACATGGGCATCTTACGGGGCTCTACAGCATTCACAGCAACAGCTGTACTCATAGTCCTCGGACGAGAAAGTATGCTGGCTATCTGGAGCAACGAACCACTGAGCGAGCGAAACTACAGATGCTGTGCACAGCTATGGGGTCCTGAACCCATCTTCCGCCGTCCAAAGCAAACGAAAGCCGCTCGCTCGGAGAGAATCCCCGTCTTTGGACTGGGGCTCATGTATTCGTCGCATCCCACAGTACGTTCAACGTCGCAGACCTAGATCTCAGATGGCCTAACCCCATCACTGCTACGGTAGATCACCGTACGGCGTACAGGATCAATCCACAGCAATGTTGAATTGATTGCATCCGTGATGTATGGAGCTCAACTCCGAAACCGTCAAGAAACCGTTCCTTCCCTTATGCCGCCGGCGACTTAACGTGCTCCCTGCTGTATCACGAGACTGCTTGACATGGGAGCGAACGCTTGGATGAGGTGTGCAGAGTCCAGATGGAGCGGCTTGGACGTCTGAGCATCTTGACGGTGGTGGTGTACTCCGTCCAATTCAACGGCCAAGAGCGTTGCGTGTTCGGCTCCATCATCGGCGTTGGGTTAATCAGGCTAATTAGACGATTTTAAAGGACGACTGGTGCGTGCTCAAATGCAAGCTGACATCCTCTGCGCTTGGACCGCCGGAGCCCCTGTCTTTGCATGTCTCGCTTTTACTTATGGTCGATGCGTTGCCATTCAACGGCACATGTGTTACTGCCAACTAAAACGGTCCCTTGGTCAAAGCGTCTCGCCAGCACATGAGCTATCGCGCATCGACAACATCGCCGCGCATAAAACAGCCCCAGGATTTTCCCAATGCCTCAGACCGCAACAGCACAGTGCCCCCTCAAGGTCTCACCAGCAGATCCCATCAGACAGCCGCTCTCGAGGTCGCGTCTCATACACACAAGCATCAACATCACTATCATTATCATCACCCTCAACAGCCATCACCCTTCCGTCCGTGCATCTCGACAGTTCTCGCGACCCGCATCACGCCATCCCATCTTGTCTGCCTATTTCCCTTCTTTGGACTCCTTCATTACAAGGAACCGAACGAGCTGCACAGCTAGCAAGCGAACGCGCGCCAGAAACGGGAATAACATATCTGCATACAGTATACAGAGAAAAAAATGAGTTCGGACGCCGCGACAGATCACACGACGGTGACGGGGCATATGCATGCTCTTACTGAACCTCGCGTTCTTGCTGGTCTGACTTCTTCTTCCCGTTCTCACACGGTGCCTGCGCGCCCTACGGGCACGGTCAAGGCTCCGCCTACTCCTCGAGTCTCGGGGCTTCACAGGGCAGAGTCGATGCCTGCTGCCTTGGAGCTGGTGCCAGCAAACTCGATGGCAAACAGACATCATCATGTGCCAGCTAGCAGCGTTTCTTCTACAACCAGCTCGCTGTGTGAGGGCAGCTTCAGCTCTAAGTCTATCTCAGCGTCAAGCGCTAAAAGCGACATCTCCGCCGCGAGCTCGTGCTCGAGCGCTACACCTCCCTCGGGCACGTTCGCCGCGACTTCTGCGAGAGAACGTGAACGCAAACGCCGACGCAGCAGCTCCGTAGATTCTGATACTGCGGTCTCTACGACATCGGCGACGTCCGCTTCCAGTCTCTTCGACTTCGAGAGAAAAAAACGCAAGCGTCAAAGCTCGTTCTCGCTCCCATCTTCCAGGAACTCGCAGACGCTGGCCACTCTGAAATATCTCCTTAGCAACAAAGACGTCAAATCCGAGCTCGAAAAAGCGCTCTCCGCCTCTTGCGGCTCGATCGAGCCCTTCCATTCCTTACTCCAGTCGCTGACCGAAATTGGGATCGTGAAGGGCTACATGCGCGACGCCGCACGAGACCGAAACGAGCGGCACTGCGTGCGGTGCCACGCTTCCTACGTTGAGGCTGATAACGGCGTCAGGAAATGCATCGTCTGGGCTCGAAGCGCATTTAAGGCCACGCAAGACGCGAGGGTCCCCGCGGACCAGACGTGCGAGAAGATCGTCGTCGGCCAGAACGGTACGTCGGTTAAGCCGATTTTTGTCGGACGGCATACGACGAGACCCGACGGTGTTGAGTATGGGATGGAGGTGAAGCGGTTCCATGAGTGGGCGAAGCCTTGTAAGCCCGGTCGGGACTGATGCGTTCATCGGGGCTTTCTCAGTAGAAAATAATCGCTCCCAGGGAGGAATACCTATGCCCATATACTGTACCTATGCCTATGAAATCTATTCTCCAAATTCCTGACTTCGAATACCGCTCCGTTACAGAACAAGTTCTGAGTAACGTAAGCAATCAATTAACGAGGTTAATGATTAATGAGGTCTCCTCTGGTGTTGGCCTACAGGCATCTACCTTGGCATGTCTCTATGAAACTAACCAAATTAGAACTCGTACTGTACACGCGGCGAACGCTTTGTCGTGTGAAGGTATTCTTGGCTTGCTTCTTATTACTTTTGTGTGCCACATCACTCTTCATGTTTCATCGCTTGTCGCCGCGGTAGAACAACCAGATGTACAAAGTTGGACAAAGATCATCCTCCATCACGCTGGACTCACGGCTCCTGCACTGACTTGAAAATTAAATATCAAGATCAACGCCAGCAGCACCACATCATATACAGGCAAACAACAAGGCAACTGAAACACAGACCGCGAGACGAAGGCCGTCAAGTGAGCCAAAACCCAGTTGTCCCACGATCTGCACAAAACTAATGCAGCGGGATGCCAGAAAATCTCCGGGGGCGAGCAGATAATCAAAGTGTATAATCACGAACGCGATGCTTGATTCATCCCACTGTACAACGTAACATCGCCTCCAGGTATCGCAAATTGTTGTTGAACAATCGTCACCGTGCCAACAATCCCGCGAGAGCTTTTCTTCTCGAAACATTGTTTACAGATCATCACTTGGACCTGTCCACATTTGTTATCAGCAACAAAGAAGAGAACATCATTATCGAGGCTGCGGATGCCCATAAATGTTGATCATCCTTGTTCATTATAGAAGCTGACTTGTTTCAACAGCTAGCTGTGCTTGAGAATTTATGAAGTGTGTACGAAAGGAGACCTTGGAATGATGCCATCCGAAAAGCGGGGAACGTGGTGAACTGTTCATCTACGTGCATTATTTTCAGGGCTCGATGCATCAAAATCAGGAGGCTTAGTTCCACGTTCATGGATAGTGTGCTTATCCCTAGGCCTGGCTATGATAAAGCCTCACCTTGAGAGCAATTCAATATTTGTATATGCAGTGGATGTGATTTGATACGGGCGTATCGTGTGTTGAACGTAAGGAACCTGAATCAGACAGAAGTAGATACCGTTGGACATTCATTCCACTATGCATGAGAGATTGACATTACTCATACTCAGGAATATGACGCGATGTTTGTCACGCTAGAATTTTAACAAGTACGAGGTGTAGCTGAGGTGTAGGCACATCTAATGAACGAGGTTTTTGTGATTGAAACTCCGACACGCTTGCGGAAACGCAGAAAAAAGTAGTGGGCCCAGCCGGGAATTGAACCCGGGACCACTCACATGCTTCCACACCAAGTGCGGGGGTGTTACCCGAAGCGAGTATCATACTACTAGACCACTGGGCCGTTGAAATGGAGTCCTCAGGGGCCCTATAGAGCTAAGGTCCACGATTACATAGCGTGCAAGGAGTACTAATGTCAGCACCCAGCGGTGGGCAATTATGTACCGGTATTGTATATACGGCAAGTGAGACCCAGCTCTGGTGTGCTATACCAATAAAAGGACAGTTCTGCTGTCTGTTAAAAACATATTTAGTTATTTACCACTAAGATGAAAGAAGAAAACCGAGAGACCAAAACATGAACGAGCGAGCGAGCAAAGGTGAGATCAAAGCGGAGAACAAGCAAAGAGACCAGACAAGAAACAGTAAAAGAGTGACTGAGACAAACGAGAAACTAGTCCATGACCCAGTACCGTACAGGCTGACTACCGCCTATCTCGGGATGGAGAAGGATAGAAGAGAGCCAGTACTGGAGTTGTCGCCGGCGTTGATCGAGGAACGCGGGGCGGTACTTAGCGAAAGGAGATTTGGGCGGAAGTGGAGGAATGAAGTGTTGTTGATGATTCTGAAAGGCGTGAGCGGCATCAGCATCGATGTTCTGCTTCACCATGACCATATGACATACGGGGAGGTATCGGCGCAAGGCCAGGTACAGCTGTTCGAACGCGCTGTAGCGCTTATGTGCATGGATAGTGGTACCCTTCCAGCGTATTAGGTCGGGGGTTCAGCAAGACACCGGCCCAAGGAGACGCACCTCTTTGGTTTTGATGACACAGTCGTACACTTTGGACATCCTTGCTTAACCCCACTCCGACAAGCATACGAACAGGCACTCACCAACATAGGCCCCTCCAAGCTTGTCTCCTACACTTGTCCACCCACTGATCTCGACCTTGCGAGCAAACGCAAGGCTTTCTCCGATGTTGTCGCCTAGCCATATGTCGTTCGAGAACATCGATGGGGCTCCATTCACGCTCGGGGACTTTGGCGTAGGCTGCCAGCTCGGCTGTCCCGGATCCTGCGAGTAATGGTGAAACCACCTCTCTCACCGTGCAGGCACCGGGTCAAAACATACCTCTGTCAGATCCTCGTACATCCGGGCTTCTTCCTCGATGTCTATCCGGTCAGGGATGACCACTAGAAGGCCCTTTGAATTGCTGAATGGGTGCACGGGCGGAGGCGAGGCCGGAACATGCGTATTGGGCGAAGGCATAGCGGCAGGAATATCCTAGACAAAGGAAGAGACAGTGGGTTGAGGTGAGATAAGCAGAGGGCGTCAACGTCTTCCCCACTCCAACCTTCGGCCTCAAGGGCATTCGGGGCGACACCGTAAGGATGACATATCACGCTTACGACGGTAGAAGAAAACGCCCGAATTCCGACAGCAGCTCCGAAACCGCGGCAACACGCGACTCTTTGGCTCGAACGAGACTCGAGTTACATAAGACTTGAGGCTACTTCCTACGTTTTCTACAGCATGCAACCTGCCTTTGTTGTTAGTGTATAAGTCTCCTGGCATCTTTACTGCATGACGTCTTGGATGTTGCGGCGCTGCTTCGTATGGGCGTCCCCGCCTGCAGCTACATCCAAGCTGCATCGGCACCTTCGTCTTCAAGTTTAAGTTGATCACCCCAAGTATAAAGTTGCTGATGGTTAGGAACTACAGTGTCAGCGTTCTAGAGATTACCTATCTTCCCGACCTGCGGTACCCTTGACTTAACTCGTGCCTTCCTGGAGAGCAGCCGTTCTCGTTGTAGATACAGAGAATGTTTATTTCGGGAAACACAGAAGGCTAAGCGGAGTGATGTACCAGATTGTTGCAAGGCAGCACACGCTATGGAATATTAAGGCAGTCTGCACAAAACTCGCTAACTCAACATTCAGCGTGTACAGCTTGTTTCCACCTCTAGCCTCACAGAATCCAAGCACTGACTGAATGCCGCATCTTTCAATTCATAGCAGAAATATGGGTTTCAGACGGACAATTTACGACATGAACAATAAACAGGAAAGTGAACAGCGACGACGTGCGCGAAATGTAGGGGACTCCATTAACCTAGACGCACACACCGACCTTCTTAGCTCTTTCCATGAAATATCGCGAGATAGGTAGTCTGGTGGGGAATGGATTGAGTGGTAGTACGCATCTACGAATATGTCTCGACGTACAGGTAGTGGTTTTAGCCATGGTTAAAAATGGCCAAGGTCTTTGAGCCTACACGTGACGAAATGCCTGACCCATGCATCGCCCTAGGTAGATATGGACTTGGTTTTTGTTCAAGCGTGCGCGTGAACCTTTCATATTTCTGTGAAGCTGATAGGTGCAGTATTGGCCCGATTTCTACCACCATCAGTAGAGAGCGATCGCAGTAACCTTGTCAGTAGCGTAGAACACGCCACTCTAATGACAACAATGACAACACGTGGCGATAGACGCAAGCCCTGTGTTTCTCCCGGGCGTTGGCACCAGTCCACCCGTAAATGAACATGGGACTGACTCAAAGCAGGCTGTGGACTCTCTGTTTTAAAACCCGCCGCTTATGTCGTTAGTTTATGTTAACATCTGTTTCCAAATTCAGTGACATTCCGCTTGCCGAGCTGATGCCGTGGTACACAGAGATAAGTTTCAAATTGTGCTAAATGAAGAGAGATTATCAAGATCTCAGCTACTCGTTGGGCACTCGGCATCAGCACATCCCGGCTCGCTGTGCCCCTGTGACCGGTTCTATATTCGATCCTCAAGGTTCATACAAAGACCAAACTCCCACCTGTCGCTATGCTCTCCGCCCTCAGCTCTTCCACGAGGATGTATGACCCGGAGCTTGTGACATGGGCTCAACTCTACATTACAGAAGAATACATAGGACGTGAGCTTCGTCCGTTTCAATCTTCTCAACAATCGAACTGAGAGCTGAGTTATTCAGTTGCCGCTTCATTCATGATAATGTATAACTATGGTGCGGGAGATTTTTATGTTGAATATTCCGTATCTCATATATTGATTTAATTGTCTCACAGTGCTGAACTTCATACCTGAGGCAAGCAAGCCGCATCTACTGTAGCATGGTGAACCTCGGTACTCATACATCCCTTTTAGGTAGAGTTTCTGTGGGTGAGAGACATAATCGTTCCTATACACCTTGTGCTCATTTATTCTCCGCAGCGTCGAAAATTCACGTCTGTAACTCTTGTATACATGACGGTGTGATTGCTTCACTCGGAGGTTCATTATATAGCCACTTAATCAAATCTGGAATGGCCTAGCTGCGCTACCTGGGCTTAGGCTATTCGGGGTACGTGGACGGTTCGATTATTGCTCATATCGGTTTACCCTTGTCTAGACTCATGATGGGTGGGTCTACCCACGCCACGCATATTTCAACTCTTAATCGCCGTCCAGCGTCATCCATCTTGAACGAACCAGTGTCACCACTTGTAAGTGCATGTCGTCATCTTTCAAGCATCATACTCATTTTCTTGATGAAGTGGTAGTGTATCAACGAATCTCGCGAATGATTAATTCTAATCTCAACTCGGTGGCATCTCTGGCAGCTGTAAGCGCTTGTTTCTACCTTTTTACCATTCTGATGAACGTGCTGTAGGCTTTGCATTATGGTCATCCCGGGAAGTGCTTCAGTTAATTCTGACATGTGTATTGCAAGGTTCTTTTTATTCTGCTTCTACGGCGGCCGGGCTTATAGCCCTAATGTCCAGGAATGATGACAATGCGTGCATACGCACTTATGGGAAGATCCAAACCATTCCTGTATTCTGTCTCTGCATTCTTTCTCATTGTTCAGGGTATCAGCATCGTGTCGAACCTGTCCATGTTCGGATCTGTGCTCACAGCCGCAAGTAAGCTCAGAGATTCTTGAGAGATTTATCAACTGAATAACGTACAGATCGTATCAATGTCGCCGGTTTCAACGTTTGTGACATTGGAGCGCCAGCATCATTATCGTGGGTTACACCAACAAGCAATACTTTATGGATGACCTACGAGACTATCCTGTGTGGTGCAGTTCTGCGTTATGCATTCAAAGAGATCCCTGCATCGTCGTGGAGGAGCCCGACTCGGTCAGTTAGCGCTCTCGTGGCGGTAATAATTCGAGACAATCTAGTCCACTTCTTTATGTGAGAGCTCGTCTCGCCAGGTCGTCAGAAGTAACTAACTGAGATTTAGTGTTACCTTCTCAATGCTCATTGCTATCCTCAACGCCACCGGTGTCACCAGCAATGTAAGTGTCTGAAGGGTAGTCCTCGTTTGTGGCCTTTGGCTGAACCGGTGCGGACGTTGGCAGATATCCGCGATTGAGAATGGGTCCAGCTTTCTGGTTTCATTGCAAGTAGCGATGATAGGCCCATGGATTATCATCAACCTTCGGAGGAGCTATGAGCGAACCGCCAACCCAGGCGCATCAGAATCATGGGAGATGACAACAGTAGCATTTGCTAGCGACGAACCATGGCCAAAGTCAGGGCACGAGGCTTGAGGAACCAGATACCGAGTGAATCGGCGATGATTGCGCACCTAAAAGTATTCATTTCTTACAGACTCTGACAAGAATTGTAATCTAGTATATAATGTGTGTACATGAGAAGTCCTGGGCACATTCTGTTGAGCATGGGTTCGGTTCTTGAATAATCGTGAAATATCGGAGGAAGGTGGTCACTAGAAGGGTGGGAAGTGATTGAAAAGCAACGGCGGAATTATTAGGGAAAAGACCCGATAGAGTTCTCGCATTGTTAATGAGGGATATATGTATATGCTTCCGTTGTATTTTTTTTGCCTAGCACATCAGGCGGACGAAGAGTATGCGGAATTGATACCCAAGCATGACGTAGAGACTGCTATGTGACGAAGGCTAGCGGAACATGACAAGCACTTCCGAACGCCGACGGCAGCCTCGGCCCGTGTCCGAATTTGGATGGCATAAGCGCCGTTGGTTCGCGTCTACGGTCTTTTGCGTTGACTTCCCCATTGCACATCCCAATGCTGAGGCTGTTACAACCGGTGAACCCTCCAAACTTCAATAAATTGACATTTTGTAAGGCGTAGGTGTAAAGTTAATACTCCATTACGCACATCCTACCCCTTCCGATCAGCTGACGTCGCCAAGAAGATGGAACTATTCTTTGAACGCATCGGACTCTCTTGCGAATTGTCAAGAGTCGCTACGCTTTCCTTCAAGCTCCAATCATCCTCATAAATCAATTGATTCCCCTCACTTGAGACTCTACACGAACTGTAGAAGATGCACCAGGGACAGAAGGGGCCTGCATACATCTGTGAGTTAACATTGGCCGCGTTTGTCGCAAATCTGCATTAGCGGTTATATCGGCGTTATAGGAGCTTACAATGCCTTATAAGGGGTTGTAACTGACATCTTTCAGGCGGCGCTTGCAAGCCAATTTAACTTGGTCCAAGAGAAGAGTCGCGGTTGGCAAGCGGATTGAACAAGGATTGGCAGCAGGTTGTAACGATCTTGCAACGCGCTTTTAGCGGCCTACAAGCGAGCTCTGACCACGTAATATTCACCATTTTAGCTGCTAAACGGTTGCAAGTCAGTGGCAACCCACTTAAATAAGGTTTAAACTATTTTTCGGACTTCATTTGGACTCCCTGGTTGCAACCGGAGATGCAGATTTCCGACATTGTTCGCTTACTAGGCGTCACAGTCTCCGTCTGAAAGGCTAGAAGCTACAACCATGCTCATGTTGTGTTCTGAACAAGAAGTTTCTCGCCTTTACTGATGCTATGACGGAAAGACGCTGCTAGTGGAGAGACGAGACTGCTATAGCGCGCGGGGACATCTTCTTGCCGTCTCTTCACTCGCCATCTTCATCGGCTTGTGACATATCCCGCTCCAAACTGAACCTCTCGTGTAGATCAAGGTGTTGATGTATAATCAGGCACGCATTCTGTCGCTGATTGCAACCTGCTATCCCCTCTGTGATGTGAGATCTAATGACCACCCGATGTTGTCTGGAGCCGGAGCCAGCTTCACTCGAGACCCGCCAAAAATCTTCATACAGTAACCTAATAGGTGCACTATCACCGAAGAGACTCGTCGGGATGGCGGCAGATTGCTATGCAAGACAATTCAGGATTGGACGATTGACAATGATTCTCGAATGCACGATTAGCGAAGGCAGACGACTGGAGATTCAAGTCGACGTATAGACAATGGCAGTACTGTGATCCCACGTCAGAATACACGGCCAAATTTCTAAAAGGCCTGGAATATTTTTGAGACATGAAATCGTGCTAAATTTGAGTTTGGAAACCCGTCAGGACATAATCTCTCATTAAAAAAATCCTTGAAGTGTTAAAGTTGCGGGATCCCTCTTGATTCAAGGATCGGTGAAATTGGGCGTTATCGGGGACCCACGTCAGAATGCACAGTTTGTAATGCTTCCGGTGGCGGTGGTTCACGCCAAATTGGGAAGGAAGGCGGCTTAGGCGAGCCTCAAAAAGGGAATGCGGGTTCATTAGTCGCGTGTCGCTAACGGCGTTACGGTGGCTATTGGGCGTGATAACGTCCCGAGAGGGAGTTCTTCAGCTATTTGAAGTTATAGAGAGTTCCTGCCCTTATGATATGCCCAATTGTATCTCAAAGTCAGCTCGAGAGGCGTAATTAGCACCCTTGACCTACTCAAGCTGTATAGCGCAACTGTACGAGTGCCTAAAGTTTAATAAAGCTCAAATTTTTTCAAAGTAGCCCATTTTTCACCTTCTAGTACTCGTAGCTCGTCATCCAGATGTTATCCGGCCCTACAAACATTATGGCACATTGAATATGATCCAAACATAATTGTCATGAATTTACTTTGAGAGTTTTGCACGGGAAACGGGCTAGAAAGCGAAGTGTGCATCCTGACGTGGGTGTGTATTCTGACGTGGGATCACAGTAGATGTCATGTTGTGGATACGACGAGCGTAGAGCAGGAGAGGAAGAAAGAGCGATGAGGACACACCAGCGCTAAGGGCTATCAGAGATCCATCACATCAAATTACTAAACATGAAACATGGTACGCTGGTAAGAGCTCGAACATACGGCTAACACTCCCGTATAGGGTATATATTCAGTGTTGGTTTACGCGCCGAGCTAGTCTCGAACTAGCCGCTCCGCTAAAAGGAGCGGCTGGCTCCAGAATAAGTCTGTTTCCGTGAGGGCCGTATCTATATTTGTTCTCCGATTCTCCGACGCTCATAAGAAGACCAGAAGCTCGCTCGTCACCTTAACCCTTTTTGTTTCCAACTCTCCCTCAAGGATGTACGATCCAGAGCTTCTAGCATGGGCTCGACTTTATTTCACAGAAGAATATATAGGGCGTAGGTCTTGATCAGTTGGACCTTCGGAAACGGAGCTGAAGGCTCAGCTGTTTAGTTGCTGCATCGTTCATGATCATATACGACTATGGTGAGTGCGAGATATGCTCCAGATGTTCTGCGCTTTAACTTAGTTCGAGACACTGACTGTTTCACCTTAGCTCTCAACTTCATACCAGAGGCAGGCGAGCCATAGCTATCCCGATGAACTTGAGTGCTCATGTGATTCTCTATAGGTGGAGTTCCTATGGGTAAGAGACCATGTCGTGCTATTTACAGCGCACTGAGTAATGATCCATCGCAGCGTCGGAAATTCACGTCTACAACTCTTGTATATATGACGGTTTGTTCTTTTCATCTGGTCTCAAGTCGTCAGCTGAAACAAGAGTGTGATTGTATAGCTGCGGTACTTGGGCCTAGGCTACGCCGCGTACGTGAGCAATCCGAAGGTACAAGACTCTTATCCACCCTTACTTATATAGGGTAACGATGGGTGCGTCTACTTGCGCGACGTATATGGCAACGTCTTATTAATTATTCTTTGGTAAGCATCATCAATCCTCGACGAACCAGTGTCACCCCTTGTGAGCACATGCCTCTGTCGTTACAATGATAAACTTATCTTATCAATGAAGTGGTAATGTATGACCGAATACTTGAAGCGACTGATCCTGATTGCGCCTTGGTGCTTTCGTTCGCAGCTGTGAGCGCTTGTCTTATCGCGCTTGTCTTAGACTTGACAAGTGTCCTTCAGGCTTCGTTTTATGGTCGTCTCGCAAGATACTAGAAGCAGTGTTGACATGTGTACTACAAGGTTCCCTTCGGTTTTATTCCTAAGATATTAAACTTACCTTATACTCAGGGATGATGACGATGCGTGCTTATGCACTGCTGGGAGCATGTAAACCATTCCTTTATGTTTTCTCGGTATTATTCGTCGTTGTGCAAGGGATCAGTATCGTATCGACCCTTTTGATGTTGGGACCCGTGCTCAAGACTGCCGGTAAGCCATGGTCGCCTCTGCTTCGAAAAACCTAACGGAGATAAAGGTCGCACTAACATTGCTGGTCTCAACGTTTGCGATGTTGGGACGACAGCATCATTCTCGTGGGTTACGCCAACGAGCGATACCTTGTGGATGACATACGAGACCATTCTATGTGGCGCCGTTCTGCGCTATGCTATCAGAGAGATCCCCACATCGTCGTGGAAAAGCCCGACGCGGTCAGTCGGCGCTCTCTTAAGAGTAATAATTCGAGACAACTTGATACACTTTTTCATGTGAGTCGCAGGCTCCTCTTGTCGTATCGACCGAAGTGATTGACCGACATCTAGTGTTACCTTTTCGCTACTCATGGCCACCCTCAACGCCACGGGTATCACTAGCAACGTGCGTCTCTACAGATAGCATCTGCGTTCTAAATGAGGTTAATTTGGTGTTGACGCTGGCAGGTGACCGTAATTGATCACGGCAACGTCTTCTTGGTTTCACTGCAAGTTGCGATGATAGGCCCATGGATTATCATCAACCTTCGGAGGAGCTATGAACAAACCGCCTATGCAGGCGCATCAAGCTTCTGGGAGGTGACGACGGTCGAATTTGCTAGTGATGAGTCCTGGCAAAAGTCAGAGCACGAAATCGAAGGAGCTAGATACTCAGCTACTGGTAGGCAGTCATATACTCCCCTGTAGGGCTAAGGTCCCGATTCTTGGGTAGACTACTATTATTACCTTTGGGCGTCGCTTTATGCCTTCACTTCAAAGTACTCGCCAGAAATATCATAACAATGTTCATTCAGAGCAGCGTGGTTGTACAGATTACGACCGGCACTGCACTGCGTCCCATTAGTACTGTTTACACGATGAAATCAACATACGCATACAATCAGGCCAGAGTCGGAAGACTATAACCCTCTCGCTCGATCTCCTCCCTAATATCGTCGTATACCTCGTAGGCGTGTGCCTCCGCATCAAACGCAAATAGCCACGCAGGTCGTGGCATATCGAGCTTCTCGCCCTTGTCCTCGGGCTTCGCCTGATGCCATTTGTCACGCGTCGACTCGCCCATGACCTGTGAGTCGCGAACGCGCTGGTACCTATGGACGTGAAATGAGCCGTTAACACCTAGTTATTCAGAGAAATATATACCTGATCTTCTCCCAAGCCTGCAGTGCGACTGGTACGTTCTGCTTACCTGCCAGCTGAAGCAGAACTGCGAGAGTGACGCCGTCCTCGATGGCTTGCGAAGCACCTTGGGCGCTCGTGCTGTTGATCGGCAAGATAAGCGGTGGAGACCCTCAAGGGTCGCAAGGGAGACTCACGGCAAGAAGGGGTGCGCAGCGTCGCCAATGAGGATGATCCTCCCGCTTTTGCTGATCCACGTTGGCAGAGGGTCGTGAACTGTTAGCTTCCAATCGACGCACTCAGGCGCCTTGGATAGGATAGCAGCGCAGCGCGGGTCCCATCCTTGGACTATTTTGAGGACGTCCTCCATCTTGCCTGGGAGAGAAGACGTATCAAGAAGTCCGGTGTCGTCTCTACAATTGAAGCATTCGCTGAGTCTTATTAGTACGGCGAGACAGTAGGTGCTTACTTGTGCGTGATGACCCATGAGATGGTCTTGCCGCCGAGGTTGGACGAAGTGAGCATGTGGACGTCTTGGCCTGGTCAATGACCTCATGAGCTGGTTTCTCAATCTGGTGCATCCCACTTCTCCGCACCTATCCAGCCGTAGAACACATCCCCGTCTGTGACCATGTGCCGAGTAAGCGGGTCCTTATCAACACCCTGTTCGGCAGCGTCGAACCAGGCTCTGTACACGGCATAGCCAGACGGCTTCGGTCTGTCTTGATAGTTCTGATCAATGTGAGAAGACGGATATCGACAGTTATATGCGACGTACCAAAACGAACTTGCGCGCAAAACTTCTCACTCCATCAGCCGCGACGACTACATCTGCTTCAAGCTCTTCGCCACCCATCAACGTGACACCGCTTGCACCTCGCGCGTCATCTTCCCAGTACTCCGCCACTTCCTCACCCATGCGGATGTTGACGCCGAGCTCGAGCGCATGTTCGAATAAGATGCCATGGATCTCGGCACGATGCCCGTTATAGCTATATGCGCCAAACATGGGCTGTTCGGACTTCTGAAAGCGGACGAGTTCGCCGAGATGGTTGTGGAGGTTGAGCCCGGGATGATGACCGCACACGGCCCAAAGCCTTAGGAAGCAACAATGATGGGGGAGTTCGGGAGGGGAGATTTATCAAACTCACCGGTCGTGCAACCCCCAGCGAGCGAGAATCCTCCCTGCGTTAGGGCCCAAGCTGAGGATATCTCCTGCAAAGTTCGAGAAAGTCAGTTTATGGCAGTATGGTCGAGCGGTCTTGTTCGTCTACAACCACCATGCACGAGAGCTTTGAACGCATCGCGCCTCTAGGCAGCTCAGGTATCAAGATCGTCGTCGTTGGTGCGGGGTACGCAGGCCCTATGAAAAATGACTCCGTCGCTACTCATTGTAGTAGGTTCCTTCTCTTTGGCACTCATTCTACTCCATTGGGCCCAGATGATAGCCTGAAATAGTACAGAAGATGTCAAAATGCGAGAATGGAATTTGAATTCCATACCAAACATCGTCAACCTGGTGTTCGATTCCAATCTGAATATTAGCTTATGATATTGATTCTGGCTCCGTTTCGAATCCCCTTGAACCAAATCGTGTCAGTGCAAACACAAATCCGTTCTATTAAGAGTCGCGACGTCGATGTCGGTATACTTGGCACAGTAGCACCATTAATCCTGATTGGTAAAAGGGTGGTGTCTTTTCTTATATCCACTGGGAGCTATATACAATGCCAGCTTTGCTTTAACTAGGTTATCTGAGATTGAGGTGGCTCTAATTATCTCAGTGTCAATTCCGAATAAAACAAGCCGGTTGCAGCAGTAACAGTGAAAGCCGAAGACAACAGCCTGCTGCCTTATGAGATCCTATGGGGGCTGCGCCACTGCGGGGTCTGAAAGAACTTGCCTAATCCAGTCGTGCTCCTGACTTCGTGATAAGGCGCGTTGGGGAAAGCAGATTTGTTGAAATGCACCTTTCTCCCCAACGTCTCCCACTCCCCTCGACGACATCCTCCTTGCCCAGCTAGCACCAACGCTGGTGCCGTCTTGCCTCTGTTTCAGCACGTTTTCTCCCTCTGCATCGGTCACGGACAGCATGGTTTCTCCCTGGTATGTGAGTACTACTTATTTCCCGTGCACCTGCGACTACTTGTGCTAATAAAGTATGCAAATAGAAATAGTAGTCATTATGTCACAGATGTAGACAAGCCTACTAGCGTGTCTCATCTGGAGAAGCAAACAGACGATAGAGGCGGGGGAAAACAGGATGGAGGGAGAAAGAGTAGCAAAGCAACTCGGGATTGAGGTAAGTGGTGTGTTCTGTCGCAATGCCTCTAATCTCAACGTGGCCAGTGCACTTCGCTTGCCCCTGTTAACGTTTGCTCCATTTTGGGGGTAAGTCTTAGATTTTTCTGTTGGAATGCACATTTTACTCTGATTACAGGCTCCCGAAAACCCATCGCACGAACACGTCAGCCAGCACGTCTGTGACACAGTCTCAGGAGATGCCTCGGAAGAAGAAGGGCCTAAAGATACCGGGAAGATAAGCACTGGATGGATTAGTATGCCGACAGAGATATGTACTATGTGAGTTCCATGTTCCTTTTCCCCTTTGCATGTCTAATGGTGTTTATAGGCATATATTTTAGCCTGGGCGCTCGACAAGACATGTACTTGGTCGTGACTTTCGCAGTCTCTCTGAGGACCCATAACAGGTTCGTCTTGGTGCCCCTCTTGCGTGCAATGCTCATCTGTATGGCAGATTTACGAGCAGCAGTTCAAGGACGCGAAGGACGAAAGCCGCTCTCGGAAAACGCAAGCGCAACACAATGTGATCCCATCCCTTTCCATTCGACGCTGCTTCATTCGACTTTCCTTGCTCTTTTTCACTCGTTCTCTCCGATTGCTATCATTTGCTGGCCTTTCGTACTATTTTGTTTCGGTGAGATTTTCGGTGCTATGCTTTCATTTTCATTGCTCATTGGCTCTCGTTGGCTCTCGTTCGTACTCTTTGGCAACAGGTAGGAACGATCGTCAAAGAGTGTAAATAGATCCATTCACTACCATTTCGTCGCTACAGTTTCGATTCGAAATAACATTGCTGCTCTTTGTACTCTATTGGCTTACTTTAAGGGAAATTTGAATATTGCCACTCGTTGGGATATAAGTACGAAAGAGTATCAAAGAGTGGCGACGGAGTCATTTTTCATAGGGACGCAGGGCTTGCGTGCGCGATAGAATGTATGCGTAAGGGACATGAGGTTGTGATCCTTGAAAAGGTGCAGAAGTTAAAGATTCTGGGTGCGCCTCTAGCCTTTGTGTGCCAGAATCCCTCTCCCATGGTCGTGGGCCCATTTGTTGAAGTGCCACGGGTGTATGAGTGAGCAAGGAGATCGGGAGTGGTGGAAAAGATACGGAAGAAGTATTCTCGCGTGAGGAAACTTCTCGGCAACAATGCAGCCAGCAATTCTCGATGTGGGAGACGTCCGGGCTCATTCTGGAAGAATACAGAGGTAAAGGAAGTCGGAATGAAGGTCGGAAAAGAAAAGGGACCGACAACGTTCTCGGTTTGCGAAAGGCGCGAAACTGCACTCACGACCTTGTCGCCACGGGCTGCGTGCACTATGGGTAACTCATGAGCCAGAAGGAGATGCCAGGACGATCGTTGTACAGAAATGTCCAGTACACAACTAGTTGCTTAGTTTTCGCGTCGTACTTTGGGCGAATGTAGGATATGTGGAATGTTGTGACGGGATGAGACGAGCGGGATGCGAGCAGCGAGGCTGGGAAAAAGTTCTCCGGTTTCCGATGGCAGGCGTGGCGAGCCCGAATTGCGACGCGCGCGTACGCCCAACTCAGCTCCCGACTCCCACTTTGACCTCGTCGTCCTGAGTCCGAGGCTATTGCAATCGGAGAACCAACAAGGGACGCTCCAGCCTTGTAATAACCGTGTGATTCTCGTCGCACAACCCAACCTGCCTCTCCTCCGTGGCCCTTCTGAGCTACACTTCACCAAGATTCCAAGAGGTTGACACCACTCTCATACCAGTGCGCTCACTTCACTTGCTTTCGAAGGCAATCATGCCCTCGCGTTGTTTCCTCTATCCCTTGCTAGATATACACAGTGCATCCACTATTATTGCCCACGAATGGGACTGGATAGCCTTTGCTTACTCCTTAACCGCCAAGTCGCCGTGAATATGCCCGATACTGCGATGGAGCTTCATATATGCGCTCTGACTTTAGACTAGGGTCTTTATCCGTCCCGATTGACGCTATAACGAACATCGCTAGTGGGGAGACAGAAACATTTAGCGTGCAGCCCTATCTTCCCGGGGTCCCTTCGTCCACCGTCTTCATCGGCCTGCCACACATCCCGCTTTGTGAGTACTCCTATTCACCCCATAGGTAGGAGGATGCTAACCCAGAACCAAGAATCGGATGCTTCGTGCAGCCCACTAAACCCCTCACGGAGTTCGATGTTAGAAATGATGACCGCCCAACGATATGTGGTACAGCCAGCGTCAATCAAAATCCGTCATTGATCCTCATCTTCGCAAACTGTATCCAAGGTCTTCCGATCAGAGTCTCATCTTCGTACGTCACTCGTTGTTACCCATACTTGTTTCAACGACTAATGAGTATTGCCAAATGAGCATTCATAGAACTCCGCTCCAGAGTCGTCGGGCCAAGAGAAAGATAAAGATAGTTCTGAGACGATGAGAACATTCTATCGCGCCCAACATGCGCGCTCTGGCAACAAGGTTTGCTTGCTGTGTGTTCCAGAAGCGCTATAAGAGGTAACGGTTTCTGTATACCTGTGCTCCGTTTCCCTCACCGGCAATGTCTTCTAGCTCAACAAGCGAACGAGATTTCCTGCAGTGGACTACTGCGTGCTGGGCACAAGAGTGCATTGGAAGTACGCTTATCTGCCAGTCCTCTGCTTCAGAAACAGATATTTAACTCGCGACTATCATGATCTACAGCTATGGTGTATCGATTGTTTCTTTGCAAGTGGGTGAGGAAACCGCGAGCACGCTCACCATTGAAATGCACCATTGAATCTCACAGTTGAGGTAGTAAGAACCCTAAGCAAATCGTTTTCGGACATCTCAACGTTACACCTCACTTCCTCCTGACGCTAGGTGGAGTTCTTCTGGGTAAGGCTAGCACCTGGGGCAGCTGCACTTCATTAGCTCATTTCATTTAGCGCCGAACGCACACGACGGTGTGTATAGTTTCTCCGCTGATGGCTGCAAGATACCAAAAAGTATGCACGCTCAGTTTTCCGCTCTCAGTCAGCATCTCTACTTTTGTTTCCGATCTCGCTGAGCCGGCTTTCGAAGGTTCCGTAGACCTAAGTTCATTACTTCCTTACGCTTGAAGACCTACCACCTGGGATCAGAGTGTATGTATGGATGAGATGCTCATTCACTCGCGCCAACATATTTGGAGCACCAGTAACAGTGGTTGGGTTATTCTGTATGTCGGAACTCTTTCTCATCTTTCACCTGCACTTATCCCATGTTACGTGGAAGGTGCAACAGCAACTCGGAGTGGCCAACGATGCCGTGTGCAGCGAAGGAATGCCACGGAGACAGGGAGATAGGGGCCATATCGCCGGAAATCGCCGAGGGTTTAGGCTATGTTTCAAGCACTCCTCACTCGGAATCCATTGTCCGCAGCTCAGCGCTCACTGCAGTTCAGTCCCTGAAACTCAAAAAAGCCTCGCTCATGGATTCTGAGGCTCAACACAGCTGATCTTTACAGATACCGGGACTGCATGTATCTGAAACACAAGGGATACGTCTCGTTGCCGCCCGACGCCCAGCCACATGTCGGGGTCATTAGATCGCTCCACTCCTCGCTCTCAAGATGCGCCAAGCCCGCCCCATCGTCCGTACAAAAGTCGGATGTGGTCTTATCGCCACTAAAAGCTCCCCAAGGCTCATCGCTAAACATGTCTGACCCGGGGCTCTCATCATGGGCAAGGCTGTATATGACTGAAGAGTACGTCCAGTGTGAGTTGCTCCTCGTTACCTTCAGCAGAGAATCTGGCTATTTATGGACGTCTCTCCCGTTTAGTGGCTGCAGCATGTATAGTTGTTCACGACTACGGTATGTTCTAACCTGACAATGTCTTCACCTGTCGGGATGCTACAATTGCTTGATAGCACTCAACTTCTCGCTTGAGGTAGGAAAATGTGAATTCCGAAACCTCAGCCTCATGCTAAGTCTCTCTCAGATCGAATACTTCTGGGTATGGCTAGAACCGTACGTTCCGCGCCTCTCATTAATCGCGTGATGTAGTTGCAGAAATTCTCGTACATGACTTTAGTTTACATGACGGTACGGCCTTCTCCTTTTTGTCTCATACTTCTGTTGAGCCAAGTCTTTATTTATTTAGCTGCGTTACGTAGGCTTGTGTTACTCAGGGTAGGTGATCGATCTTCGAGTTTGGGCACATATTCTTATGATAACTTGGATAGGTTGACTATGGGTGTGTTTTGTCCGCACCTACATTCAACTTTGAAGCGTCTGATATCATTCCCAGCGTCAGCTCTTATCAATGAACCAATATCTCCCCTGGTAAGCTTGACTCTTTGAAATCCGAGGTATCGGACATATGCTCATCGATACTTGACCCAAGAGGTTTGTACCAGTCTGCTTCATTTACTGTGTTAGCCCTAATATGAGGATTGAATCGATGTCACCAGCTGTAAGCACGTCTTTTTTGCTCTTGGTTTCAGTACGTATGAGCGTTCATGTAGGTTTTCTATTGTATGCACTTCGGGAGATAACCATTCTTGTCCCAACGTGCGCCTTACAAGGTACTTTCTTGTGCTGAGAAGAGTAACTGCTTATATTTAACCCGTTGTGAATCCTTAGGGATAATGGCAATGCGAGCGTATGAATTACTAGGACGACCCAAACTGTTCGGGTCTACTCTGGCGTTGCTTTTTGTTGTTATTCAATGCATAAATATTGCATTGAATCTCATGATGTTCAAGGACGTCCTGGATACCTCAGGCGAGTCGTTTAGCTTCTCCGATATGCGTAGTTCTAATTACACCATTAGGTCGTATCAATATCGCTGGCTACAATGTTTGCGAGGTTGGGGCGCCACCGTCGCTCGCCTGGGTCACGCCAACAACTAACGCCCTGTTGATGGCGTACGAGATCCTTCTCTGCGGCGCCGTTTTGCGCTACGCATTGAAGGAGGTCCGGGGGTTTTCGTGGAAAAGCCCAACCAAGCCGTTTAGCACTCTGGTGGCGGTGATTGTCCGAGACAACTTGATCTATTTCATTGTGTAAGTGATAAGGTTCTCCTGTAGATCGGATAAAGTAGCTAAATCATAACTTTAGCGTTACAATTTCCATGCTTGTCGCCGTCACCAACGCCACAGGCATTACTTCCGGAGTAAGTATTCGAGCAGATCCTTAGGAGCAGGCCTTTGTCTGATATCATTCACATTCCATCAGACAAACCTCTTTGATAACGGATCATACTTCTTGCTATCGCTGCAAGTGTCAATGATCGGTCCATGGATAACAATCAACCTTAGGAGAAATTATGAAAGTACTGCCATGAGCGAAACAATGTACGACTCGCACGAGCTAGAGCCTGTAGTTTTTGTCGCTGTAGATCGATTGGAAGACGCTTATGTCAGTAATTAGTTGTTCGGACCAGTTTTCCCTTTCTTGTTCTAGACAATGATAGATTAAATTTGGGTTGATAGTTCAACGGAAACATGGTACTACACACACAGGCTATACACCTAACAATCAGTTTCCAGACCGAGGATCCTTCCTGGAGGATGATTGGGGCGTGACACAGTGGCATGCGCTCACAAGCAAAGCGAGTTTCGTTCAAGGCAAGGACAGCCACGCTATTTAAATGAGAGGGAGACCCTCAAGGAGTTTGTCTCGCCTATCGCGTATTACTCTGGAATTGCAACCGTAGCGCTTCCTCTTGTCCGTTATCAGGTGCGTGTACTCATGTGTTCTGCTAAATATGTCTTATTCACACACAGAGGGGAGCTTCTATTAGCTATGGCATTACTTAGCTTATGAGGCCCCTTGTAAACTTAGACGCCCTACCACCAGCGTCCAACCTGCTCTTTAACGGATCCGCATTGACCGTTATCAAAACCACACCACACGGGTCGCAACTATGGGTTCGCAGTTCAAAAGCTTCATAGTGAATTCATTATGCTTGATTTTCCCGTTCAAGAGGCGCGAAGAAAAACTGTTAGTTGTTCTTACCTCCTAACCATGGTCAATCAGACCGATATAGAACTATCCCAACGAGCACGTCCGGCACTGCGCTCACAGCGGCGTTCGTGATCATGCTGTGGAGCATCAAGCGGCTGAAGCTAAGGCCGTACTGTGTTCTGCGTGACCGTTCTGAGCGCATGAGGTCACGTACGCTCTAGCCTTCCTAATAAAAGAACCTGCCAATTCTACGACTACGGTATCAATACATGTGACACCGCAGACAATCTACGCTGTTTACCGAGGGAATATTGTTAGAAAAAGGCGTGAAGATGGTAAACTTTTCTGATGCCTTTTCGCGCTGGGGATATTCATTGAAAAAGGTAAGCTTTTCACCCGCTACTTGCCCTTTCGGGCATACCGAAGAGATGGGCTTTCCATTTCTGGCTGGTATAGTTCAGACTCCGGCTCCAAATTGGGTAACTTTCAGCTGAAAAGTTTACCTTTTTCAATGAATATCCCCAGCGCGAAAAGTCATCAAAAAAGTTTACCATCTTCACGCCTTTTTCTAACAATATTCTCTCGGTAAACAGCGTAGATTGTCTGCGGTGTGAGCACGTCTATATTGTGCCAGTGTCCTGATAAGGGATTATCAGCTTCTTAAATGACAGCAATTTGCGCTCGCTATGGCATACGTTCGTAGAAAATCGCTAGATCAGCCGACCTTCATCATCCCTGCGGCAGCGATCGCGATTTTGGGAAAGTCGCTATGATCACTACGATGATTTACGTAATCTACGCTACATCGGAACGCTTTCCGCCGCATGATACGAGTGGTGGATCCGAGTGAGATAGAGCGCCCTGGAAATCTAAGGGTAGCTTTTACTTCACTGGTCAGATTTATGTTGGGCTCTTGGCGATATTCGTGAAACTCAATATAGATGCCAAGCTCGCCGTTGTGCTTTGCAATCCTCGAGTTTCATATATCATATCGCAACGCTATAAAAGTCTAGCTTCTTTCATCTCCTCGGTATCAGAACACCCCGTTCTTCCCGTCATCCTCATGCTCCGCCTAAACTCAAGACACCGAAGTGTCCCCTAAAAGACCTGTGTCCGCTCAACAGTGGGCTAGTTGGTCAAACACCCCCACTTGTCTGAGATGTTCAACCCACAGACTGTATCATGGGCACAGCTATATATGACGCAGGAGTATATAGGACGTAAGCTTTTCTTGCACCATTTTATATCAGAGTGTCGCTGGAGCGTACCACTCTGTACAGTCGCTGCAGCTTTCATAATTGTGTACGACTATGGTACGTTGATACATTCCTGTTGAGTACTTGAGTCGCTGATTCGAGGCCTTGACCTATAGTCTTAAACATAACGCTTGAGGTGAGAAATTTGGCTACTGCCAGTGCCTTACCGGTCCCGATGCCAACCACACTCTTTTTGCTGTTAGATTGAATACTTATGGGTAAAAACAAACCGCACAAAATCACTCTCAGAAAGCTAACTTGAACGTCTTGTAGCGGAGGAGATTCTCATGGACCACTGTGGTATACATGACGGTGCCATATCCAGCCGATATCATTTGATTGAACTCATTAACATGGAAATTCGTTATTCAGCTTCGATATCTAGGTCTAGCTTACTCAGGGTGCGTGTATTACTTTTGGTCTATGCAGACGTACTAAACTCACACCTGTAGAGTAAGAATGAGTAAGTCAACTATCACACACATAACAAAAATATCTCACTTTATTACCAGCACAGTCCATCTTGGACGAACCGGTGTCGGGGCTGGTGAGAGCCTTCCATTATTAGCCTAGACAAATATTTCTCACTAATACTCCATTGCAGTGGTTCGTATCTATGTCAATTGCGGAGGAATGACTGATCATCATGCATGAGGTTGTTTTCAGTTGTAAGCATTGCTAAAACCTCATGCTTTGTTCGCAGCGCTAATTTTACTGGAGGCTACCTGTTGGCATTATTCCACGAGATACTCCTTCTTGTCCTGACTGCTGTTCTACAAGGTTTCTCCCTAAGCTCTTCTGCTCGTAGAGATCTGACAGAATTTACAGGGATGATGACGATACGCGCATATGTACTCCTCGAGAGACCGAAATCATTCCTCCTCTGCTCCTTCATCCTATTTATCCTTGTTCAAGGTGCATGCATTGTTGCAAACATGGTCTTGTATAAAAATGAGCTTGGATCATCGAGTAAGCCGCCTGAAATTTTGGGTGTTATCATACACTATTTATTTCATGGGTCCGTAGGTCGCACCGAGATTGCCGGCTTGAACCTTTGTAACGTTGGAGCACCTTCGCTGCTTTACTGGGTCACACCAATGAGTAACTCTCTTTGGATTGCCTATGAGATACTGCTTTGTGGTGCTGTTCTGCGCTATGCGTTCCAAGAACTTCCTGCATCTTGGTGGAAACGCCCATTTCGCTCAGCAAGTACCCTCAGGGCTGTGATAACTCGAGATAACTTGGTATACTTTTTCATGTACGTATCTTAATAGGTCCGTGGAATTTTGTCAACAACAATAGACTGACATACGAGCTCAGCGTCACTATCTCAATGCTCGTATCCACACTTGGTGCTACCGGTGTCACCGCCAATGTAGAAAAATTTAGACTATTTTGTCCTGAGTTAATGGCTGATCACAAAATCACCGCAGACACCGATAGTTAGCAACGCATCTCCATTCCTGTCAGCAATTCAGGTGGCCATGGTAGGACCGTGGCTGATCATCAGCCTCCGAAAGCGATACGACAAAGACACGAACGCAGAAATAGCTGACTCGTACGAGATGACCACCATGGAATTCTCAAGTACAGAATATCAAGGGTCTGGGGGCGGAACACGCTCATCTCTCACTGCTGGGTCATTTTAGATATTCTAACGTTGACCTGATTTGCATAAAGCTACTAAATCAGATTGTATATGTGTTGTTTTGATAGAGGACTCAAAGCTTGCTGTATGTCCCATAGACTGTTGTTAAGGGAATGTTTCCTGAATCACAGTGCACGATATTCCTGTTGGCATACCCCAGCAACTAGAAATTGACGTATCGTTTCTTCGGCCCATCCTCCACAGTGCTCACATCACGGGCTTCCCACAGCCTTGATTCGGTATAAGAAGGCGTTCAGAGCGATGTCTCGTGCGCAGGTGCGTCAGAAATGTCCCTTGCTGGCGTGGCAAAGCTGATATTTGTTTCATGTGCCATATCGTGGTCGCCTTGTAGTCTATCGCGTGCAGCCGCTGCGCTCGAACCGATCCGTTAATACATGGGCAGACAACCTTTTAAACCTCGTACATCACCATCCAGGAACAACGGAGAGTACATCAGGCGGGAAAAGGGTATGGGAATGATTACATGACACCAACCTAGCTTGAACTAAAGTGCCTACCCAACATCCGCATCCGGATTAGGTTAGCCCTGATTCTGGGCCATCCCAGCAGCTGAGGCTTAGACCAAAATAGCATCGCTCCCACAAAGTTTCCGGCAGGCTTTCTTGGGAATCTATCACAGTGTCATCTCAAGACATTGCCTTTTTAAGAGTATCGCTAGCGCTCATCAACGTTATCTCTAGACAGTTTGGGATATATTAACATTCAGATGGCAACATGATTGCTCTTGTCGTTCGTCCCAGTTGCGTATAGGCCAGCATGTGCTTATGCTTGTGGTAGTTCAGCTCAGCATGCCCAATTATATAACTACCACGCGAGACCGTAGCTTTATCCGTAATTATTTGAATATGCAACGACAACGAGAAATGTTTATCCGTACTCGCTAATTTCATAAAACTCGGTGTCTTAACTTGCTGTCTACTGCTATTTTTACGTAGTGAAACTCAATACAAAAGCCGTTCAATCGCTCGTCTCCATACTCAACGGCACCCAGTCCTTTCAGCAGACATGACTGATTCAGAGCTTGTATCATGGGCACAACTATACTTCACACAGGAGTACATAGGACGTACACTCATTCCTATCCATCACACATCCGAATAAGTATAACGCCAGCGTTTTCTCTTTTAGTTGCTGCTTCATTTATCATCGTATACGATTACGGTGCGTTATACCTGCGAAGAAACCTCGACAGTACCAATATATGTTCACCCATAGTGTTAAACTTTACCCTCGAAGTGAGCACTTTGGCTTCTGGTTTTTTCCTATTGCACTGAATTAATCAACCGAAAGGTAGAACATATATGGGTAATCGGACGAACATTAGCAACAGATCTGTCACTGGTGCTAACATTCCGTAGCACAGAACATTAACGGGAATGACGGTGATCTACATGATGGTATATATGTTTCGCGCTCGTTTTTCTCAGTTACTGACGATTGGTTGCATTTATGTAGCTTCGTTACCTTGGCTTGGCATATTCGGTGTGCGTTGAATAAGTGGCTTCACTCACCCCATGTACCTTCATGCTGGTTACTTGCAGGTTTGAAATGGGTATGTTCGCTACATCTAGGTGAATTAGAGATAACTCACCCTCTTTTCCGATACAGCATCTTCGCTTTTAAACGAGCCTGTCTCGTCTCGGCATTGGTGAGGAATCATGTTCTAGCTCAGATAATGCAACAGTTATTGATAGTAGCTTGATTTGAAAGAGGTACGTAACGTCAAGCTATACATGTTGTTCCATGCGGCCAACATTACCAGCTGTAAGCGTTTATCAAGTAGTGATATTAGCTTTTGTTTTATAATCATTAATAGGTTTTTTATTATGGGCATTCCGCGAGATAATCATCATAGTCCAGACTATTGTTCTGCAAGGCTTGCTACCCCATGTCTTTCATTCTTTTCTGTGGCTCATTGGTTTGGGCAGGCATGATGTCGATGCGCGTGTATGCCCTGCTCGGAAGACCCGCTTTGCTTCGCTTTCCTCTTATTATTTTCTTTGTGGCTGTTCAAGGGATAGGAGTATCATCAAATATCGTGATGATGGTGACTGTGTTCAGACACACGAGTAAGTCAAAATGAAATCAGTATAAGCGAATTGCCGTTCTTATCCGCTTACAGGTCGCACTGCTATTTCTGGCTTAAACATCTGCGACGTAGGCTCAGTGCCGTCAATCTCGTGGGTCACTCCAACGACCGACACTCTGTGGATGGTCTATGAAGTCGTTCTTTGTGGCGCTGCTATACGGCATGCGTTTAACAACATACCGTTAGCCATGTGGAAGAGCCCAGTCCGCTCACTTGGCACGCTTGTTTCAGTGGTTATCAGAGACAACTTGGTTTACTTCTTCATGTGGGGTCATTTTCCTTTTGACGTTCCGGAGAGACAGCGCTAACACGAACCCATAGCGTCACTGTCTCAATGCTAATTACGACCCTCAAGGACACAAATGTCATCAGTGATGTAAGGTCCAAGAAGCCTAAACTTGTTTTCAGAGCCTTACGCCTTCACCGTCAGATTACCGTCTTGATTAACATGTCACCATTCCTTTTATCGTTACAAGTAGCCATGGTTGGCCCGTGGTTGATCATTAACCTTCGACGGAGATATGAGCAAAGCATAGATGCGGATATGTCCGACACATGGGAAATGACAACAATGATCTTCACCCACACAAGCGATCCAAAATCGGGATGTGAGTGTTATTCATCCGATGTAATTGTCTCCGAGTCATAAGAAGATACTCAGCCAGTTCACAGGGCATCGTCATCCTTCGGAGGATGTGGAGCACCTTAGACGCCAAGAAATCCAACTTACGGGTGAGGATGGCATTAATTCATCGGGCCCATGGATTGAAAGAAGATGATGGGTGTTTTGACGCGGGACGATCCCGGATTGAGTCAGGTCGAAGGCAAACCTATATATTAGATCAGAGTACGAGTTGTTCCAGACATGATAGAGGCCTGAGTTTCTGTTGTCTCCGGATTAGCTAGCGGATACAAGCCATGAGGTCCCAATGTGCATGAAAGGCCACCGACCACGTGTGTGCACAGGATCGAAGCTCGAAGAAGCCTGCACTGAATGAGCCCCAAGTTGGCCTCGATCCAGCCAACGTTCTGATGTCATCACACGTATCTTCCTCAAATGTCTTGTTAAGGGTAAGAAAGAGTGTGGTCAGCGAAGAGAGGGCCCAAGCCCAACGGGCCTAGCACACCGAGGCTGTAACAAGATGTCGAGTTTTCCTATCGTGGATATGGAACACGGCTACTCGGATGCAGCATCGGCGCGGACTCGCCTCGGCTATGCAGGACAGCATCGGACACCCGAAGGCAGATCACTCTGAAGATGTACTAATTACCGGTGTGGAAGAGCGAATGCGTCCTGGGTCAATGTTTTTGTGCCTTGTAACGAGTGTACCCTCTTGGTTTCATATCTCTATTGCTTAACCTGCTATTTATATACACCAAATGCCGACTATTGCTCATGCCGTCAATCCAGTCCGCGCATTGCCTCGAGTTCTGCTTCTACGGCAGCCCATACACTCTTTCCCGGAGGCGGCATGACACCGAAATGATGTTCGAACTCGTTTAAGTTCGGGAAAAGGTGATGCAAGACGGAGACGATAGGATAACGAGCGAAGACCGAGCGCATGAGACCAATGTCGGGAACGCCTCGGCCGGCATCGAGCTTTCGAGGAGGACCGAGCTGCAGCATCTTGATGTATTCGTTTCGTACTCCCAGATATCCCTCTGCGGCGAGAGCGATGACATCATCGGGATCATTGCACACGTCGACATCTATGTTGGCTGATTTGATGCGCGGGCAGAGAGAAAGTACAGTGACGAAGTTGCGAAGCGGTATCGGCGAAAAGCCGTACCCAATGGTCAGATGCTCGAGGAGTAACCAGCCGCGGACCAAAGTGTATAGGGAATCGCCGCTGAGAGACATAAACTCAGTGCTGTCGCTCGGTCTCATGAGGAGAGATACCCGTGTCAGGTTACGCAGTTGCGACAGCGCCAAGAGCTGAGTCCAGTCACAATCGGATACGCGGACAACAAGCAGAGTTAGCCTTGTAACATCCAGAGGTGAGATACAGTCAACCAGAGCGCCGAGGAATGCGGAGAGCCCGCGGAGGGTCGGAGAGTTATAACACGTCACGTCTAGCTTACTAAGACGCACACGAGCGGTGTGCAGGTCGTCTCCAAGAAGAAGCTTCACCGTTATGGTAGCTACATCCCAGTTTTGCGCATCCAGAGCGAGGCTATGGAGGTTACGAAGCCCCACGCGAGTCTCTTGATAGATCCAATCAGAGCTTTCGAGAACGAGCACACGCAGATGTCGGAAAGTCGGGAGCTGGGCAAGAGAGTGCATAACATCGCCGGGGAGAACCACCATTCGTCCCAGATCCAAGGTTCGTAGACAAGGGTACTGGCGCACCACGTTAGTGAACGCGTCGCTGGTAAACGATAGGGAAGGATGGTCAAGAACCGTGCCAAGTTCAATGGATTCAAGTAGCGGGCACAGTGTCGCTAGATCAGGGATCCTTTCCAGCAGTTCCCCCGTAGTCATCGAGAAGCGGATGTTGCGAAGCTGAGGACCGAAGAGGTATCGCCCACACAAGACGTGCTCTGGTGTCCACATCCAACAGTTGAGCGTATGCAACCTAGGGAAGAGAACCGGTATAGGACAGAGATTCAAAGCCTCCCAAACCTCGGGCCACGGAGGGAACTTCCCGTGATCTTCTTCTCTACTGCCCTGGTGCAGTATCCGCACGCGCGCAGTGTGTCTTGCCAAGATATCCCAGTCCGTTTCGAGCAGTTCACGGTGGAATGTCTTGGAGACTCGTCATTGAGGATAGCGTCATTGACGAGCTATAGAATGTGCTTACAAGCCGGAGCCATGGTCCCTCCACAGTCCATAGATCCTCAGGCAGGCAAGTGAGAAGCGCAGCAAAACAGTCGATTTCTTCGTGCAGTACATTGAGAGCAGGATCTTCGAATGACTTACACGCACGGGCTAGGCGAGCTAGAGAGGGTTTGTCTGCATGATGAAGGATGATGACGAGTAGCTCAGCGACTTGAAAACAACGATGCATGCTTAAGCGTACAGACGTGAGGGGCGGGCTTGAGATGCGCTGGATATTCGTGGCTGTGCGATCGGAAGTATCCGGAGAGTTATTATAGCTTAGGGCAGGTCAACCTATAGGAGGTCGTTTGGGCCTCACACAAGGATCTTATGTCCTCAACCACGATGTCATACGCATACTAGCTTGAGTCAGGTATGGACGCTCGAACATCTTGCACAAGCCTTTCATACTCGCTATACGCGTTTGTCTCTGCATCAAAACCCATCAACCACTCCGGATTCGGGATATCTAGCATTGGGCCCCTATCCTCGGGCCGAGTCTGGTGCCATCGGTTGCGCAGCTCCTTGCCAACCAGCTGCGCTTGACGGACACGTTCATAGCTATGTGCCTGGTATCAGGGCTAGCAGGCTGATGGTGAGATGGTCTATGCACTTACCGAAGCTTCTCCCAGGCTTTGAGTGCGAGCTGGATGTCGGTTTTGCCAGCCAGCTGAAGAACTACAGCAAGCGAAGTACCGTCTTCAACCGCCTGGGATGTCTACTGGTACTGAACGACTGTGAACTACATATCGAGACAATAAAAGCCGGACTTACGGAAGAAATGGATGCGCAGCGTCTCCCAGCAAGACAACTCTCCCCTGCGAACTTACCCAGGTCGGTAGAGGATCGTGCGTAATCAGTTTCCAGTCAATACACGAGGGGGCTTTTGATAGGACAGCTGCACAACGTGGGTCCCAGTCATCCACGATGTTGAGTACATCCTCCATGTTACCGGGGAAGGACCACGAGTCCGTGACTTCAAAATCATCTCTGGGGACGTAACGCCACGATCAAGCCCAACGTTCACACCTGTGCATAAGGAGAATCTCACCTATGGGTAATAACCCATGATACGGTGTTTCCTCCTTGAAGCGAGGAGCAGATGAAGTGTACGTCCCTTCCTGCCTGAGGTCAGAAATGTGCTATATGCCCATCCAACGTTTGATGCTCACCTATCCAGCACTGATAAGCGTCCCCGTCTTTAGTGAGGAAGTCGGTATTTGGGTCGCTGCCAACGCCTTGTTCTTTCGCATCAAACCAGGCTCGATAAACCGAATAACCCGACGATTTCGGCTGATCGTTGTATCCCTGCAAAGATGGAGATGAAGATCATGGACTCGAAGTGAACAGTGAACATACCAGCACGTACTGCCTCGCGCGACTCTTGACTCCGTCGGCTGCGACCACAATGTCCGCCTCAATTGTCTTCCCATTGACCGTGACGCTTGCCTTTCCTCGTGACGGATCTTCCTGGTAGCTCTCGACATTGTGACCGAACCGGATGTCGATACCCAAAGAGAGCGCATACTCATACACAGCCTCATGGATCTCGGCCCGGTGCCCGCTGTACTCGTAGGCGCCGTAGAGAGGGAATTGGATGGGCTGCTCTCGCACAACCTCTCCCATGTAGTTGTGAATGACGAGCTTATCGGCATGTCGACAGATCGGCCAAAGCCTTTCTATGAATGAGCCCAAGATCGTAGATGTAAACACATACATTGCTCACTTGTCGTGAAGGCCCCATCGGGCGAATATCCGACCTGCATTTGGCCCGAAGCTAATGACCTGAGGACAAGCTGAGCATCAGCATACCAAATTCATGGCATACCTGAGGCGCGTACATCACCCAATACCCTGAACGTTGGCATTCTTTCAAGCACAATTACGTGGTGTCCCTTTCTCCTGCACTCGATAGCACAAGCTAGCCCGCCAAACCCGCACCCAACGATGATCACCTCAACTCCAGAGCTGCTTGGCGGCGCTACCTCTCCGACGTGATGGAGGCTTCCGTTCATGGCGCCGATCGCGAGATATGGTGATGAATACTTTCTGCGAGAGCGCACAGAGGCGGGTGGTGCGAGCTGGCTCCTGTGAGGGAAGGAGAGAGGCCAGGCGAGGTATTCCCGTCAAAGCCTTACCACGTCCGTTTATAACACTACGGGCATGAGAGTTCGCTTTCTCTAGCCATGAAATCGGTGAGTTCAGTCTGCCATGGCCCGTAATCAGCATGTTTTGGAAGGAAAGATATGAAGGTGCATCAAAGCATACCCGCTGCCACACACGAGAAGACACTTCCCTGCACTGGATGCAACTCAGAGTCTCAGACCATCCCTCGGGCTCATTCACGAACGAGTCGGATGCGATCAACCAAAGGCTTGTCCATATGGAGGATAGGACCACAGAGTTTCAATTGTCGTGAATAAATTGAATGTTCGGTCTACAGCTGGATGGTAGACGCAGAGGAGACACGAGCCATGTGGAAATTGAAGATGGAAAACAAGTGGAAAGCCCAAGTTGATCGATCTGATCGTTGACCGTCGCCGCGTCGCGCTGACGCGTTTCGGTAGATGCCGATCACAAATCGGCTCTGTCCGGCGCTTACCCTGCCCCGTAGCTAGCAAGCGAAGAATGTATGACATGGATGGGCGAAGCCAGACACTGATATGGCGGTAATAACCTCGTTACTAGTAGCGATTTTGTGCCCAGTGAATGACAAGTATAATAACGACGCGACTAGCATCAAAGTGTATAATCAAAGTCCAGTACTTCCGTAGCACGTACCTGGTATTCAGGCTTGCATATAAAGCTAAATAATCAAAAGTCCGCTAAACGACTATTTCACCGGTCCATAAGTAACTATCCATAAAAACTAAGCGAATAGCAAGTCAAGGAGATCAAACCATATCCAAGGTTTCCGCCGTAGACAAGAGGTGCGCCGTGCTGTCCTGACGCGCATGTCCGCCGTTGTCGCTGCTACTGCTACCGTTACGATCATGATCATAGGGCTGTACCAGGTAATTATTCTTCAGCTCATCCGCTTGCCTGAACGTATGTCGTGAGTATACAACAACTGCAAGCACATCGGTGAGGTAAACGAAGCTCGCGCGTACCTCTTTTTGCGCCGTTCATAAACAATGGCCTGTAACTCCTGCGCCAGCTTCTTGCGAAGGTACCACATAATGCCGAGTGTGATAATGACCATTAATGCAAGGCTCACGTAAGATATGATGTTAGAAATCGTGCTCTTTTCTGCAACACCAGAGACATACGCGTCGTCGCCGTTAACACTTGTACCAATATCGGATGAGAGAGAGAAAGGAGACTTACGGCCATTAGCCGATGTTGCGAGATCGTACCCGATTAAGACTGTGGTAATTTGTTTGGGAAGAGAGAGAGCCATAGCGATGGCAAATTTCCACAGGCGTGTTTCGCATGTTGCAAACACGACGGTTGAAACTGTGTAATTGCGCGTCATGAGTTGATATAGGAGGGTCGCAGGTGAAAACCAAATACACGCACAGTGAGAGGGGACGGCGCTCAACCGAGTAGCGAGAAGGACACTGAAACCACCTTTATTGACAACCCTGCAGAATGCATCAAACGGAATGCTGTTCCGCTGAACCCGCTGGCCATACGAGCGAAAGAGGTACTTGAACGCCCTGGAGCGGCATAGTACAGTGAGTACACCTGTTGCCTACCGTAACAGAGAAAAACACCCGACGGCTTACATGAATACAGCCATCTCGCCAAGGAATGTTCCTGCGCAGACAATGCCAAAGCCTATCCATGCGCCCCATATCATGCCACTGAAAAGAGCGACGAGCTCGTGACCAAAGAGCTACACCGGCGATAGAGATGATTAGCTGGCTGCAGCGTAGCTATATGACACGCACATGACGTTTTGAGACTCACAGGGGGAAACGAAACGACTATCATGGCTCCGATCGGAATAGCCCAAGCGCCTGGGGTTCTGTATGTTTATACGTTAGATTATCCCCGTGCGCGTAAAATAGAGGCGAGCACATACGTTAACAGCCAGTGGGAGGCTGGCTTGAGCGCATCGAGTATCTGGTCCTTGAAGACATCCGTGATGATCAATGTCGTAGCTACAAACGCCAGTATGACTAATGGAATAGGAACTGGACAACGGACAGGTCGTTAGCTCGGAATGTCTCTCCAGCCAGATCCCATATGACTCACCAACGTCCCGCCAGCTCTCCGGATGCCGCATCGCATACCAGTCGATGCCCAAGTTGGACCGCAGTGCTTTCTGCTCCTCCTTATTTGGTGGGGGCGTACATCCTCGACTGATGGCCATACCCTCGCCAAGCGTCGTACGCGACGCTGACGCGCCGCCGTTCACGGTCGGTAGCCCGAGTTCGTCTAAGGACACGGAGACGTACAAAGGATCAGGCGACAATGATCCTACTATCACTGAGGAACGTCTTGGTGGATGGTACGAGGTCTCTGACATCGAGGGATATACGATTAGGGAGGCCTGAGCAATGAGAATAGATGAGACGGGGAAAGACTAGAGCTGTTGAGGACAGCCGTCGAAGCAAAACAGGTACTAGGAGAAGTGAAAAGGAGTGAAGAATTGCTAAAACAAAAAGGTAAACTCGCCTCCTTATAACAGAACGAACCACGTCCAACGATATGAGTGCTTGGCCTCATCGACGAGAACCATGGAGTGGCTATCCATCGTAGACGAAGAGTGTCCGCAGTTGTTGCAAAACTTCGACTTCCCGAGCTCGTCCACCGATAGCCAATCAGCAATCGGAATGCCTGCCTCTTGACATATGGAGACATCCTCAAGGCGCACTGTCGATCTCCACTGATGAACGCCAAGGGTTTTTCGTCCCGCAGGCGTTCCTTGCAAACAGGCAGTGTAGATTGTGTGGATACATGAAGAGAGGCTGACCCCCGGTCCTCCCGGGGCAGTGCAATACGTCGTAATCGAGCGGGGTGGCGGTGACACCTTCTGATGGAGGTGGCTGTGTCGGATTCTGTGGATGGGATCAGGTCCTTGCAAGGCCAAAATGCAGAGCGACAACGCTTATATGTCCGCGATTAGCTATAAAGGGCGTCCACGACGCATAATTGAGTAGCAGCAACGTATGAAAGAAGAGAACATCAAACCCCAATAGCTAAAATATCTCCTTCACGTTAACGGGCGAGGTGTACCGTATGTCCTCTTCTCCGAGTCTGTGACCAAGGATCCCGTCCTCCTCCTTGCTGTAGCGCACCAGCCAATCGACAGATCATCTAAGTGCACTGTACTTGCACATGTGCCACGCGCAGTAGACAGAGTAGTTGTAGGTTCTGAGATCGTCGTTTTATCCCTGTATGCACGCTGTAAGTCACGAATGGCGCTCTCGCCTATTCAGAACGAGTTCCAACGGCCAATGTCAGATTTATGTCATTGGCGTTTGTAACCATGGTATCTGCACAGTAACCGCTGTTCAGAGCGACCGGTTGTGTGGATGCTCTAGCGACGCACCTTGGCCAGCCCTTCTCTGCATCCTGCCTCTAGTTCTTTCGACGCCATAACGCCTCCGTAACATGGACCTTGCAACATCGCTTCTATACGACTTCCTGAGATGCTGAGGGATTAGAGGTCTGATCGACCAGTTCTGACAAAGCGTCAGAGGTTCTGGTACATCCAAGGTACATCCCTACGTCCGGGCCGTTGACCATGCGGATGCAAACTCCAAAACTTTGGAAGTTCGTAAACAAGGGGAGGCGTTGAAGAGACGGTGACACCGTTAGGGTTGTGGCTTAGCGGTCGACTCAGAGCGTTGAACGGGGTGCGCACCAACGCGACTGACACTCTAGCGAACGTTGGCGCGCAGAGCCAAGAGTAAGTGATTCGGCTGTTGCCGAAGCGGGCACTGCACGTACTAGTACTACCTCTCAAATATCATGTGCATTACACCGGCTCGCAGAGGCGCACAAGGTTAAGCAACTATCTACATAGTGTGACTATCCCCCCGCTAGCCCCGGATGCAGTTTCTGTCCCGAATACGCATTGCCTCCAACTCCGCCTCGATCGGATCCCAGAACCTGCTTGGAGTGTAGCCTCCTCCGCTACAGTAATCTGTGATTTTCGTTAGGCTTGGCAGGATGCGGTATAGAGCTGGAGCAGCAATATAGCGCGCGAAGGCATTCTGTAGACGCTGCGTCTGTCGTACATCGGTGGCAGCAGGCGGACGAAGATGGAGGGTTGTGATGCGTTCGTTGCGTACACTGAAAGAGCCCTCGCTCAAGAATGTCGCAACGTCTTCGGGATCTTCGAAGACGTCGATGTCAACGTTGGCGTATTCGAGGAGAGGACACAGGTGAAGTATGGCGACAAAATCACGTAGTGGTAACGGAGGTACACAAAATGAGATGTTGAGGTGTTCCAGATGCGGCCATGCCTGGATCAACTGGCTCAGTGCAGCGAAGTTGGGGAAAACCGTGCTAGGGTTCTCACGGCTCCCGTCACTGCGTCCATGGTCAATTGTAATGCTGGTCATATTGGGGAATGCGGCTAAGGGCAGTAGATTCTTCCAGGTATGCTCTGACAGTCCGACGGCTTTAATTTCCAATTCATGGAAGTCAGAGCAGGAGACGCTACGACTGAGGGTGCCGATGAACCTTGCAAAGTCCGACTGGATGCCTCTGTTGAACCATGTATCGAACATCAGAGCTGCCTTGATTCCGCTCAGGCGAGCGCTACCATGACCAGTCCCGTTTCCAAATAAGAGGTCAACTGCAGCGCTTGCGACATCCCAAGTGAATTGCTCGAGGTGCAGAGTGTCCAAACTCTGGAGCCCAATGCGTCTCCTTTGTTGCATCCAATCCGAGTCAGGCCACGCGAAGAGGCGGAGGCGATGGAAGTTCGGGAGCGATGCGACATGGTTCAGAAGCGGCGTCGTCAGTGCGCAATTCTCTCCGCAGTCCAAGGTGCGTAGGTGGGTAAGCCGCTGTATGATGCTGACAAACTCGGGGGATGCTGGAAGCTCGTCGGGACTGCCATCCAGTTCAAGGGACTCTAGAGATGGGCACAATGACCCAAGCTCGGGCGCTGTCTCAGCGAGACCATCTGGCGTGAGCGCAAGGCGCACTCTGCGAAGCTTCGGAGTGAGGACGAATCGTATTGGCGCGCCTACCTCCCCAAAATTCCACAGGAGAGTGTGAAGGTTGGGGAAGATGTATGGCACAGGACAGTGCTCCAGCGCCCTCAAAACATCTGAGTTTGCGTCGAACCTTTCATGTTGCCCATCAAACCCCTGGTGTAAAACATGGACACGATGGCTGTGCTTGAGTAAGGCATCCCAGTCTGTTTGCACCATCGGTCGCTCGAAACGCTGATCGGTTCATTGTCGATTACTGGAATATAAACCACAGAGTAGTACAATACTCACAAGAGTTGGAGGGCCAGGGTACCATGCAACTGAGGGACTCTCAATGGACCACAAATCTTCCGGCATGCAGGTTAGAAGCGCATAGAAACAGTCTATCTTCGTGTACAGGGCGTCGAGGGCAGGTTCTTCAAAGGTCTTGCACACCTGTATAAGACGTGCGAGAGAGACTCTGTCTAGATAAGTCACAATCTCCTTGAGAAGCTCGGTAATCTGAAACACTAGATGCATGATGAGTAAATTGTAGGTACACCCGTCAATGTCAAAGGATTATCGAAGGTGGTGGAGATGCGAGAACGCGCAAGTGCGCGACTGGCTCGTAGCAACGTGTTTCGGTGCTTTCCGCGCGGAGAACTCTGGCGGCCCGGAGGTCCGAACTCCCATAAAGAATTCGATTCGGTGGTGGTGTAAAGGGGCGACTGAGCTGATTGTCTGTACGGTGCTGCTCTTCAATCTCTCAAAACCCTTCTTCTGGTCAAGGGGGAAGAATCGAAGGACAAACAGCTCTCCGTCGGTGCTTCGCGTACGAACGTCCCGTATACGTACAATGTACTGTTCGTCCTCGGTGATGATCCACCAATCGTTAAAGCCACTGCCGGTCTTCCATACTATTAGCTCTCCAGTCCTTCTACTCCGTACACATGCCATACTGTCGTCACGCTCAATGAGCCACTTGTATGACAGCGAGAATGATACGCAGAACGAAGCTACTTTGGAAGTCTCTGAGCTTGGTAGGCACCTGCCAAACACAGTGGACGTTCCAGAGCCCTCAGACGTTCGCTCCACGACAGTGAGTGTTTCGCGTTATATCTGAGGAATGCCACGGAATGAGTAACTAACATTTGGAGCAGGTTACAGTCGAAACAAAGATCAGTGATAATACCATCCACTCGCTTGCCTTCGACCCTCATCTACTTGACTCGCCCTCACCACAGAATCAAATGTACATTTGGAGAAAGCTCATGGCGCAAGCTCAGGCGGCAACACCGGCCTGTTGTACCCGTTCTCTCTTATATCCCTCGCCACGCTCTCGAACACCTCGTACGCATTCACCTCAGCGTCAAATGCGAAGAGCCACTCGGGCCGAGGGACGTCGAGCATCGGCCCGCGGTCGCCTGGTTGGCAGCGATGCCACCGATTGCGGACGTCTTCGCCGATCAACTGGGATTCACGCACGCGGAGGTATCTGTACGAGGAAAAGGAGGCGGAGGGTGAGCGATGGCGTGGTAATGAGAAGAAAGGGCGGCGAAGGGAAGGTATGAGACTCACCGGATCTTCTCCCACGCTTGAACTGCGAGCGGGAGGTTGTCTTTCCCTGCTAGCTGGAGAGCGACGGCGAGAACGACACCATCCTCGATCGCCTGAGAGCCGCCTTGCATACTTGTCCTATCCGTAGTTACCCACCATCAGCAACCTGGGTCCAAAAAAAAGGTACAAGAGGATGAGAAGGGGGACTTACGGGAGGAAAGGGTGCGCTGCGTCCCCGATGAGTACCACCCTTGCAGACTTGCTGATCCACGTCGGGAGCGGATCGTGGATGATAAGCTTCCAGTCGATGCACGACGGCGCTTTAGCGAGCGTCGCTGCGCAGCGCGGCTCCCATCCGTCGACGACGGCAAGTACGTCTTCCATCTTGCCCGGAAAGGACCAGTTGTCTGTCACTTCAAAGTCGTTCCTACAAGGGCGTCGTTGACATAAGGGAACGTTCGTCGGGATATCAGGGGAAGGATGGAAGGGGAAGCGATAAAGGAGCAGAGGTAGGGACGTACTTGCGCGTGATGACCCACGAGATCTCTTTCCCGCCCTTGGCGGACGACGCGAGGAAGTGCACGTCCCTGCCTATCCAACCAAAGAATGCGTCTTCGCCCTTAGTGAGGTAGTCCGTCAACGGATCCGTATCGACGCCCTGCTCCTGCCCGTTGAACCACGCACGGTAGACGGCGTAGCCGGATGATCGCGGTTTGTCATCATACCCCTGAATGTATCACGCACGTCTCATCAGCCAACGATCCCAGCCCAAGTGGCGAAGACGAACGCACCAGAATGTACTTCCTCGCCTTGCTCTTCACCCCATCCGCCGCAACAACCAGATCCGCCTCCATACTAACCACTTCTCCCTTCGCTTCCACCCTCACCCCAGCCTTACTACCCGCATCGTCCTCGTAGTACTCCTGCACAGTGTAGCCAAACCGAACGTCGATTCCGAGCGATACCGCGTACTCGTAGATGACCTGGTGCATCTCCGCGCGGTGCCCGTCGTACCCCCACGCGCCCCACAGGGGCAGCGGCAGTGGCTGCTCGCGCACGATCTCGCCGAGATAGTTGTGCAGGACGAGTTTGTCGACGTGTCGGCACAGTTCCCATATCCTGACGGCGAAGGACCGGGATGAGAGGGGAGGGGATACGGGCAAAGGGAATGGACTGACTTGTCGTGCAAACCCCAGCGTTGGATGATTCGGCCGGCGTTTGGCCCAAAGCTGATGACCTGGAATGGCGATGAGCATGAATATATGCGCAGCGTACGAGCGGTGAATCAGAACGTACGTCTCCTACTCGAACGTTAGCAAAGGAGTCTCAGAGCAGCAGCATGTCCACTCACCCTGGATATGCAGCCCAGGCACTCTCTCCAGGACCACCACCGAATGGCCCTTCCGCTTACACTCAATAGCGCATGAGAGACCTCCAAATCCTCCTCCAACCACGATGATGCTGATGCCCGTGCTGTCCGGCGGCGCTACGACGCCCGTACCGCTGACCTGAGTGCTCGACGACATCCTGCTAGTGACCGAAGCGAAGGTGGAGATAAGCGACACGATGATGTGGACATGTTGCCCGTCTTGAGTTGTATTATACGCTCCTTGATGATCCTGTGAACGGCGCAGCGATGGTGAGAACCAGGGTCTGCGCGCTGTACCCAGCGTCTCGCATAAGGGTTTTGAAGGCGATCAGGTGGTGTGTCGCGTTCCCATGGGAGAGCGAGCGTGAAGGTCACTCAACCATTCGAGGCGTTGAGCCAAGACACGGGATGAAGTTAAGGATTATAGGGAAGACTGATGGTCATTGGTGCACCAGAACGCTGCATGAAGGCATCGGTGGGAACGGAGACGGATTGAGCTTCGGTCGTATATGCGTTCCTCGTACAAGTCGGGGATAAACGAACCGGCCATCGTCCGTAGCCGCGACACGACTAGAGACTTGCTGGAGAGTTCCGAGGTGGATGCTGATGTAGTTTCAAGCTTGTTCAGCGTTTCTCGGACAGGCTCGGGCTGACGCTTCCTCGCCGAAGGGATTGGTTGGGGTCCGGGGCAATCACGTTCATGCTACCGGGTGTAAGTAAACACAAGATCGTTCACGTTGAAAGCTTGGGGGGATTGCCGGGTTAAGGGCGAGAATGGTGTAACGGTTTGTGAGGTGATAAAAGGTCACCAGAGCAGAAAGTCGTTATTGCAAAAAAAACATACTTGCACGACGAACATGTCAAGCACACCAAAGCGCGGAAAGGATCCGGTAGCCAATGATGACGTAAGCAATAAATGGGCCGGAGGAGAGTGGACCGCGCCGGAAAGCGCGTGATTGTCAGCGCCGAAATATAAACACAAGACCATCACTCTTCCCCACAAGCTTGTAGCTACCCTCTCCTCCTCACTAAACACCATGTCCGCAAAGTCCCAGATCCTCTCCAAGAACGACAACGACGTCGTCATCGTCACCGCCGTCCGCTCGGCCATGACCAAGGTCTGCTCTCATGTACTCCTACTTAACGTTCAGAGAACTGACGACATTGCGACCTGACAGAGCAAGAAAGGCGGCTTCAAAGACACCCGCCCCGAGGAGCTCCTCTCCGGCGTTTTCAAGGCCGCCATCGCCAAGGCCAAGATCAACCCCGCTCTCATCGAGGACATCACCGTCGGCAACGTCCTCCCCCCCGGCGGCGGCGCCAACACTGCCCGCATGGCCGCTCTCGCAGCCGGCATCCCCAACACCACCTCCATCAGCACCGTCAACCGCCAGTGCTCGTCCGGTCTTGCCGCTGTCAACGGCATCGCGAACCAGATCATTGCAGGGCAGATTGACATTGGCATTGGTGCGTCCTCTTCCCACCAGACCTCGTGTGCAGAGTGGACAGCTGACGAAGTTCTATTTCTATTGGCGGTGTTTAGGCGCAGGCGTCGAGTCCATGACCTTCGGCTGGGGCGCCACCTCCCTCCCCGACGGCTACTCCGACGCCGTCCTCGCCAACAAGGAGTCCGAGGACTGCCTCATCCCCATGGGCATCACCTCCGAGAACGTCGCCAAGGACTACGGCATCTCGCGCCAGCGCCAGGACGAGTTCTCCGCCAAGTCCTTCCAGAAGGCGGCCGACGCGCAGAAAGCGGGACGCTTCCGCGACGAGATTGTGCCCCTCAAGGTGAAGGTCGTTGACCCGAAGACAGAGAAGGAGGTCGAGGTGACTGTCGATAGGGATGATGGTGTCCGGGAGGGGGTTACGGCTGAGAGCTTGGGGAAGCTGAAGCCGGCGTTTGCAAAGGACGGGTCGACTCACGCTGGTGCGTCTCTCCCCTCCCTATACCTTCAGCCCGTTCGCTGACAAACACTCCGAAGGCAACGCCTCGCAGGTCTCGGACGGCGCCGCCGTCGTCATCCTCGCCCGCCGCTCGACCGCCAAACGCCTCGGCCTGCCCATCGTCGGCAAATTCGTTGCCGCGACCGCCGTCGGCGTGCCCCCGCGCATCATGGGCGTCGGCCCCGCCTACGCGATCCCCAAGCTGCTCGAGAAGATCCACGTGTCCAAGGACGAGGTCGACTTCTACGAGATCAACGAGGCGTTCGCGTCGCAGGCTATCTTCAGCGTCGACAAGATCGGTATTCCGTTCGAGAAGGTTAACTTGAACGGGGGTGCGATTGCCATTGGGCATCCTCTTGGCTGCAGTACGTTTTCTTCTTTGCTCGTTAGTGGATGTGACGTGTCTGATGGATTCGGATTGTAGCTGGCGCACGTCAAGTCGCGACGGGTCTCAACATCGCACGGCAACGGAACGAGCGCCTGTTCGTGACGAGCATGTGTATCGGCTCAGGCATGGGCATGGCCGCTGCGTTCGTTAGCGAGCACTAAACAAAACCGCGACTGCGCGGGTCTGTGGCTAGCTAGAGCGCTTGTCGTTGTCGATATGTGTATCACGCACGATGTATAGTAATTTATGTGTTTCGAGTCATCATAATATGCCATTGGTTTCGTTCTGTACTGTTCGAGTCTCGGTTGATCGAGTAAACATCTTTGGTCGACCTCACCGTTCTCAAACTATGATAGATCGTTGTTCACGACAGAAGCTCACGCATGACAGAGGCGCATCAAAACCGTGCATTCAACCGACATACAATATTTAAAGCTACAACAGACGAAAAGCACAAAGCGTAAAAAAGATATCCCTGCCCTACGGGCCGCCACCGACACAGAAACCTATCAGCGCGATCTTGGGGGGAAGGTGTCGCTCTCCCTGAGCTCGTATAGGTTCAAGATTCTCCAGTGGAATTGTCACTGATAGAGACGACCTGGACGAAGCCCAAATATCAACCTGCCAGGTGAACTTTCGATAAGAAAAAAACGCCCCCGCGAAACCGCGCGCTATATAAGATCGCGCAGGCGGGGAGTTCCCACGCACGGACCATGTACCGGCGCCCGGCGCGGTGCGGAGAAGGGGTATAAAGAGGCGCGCGACGCGCGGCGTGAAGTTTTCTTCTTCTTTACAGTCACCTCGATCTCTGGGGCCCGCGTCTTTGCGCGTAAGCGGAGGAGGACAGCGGGCGCTCACCGTATGGACGATGGGGTCGAGAAGAGAGAAGTGTTTGCGTATGCTAGTGCTAGCAGAGACTGGGCATGCCGTTTGTCTTCGATCTTTTTTGGATTCTTACTGGCGGAGCGGCTAATCAGTCTATGGTACATGTTTTTGTTCGTTTTGTGCTGTAGTTCTTGTTCAATATATGCGTCTTGCTCTCGTTCTTCTGCAAGTTACGAAACTCGTCCCATCCAGATCGAATTTCTCATGGTTTATTCGAATCTCAATACCGGGCGATGATAGTCCCGATACCGACTCGTTACAGCCTGCTGAACCCGGAGGTCCGTGGTAATCCTGCAGTACACAACACTCTCGGCCAAGTTACTTACCCTCAGCCTCCGGACGAGTTCGATCAAGCCTTCAGCTTTGGTCCTCGTTACGCCTTGCCAGAGTCACAGAAAGCTGCTCTATGCACACGGAGCTCAGATAAGAGCGCGTGGTGAGGACATGCCAGGTTGGCACCGAGCTTGAAGTCATCAAAGGTGCGTTTCCCCGCTCAACGTCGTCGCACCAGTGTGCTGGCTGACGTCTGTCAGACGATACATGGTTAGAGCTTAGAAGCAGCGGTCATAAGACCCCGGTGTCTCCGAGATCTCGCCATCTGGCGGAGGTACTTTGTACGTGCCCGCCGAGCATTAAGCGCGCTGTCATCCTATCTTGTCCCTCTTTAAATTCCTCATCTCCGTGAGGAAGTAGCCGCAGGCGGCAAAGGCTCAGTCGGCCCGACCAAGCACCATGTACGTCACAGTTGGCTGCCGTCTCTAACCCAAACCAACGCAGATATCGTATCACGATAGGAAAGAGGCGCCCCGCCAACTAGCTGCTGTAAGCCGTTAGTCCAACGCTGGCAACCCAGCTACCTGACAGAATGGTTCACACAAGAATTTGTACCTGTTCATCCCCGTGATAGGTGCTGATGCTCGCTGTATCATGTATGGTACCACCCCTGGCGCGTTGTCTACTTCCTCGCGCACGGCGATCACGCTCTTCATCCAGTTCCCTGTGTGGATCGTACTATCCCTTCCTGAGATTCGGCGGCCCCGCCCAACGTGGATGCTAAAGCGGATGCGCACTATTGTCAAAGTGATGCGGCATGTGGTGGAGATGTTGTGGCACAAAGTATGCCCAACGTGACGATGACGGCGGGCGGTCCTGCCTCGCTCGAGGTGAGTATCAGGTCAGCTGAGCCTCGCATGGACTTGCTGATCTCAGTCCTGGTTCAGACAGATTGTATACTGATTTGCTCAATAGCGTATGCACCCTCCCCGTAAACAGCGACGTGCAATGATGATCGAAGCACTGGGTGTCGATCGCTCCGTAGTCGCACCCGTTCGCATTCCAGGCTCCCGGCTTGACAATCCGGGCCCCACCCCCAAGGCACCTACGGTATGAGCGCACCCTACAAGGGCGAAAAGGTGAGTGATTCATAGGCTGCACAATGGGTAATACGTCGTGCTCTCACATCATACCCCGCTAAGCCGAAAGTGCATCCCAGGCGCGAGCTACAGTACGATAGTCCGGGCGATAATCCTCATTTCGCTATGTGCGGGGATCGGCACACGCCACGAAGGCAGGCGCGAAGGGCGCGTCCCGCAGACGAACAAGCACAGCGACTGCCTCCTCGACTTCGCCTGCGCATCCTACTCTCAGCTCGCATTCGCAGTTTTGGTACCCCATACACAAGCTCGTGCATCTTGTCAGGGTATTTTTCCCTCTCTTCTCTGGTTAGCTTTATACGGCTTTTGAGGACGTGCCTGCATGCCATGACGCGGAGGTGCTGCTTCGCTCGACGCGGACGCTGTTGAAGCATATGAAGCGCAATATACGGTGCGTGTGTATCCTGGGATAGCGTTCCACCACCCTGAACAGAATGAGATGTTTGAGGCGATCAGGATGTGTGCGGAGGACGCAGACGACAGATGAGGCCACGCTAAGTAGGCATGGTTGACGGTAGCTGAGCCGTGGATCAGCATCGGAGGACATCGAGGGCCGATGACGCAGCAATAATCCGACGACGGAAACGAAGACTCATAGCGGAGTTTTGCGTCCATGCCAGGTGTTATGAATATCGGCAGGGAGGCGGTCGTTCATTGCTTGAAGTCGTCGAGTCGGATATTAACTTCTGCAGGCGCTTGCGCGCAGAATCGAGCGCTGGTGAAGCTAAAATCCTTAAATCTCCGAACCCACGTTCGATACACCTGCTTTCAATGTCTTGCACTTCTGCTGATCTGCCAAGGCCATACAGCCACAGCGTCCTGGAAGTGTCTGTTGCACTCGAAGGCGTTTTCTCAATTAACTGGAGTCATCGATGCGTGCTCTTTTTATTCTTATTTTTATTTTTTGAGTTTGAAGCCTGTCCCTAAACATATGTATTTGTTCCTTGAAAGTACCCAAAATAGACACGCAACACCGAGCGCTTGGCTCTCCGCGTACCGCAGACGTATGCACGTCAAACCTACACCAGCGACTTGGCCGTTCTGTATGACTTTATTTACTAAACCTTCAAGCCGCACCGGCCGAGTATTTCTGCCGTGCATTTCGGGCTTACTGGAGTCGACAGCAAAGTACGTCCTTGTGCCTCGTGTACTCCAGCTGGTCATTGAGAGCGCTGTCTATGTTGAAATCTCAACATTAATGGAAAATCTGCACCAAGCCAAGAACGTTGAGGGCTGCAAACGCTGCACCCACACAGAAGCCTCGACGTCCGAGTCTCGGACTTGCGGGTATCACCAAATTACTGCGATCACAGGAAGCATGCCCCTTTGGCCCGGTCCGTGGGCGTTCAATTTAGCGTACGGCCGAAGATCGTGAAATAAACGAGGATGCTTCGAGGCGAAGTATATTGGCAACGACATATTAACGTTCTGCATGTTTTGCACTGGAGCGCGGATGAAGGAAGGACTGAGACGACAATATGATATGATATGATCTGCCAAACTCAATGTAAAGCACGAGCAAGGAAGCTGCCCATCCACGTGCACAACGCCGCCGCACGACTCTCAAACGCCTTGGGAACGTTAAATCGCTGCAAAGTCCGAACGGGGGCCTTCTTCGTTTCGGCCTGCTCGGAGATGTACACATCAAATAAACTCCACTCCATTTCGAGTACAGCTGTGCATCTTCCGGAAACAGGAAAAAGTAATAGGTATGTATGTTCGGCACACCGATCCGGGCTTCAATTTGTAGTAGTTTCAGGCCAAGCAGAACAAGTTGCTCTTGGAGTCACAGGTTTCTCGCAGGTGTCATCGTGACCAGAGCCAGCGCTGCACACGCCAGCCGCAGAACCTTAGGAGCCGCCCTCGCAGCACAAAACCAGCAGCTCGCACAGAGACGCCCGAAACCGGTAATTTGGTGGCGATGGTGGTGGTGGTGGACGGTAGGAGTGATCATGATGGTGGCGCTGCCTCCGTGTACCTGGCCGTATGGCCCCAGGGCCGGAAACATATGCTGATCTTGGCAGATAACGGCGCTTACCGCATCTGCGTGCATCTCAGCAATCTGAAAACATCCCGCTGTCGTCGGACATGGGCATGGACGTAGGCTACTACGGGGCGGTGCGATTAATATGTGAGTGTGGTGGCGCCGCTATCTCCAGGGGCGACGTATTGTATGGATGTGCTCATGGATGAGCGAGATGTGGCCGAGCGCTTCGAGCAGGAACAGCGCGAGTTTATGGGCAAGGCTCGGACAAGGCTCGGGGTGTGCCTTAAGTACGGACTCTCAAGAAAAGCAAACACAGGTACATACCTCCGGCGAATAGACGCGTCATCGTTCCGTCCGATCGCAAGTCACCGGCGCGGATTGCGAAAACGCGGAGTGTGTTGCCGGTGTGGGTGGGTGTGGCTGCAGCGTTGCATGATGATGGTCCTCAGGCTATGTCAGTGTGGGAGCTTGCTGACAGTAAACGATCGCTGATTAGCGCGATCGTCTCAAACCTTAAGGCTGCTGGCTGCTGGCTGGCACTGGCCCTAAGATGGCCTGTCCGGGGTGCAAAATCGAGAGTAGATTGAAAACATACGAGATAATATCATATACGCGCAAGGGGATTCGCTATCCGTCCGCCCGGATGCACGGTTAGAAATTTACTAAAAAGCACTGCTCTTCATTGGCGAGTGGATGGTGACCGGCAGAACGCGGTATTAAGACAGTCGGCCTGCGGAACAAGTAAGGCAGGATGATAGCTAGAACAGTCACGAAACGAGGAACGGACATTACGACTACAGCGGACCCACGACCTCTCCACCAATGACGCACAGGGTTTATTGTCTGGCGTGCAGACGGTGTGAACTCATCAACATGTTCACAAGAAGAAGGCCGTATGCTCCGCAGCGACAGCAGACGGAGATTACGGTGCGAAGCGCGAATATTCATCGATGCATCCTCGACGCGGCTTACATCCGCCTGACGCCTAACGAGGCTTCTGGTGCACGAATCGCTTGATAGGCGTTTGCGGCAAAAATGGCGGAATTCTACGAACCAGAGAGTCGGTTCGACGAGTTCCAAGGATATTCGGTGATGGTTATTCGGCCGCTGAGAAATGAAGAAATGAAGAGGTGTCTGAAATGGACGGAGTGACTCCAACACCGTTCATGTGGCTTGGCGTCATTTTATAAAACACATTCGAGATTTGTTTTACCGTAAAGAACACCGGGTTTGCGTCTGGGAGATGATACGAGACACTTGAGCACAGCGGTGAGACAAAAATGTTTTATCCGGCGACAACGATTGTGTTTCGATAGATCGATGGATAATCTACTGAAAACGGTCAGCTGTTCTTTGTTCGTCTCACGAGTCAGGGACGAACAGGATGAGACGGTGCGTGAGGGTACCCGGACAGAGAGACAGCCAGAGGAGCATGAGAGCCGTAGCGATAGGCTTCATGAGGTGGAGGCGTATGTCCCGTTTACGTGCAGAAGTTGGACGTATGTGGCTGACAAGGGCATGTGTTATCAGTCCTGCTGGAGCATGGGATTATCCCTGCTGAACTTGGTGAATCGGGTGATGAAGACTTGCGCTAGTGCCCCCATGCTGCGTCATGTGTCAAGTGGACGGCGGTTAGACTGACAATTTAGCATGTTTGCACGGGTCTAAGACAAGGAAGCAGCAACGTGTGGAGGTTCATACCGAAGATGGCGTTCATTCGATAGCGTGACTCTTGGTTGTCAGCAACACGCACTGTGTAACGGGAACAGTACTGCCATGATCCGGAAAGAGGCGGAGTAACCGATCCGCGGTACTCGGCATTTAGAGAGATGAACGTCAAATATGGCGTTATGACGAAAGACCGGGTGAGCTGAGGGAATGAAGCTGTATGAGATGAGCAAGTCCATGGATATACAACCGTGTTGAGTGGGTAGATGAGGGTGGGCGAGCGTGGATGCGTGGTGACGGGGGTCACATGTCGAGGTTCAGAAGAGGTGTTCGACTTCCCGTTGTTACTCCGGACTTAGACGGAGTTCCGGCAGTGACCGGTGCTGGAACAACATCCAAAAAGCTTAAGCCGGTTTCCTTTCTCGTACCAATTCTCGTCATCTGTGCCTGCTGGATTCTGGCGAATTCTGCAGATCTACACTTCGTCCGATAGACAGCCGGACTTAGTACACAAACGCTGAACATCCCACAGGTCCGTCTCCTCTTTTCCCATTTCATTAGACGCTTTCAAAACAAAACCAGTCCAAGCATGTCCTCCATCCGAGCAGTCCATTTCGGCAACTGTCATCCATCTCGTCTCTTATGACGCCCATTAACAATTATTTAGGTCCATACCGACCGCGACATCACGGGTTGTGTGCTCGTATGTTCAACACCATTACGGTACTATTACAGCATGGATCCTATGAAACATTCAGTAATCCCGCTCTTACAGGCCGTGTCCCTTATATAGCTCGCACTGCCTTTCATCTCTCTTAGGCACAAAACCAACTTGTAACCCCTCTTAAACGTCCTCGTTACCTTTTGGTTCGTGTTGCCAACTTCCCAGTCTGCCCCCTTATTTTAAACCGTCTTGCTCACTAGCTTGCGAGCTGACTCCCTCGCCCATCCAATGCGATGGATGCCGATAGGAAATTACCCATTCCTGGGCATACCAGACAGCACCATCCACCCTCATCATCCACCGACACCGGGCGCCCGACTTCGTCTCATCATGCCCAGCAGCAGCTTCCATCTATACGGCAGCTGCACCCCGATCTCCCGCCCTCTGGTCTAGCGACTCAGCTTCCACAACCTACTGTGACCACATACTACACATCCCCCACATCTGCCTATCCTATGCACGTCCCATCTACCGACGTTACTTCGGGTCCTTCACTGCCCTATTATACCCGCAATGAGGCGCCTGACTCTGAGCCTGATGCTGAGAGCGAACAGCCCGCCAAGAAGCGACGAAGACGGCAGGCCCTGAGCTGCAACGGTACGTGTATAGCAACCAATTTGCATATTGTTTGTCTCTAACGCCTTGTTTCCTTACTTATTTACTTGGTCGTTATCGGGCTCCGGAACCGGACTCAAACCTGTCCTCTGATGGTTGATGCACGCCTCTCTATGCATGTTTTGCCCCACTGCATTCTTGATTGCCATCTGTCACGCGGAACGTGAAGAGTGCAAGCGAAGGAAGATCAAGTGCGACAGGTGCGTTGTGCAGTTGTCTTTTTTGACTTGGCTCGCTGCCGTCATTGATGAGCAGTCTTGCTGACGATTTGCCTGTATTCTTACGCAGGGCGCAACCCTGTGGCCCATGCACGAGGCGCGGAGAGCAGTCCAAATGCCAATGGCGCACGCTCGAACCAGTGTACGTGATTCACCAATTCCCTTTCTTCTTCTCCCATTCTATGAGGATAGAGAAGTAATGTTGCCGTTATCGCGCTTTTGCTCCATGCAGGGATAAGTATGTAACAAGGACGGAATACGACGAGATGCGGTCGCGTCACAGGGTTGAACACGATGCTCTGCGAGCACGCGTCGATCACCTTGAAGGCCTCATCCGCTACCTCCCCGGTACCGCCGTGCCGATTCCGTCAGGCTCAGGGCCGACGGCGCTGGGAGGGTACCCACCAGACCCGGCGTCACTCGCACAACAACAACAGCAGCAGCAGGAAGCACTATACGCAGCACACGGTGCGCCGGGCACCTCGACAGGCTCTATGCTTTACCCCGGGTCACCATCCACCTCTGCATACCATGGCGGCAGCGGTGATTTCAATAGACCTGGAATTGGACACGCCCAGGTGCAGCACGCGCGCTATCCCAGTGTGCACAGTGGTGGAATGGGCGGCTCTCCTAGGCCTCATCCTTCTTCCAGCATAGCTACCACCACCAGCTCGGCGGTGCAAATGGCGCCGACGCCCCAGGCACACGCCCAGTATCCACCATACACGAGCAGCGCTCGACACGTCAGGCGACCGTCCGTGTCAGGCTCGACCGAAATCAAGTCGCCGACAGCCGCACGCGTTTCTCCACTCGCGCTCACTGCGATAACGTCTCCGTTCCATGGACACGCGCACGCGCCACCACCGCCTCCACCGCCGTCAGCGTCGGCCTCGGCGGCTACTCGAACGTCACCCGCGATGCACCCGGCGCTGGCACGCCCACGCGCGAGCCCGAGCCCACGGATGAGCTCGGCGAACCCGCTCCGATACCCGGTCGACCAGCAGCCAAAAAACTGGCGCGCGCAGACGCTCAGAGCACTGGGCGAGCGTCTGCGCCTTCCCACCACCACCACCAATTACTCCCTCACACACGATACGACCCCGCAAGGCCCAGTGCAGCCACCATCGCGACAGGTACAAGCCCACGCATGCGCTCGGCGCTCGCCATCGCTACGACAGCGGCGACAACGGCGACGACGAGCGGCGGAGGACAGGTGTTTTCGCCCACGCGGACTTCACCGACAATGGCAAATCGGCCCGTCTTCGAGCTCCCCGCGCCACCGCACACTGTGCCCGACGCGAAGCTTGACGAGGGGCCCATACCGCGGGGCGGGGGCGGAGAGACCCCCGTCGGTGGGAGGCGCGTGAGCGACCCGCAGGTAGGGTCGAAGCGCACGCGGGAGGAGAGAGATCGCGCGGGCTCTGTGGGCGAGCGAGAGCAGCGGGAGAGGGCTGAGAGAGCCGAGAGAGCTGAGCGGGGGGAGAGGGACCGTGGACAGGCATATGATGTTTTGGAGAGACCGCGATCGTGATCGCGATTGCGATCGGTCGAGAGGGCCTGGGGAGAATTCAACGTTCAACAATATTCAAAGTATCGCATATCCATCCATACTACCTTATCGCATAGCATACTACTCACCGGGGTACTCGTGGAAAGTCCTAATGTGCCCACTGGGGGCACAGCACACTGTATCTAGTAAGCAGCACCGTCGTCACGTTCATGATCATCATGCCACATCAGCCTACACACACCCATCACTTCACCCTTTTCCTGTTTTGCTTTGGACAGTTTGTCGTATCCTGTGGCATACATCCGCATCTATCTCATCGCCATGTCCGCTTCTAGTCCACTCGCAGCATCTTCTGTTCTCTTGGCTTACTGTATCTATGACCGCATCAGCACGTTTCCCCGCTTCCCCCTATCTACCCCGCAACGTACCACTGGTTCTGGCACCGTCCCATCACAACACTGCACTGGTACTAGCACGTACTTATCTCTGCACCGCATCGTATACAACTATTCGGTAGCTTATGTATTTTATCTAGTATTTTATCTTACTCTATACCGCTTCATCTCACTTGTCATCTGCGATGTAATACAGTCACGGGTGTTTGTTTAATCGAGCTTCGAGAACAACGACTTCTAACTTTATAACGTGTGGTTACGGGGTTGCGGCTATAGCTAGGTGGTAGAGTAATATATGCGCACGAAAAGGTATGTATGTCCAACAAAGACTAGTTTGGATTAAAACGCTCCGTCAACGACGTCGACAGACTCGAGCAAAGGGTCCGGAAAACAAAGAGAAGAAAACAGAACAACACGACCAATATTTATGTAATAAGCCTGCCCCCAACGAGAACGCAAGCACCTCATCCACGTCTAGGCTCGTCGTCGACGAAGATCCCCCAGTCCGCCGACCTCGGAGCGGCAAGACAGAATATCCCCGGGGCCCAGCCTCCTCGTCCTCGGTAATGAACAGCTGGAAATAGCAAACCACAGAAATCTATTCATCACGCCCACTTCAGTCAAAGACCATCTTCCCGCGACTGTCCACGCTCGCGCTCATCCCGCCACTCACGCTCCGCGAGCCGCTGCCGCTCTTGTGCGCCTGCTCGATGATGCGCTCGCGCTCGACGTCGCGCTTGTGCTGCGCCTGGCGCGCAATGCGTTCGGCCTCTGCATCGGCCTTGGCGGTCTTCTCAGCTGCGCGGCGGTTCGCGTTCTGTCGCTGCTTCTTAGTCATCGTCTCCGGGGCTTTTTGAGCGGCTGGGGCCGAGGAGGTGCTGGCTTCGCGTGAGGGTTCTGTTTGGGAAAATTGAAGGAAAGTGGGTTAAGCAGATGAGTTGATACGGGCACGTGATGGTGTGTAGTCCGAGGGAATGGAAACGTTGAGGGACTTACTTGTACGAGACTTGCTCTTCACGACGCCCCACTCGCCCTCGTCATCTCCCGCGTCTCCATCGGTTTGCGCTGTGCCTGTGTTAGAGATAGGCTCCACGTCCTCGTAGTCTTGCCACGAGAACCCAGCCGGTGGCTGCTCGCCAGGACCGGGTTTAATCTTCATAACGCGCGCAATGGTCGGGTAATCCGACTGCTCAAGCATGCTACAAACAACAAATTCAAACAAGGCGAAGGGAATTACTCTGTCAGTAACGATCGTCACAGGCCAGAAGCGAACGTCACATACTCATCGACGCCGGTCTTCCTCGGCTTTGGGAGCATCTTCTCGGCGAACGTCCGTCGGTTCTCCGAGGACACCCCGGAGCTCGTCCCGACTACCGGGAACTCGTCGTCCGTGCGCTCCGTAACGGGCGAGTCGCCTGCCCCGGACGCACCAGACGCGCCGGTGTCGCTCGTCGTGAAGTCTGTCGCGACGCCGAGCTGCTGCTTGGTGTCGTCATCGCCTTCAGTCTTGCCTTTGGTGCGTTTGGACTTGCGGCTCGGCTCGACGCGGGTCCAGGAGCTGTCGGTGTCGTACGCCTGGGGCGGTGGTTGCTGCTCTTTGGGCTGGGTTTTCTGCGAGGTACCAGCCACAGCAGGAGTAGCAGTCGACTTGCTTCCCTTGGGAGGCCGAGCAGCCGCAGCAGGGGCCGCGGACTTCTCGGGCTCGCCGCTGGCGCTGGACTTGGTGCCAGCAGCGCCAGGAGTAGCGACGTCCGTGACAGAGGCAGCAGGACCCTTGCTCTTCTTCTTCTTTGCCTTCTTCGTCTTCGCCGCGGGCTCGCTGGCACTCGCAGTGTCTCCCTCTGTCTGATCTGCATCGCTTGGTGGGGAGAGTTCGCCTGGTACGACGCGAGGAAACGCGACGATGGTTGGCTTTGTTCCTTCAACGGCCTCTACACCCGCTCCAGCGTCTGTGCCCTTCTTCGCCTTCTTCTTCCTTCCACCGGTTCCGGCACCAGCATTGCTAGAGAGACTCGGCTCACCCGAGCTGATGGCTTGGTGAACGGTCTGCTGGAAAGCAGGGTTTTTGAGGTAGTGCCTGTACGTGAGCGCGCCGCATATAAGGGTGACAAAGACGACCTGAGAGGCGGTGATAGAACTAATAGCAGAGCCCATGTTGAAAAAGAGTTGGCCGTGGAGAACGTCGTCGTCGTCGTCGCAAGCAGAGAGCGCAACCTTGTCCCTTCCACGGAGAACGTCACACGTTGCCCGTGTCGCGGGACTTCGGCGGCAGTAGTCGGGTGACGTGGGCTGACGTGACTGGTGAGGTCGTGACTGTGACGTGTTCATCGACGCGTGATGCGTGGCTGTAACGTGTCATTCCCACGCCTCTTTCCAGTGCCCCCGCATCTTCGACATAGCTGAAAAAACAAGACCAGCGTAGTCGCTCTCTAGTTCCGATATCTGTATCAGATAGCATACTTAGCGTTTGAAAGACGCCGTTTCAACGGTGTGGGTTAATCAGCATAAATCCCAAGTTATCGCAAGCCACCCTTTACTGTTCACCACCCCATCGCTGGAGCCTACCATGAAAAGCCCGCTGCTACACGTTGCGAGAAGCGAGCCTACCGTAAGCTCTTGTTAGGTTCAAGTCAAAGGCATGCCGTCGTCGTGTCTCAGAACTATATCGGACTATCACAAGACGCCATCAAGCATCGCAGTCGACACGGCCACAGCTCAGAGTCACCCTTATGGCCATCGTGACTCGGTAGCATGTGATAGTGTCTTGGTAAGGTCCGAACCTTCTTCAGGTAAAATTGAACACCATTGCTTATGCGGAATTGCTACTTCTCATAGATCCGCCTTTAGATTTCTCTGCATTGCAGGATCATTGCGTAACGACTTGGCGACGACTCACTTTAACTCTGGCGCTGAACCGCCCAGAGAATTAGTCCTTGGATTGCGAATTTTGGATGACTTACATCTCTCAGTATTTGCAAGTCACATTTCCGACTCGGAAATTTGCGTCTCGCTGATCACCCGCGCTCACTGATCAACCTGCATTTTTAGCTGCACGCACCCTGGCCCAATCATTTCGCTCAGCCATACCAACGGACCCGGGGCTATGCCCAGTACATTTTTGTTCCGCCGCTGAAATGAGCGAGCGGCAGGAACGTTCGCTGCATCGAGCCTGAAGAATCAGCAGTCATAGGCCCACATCGGCTGCATGCTTACTTGCACAACGGCACATTTCGCTCCGCCAGCAACGGTGTCATCTAACTTAATTCCTGCGAATGGACCTGAGAGCGATCCGATCACCAGCGACTTAAAATGGGCTCGTCGCCGCATGCCCGCGGCGGGAAGGCAGCGGTCGCAGTCGTCTCTGTATGGCTAAATTCATGTCTGTGCTCGTCGTTTATTTCGGACGAAGGGCAGGGTATGATGGGCCGGTGGGTGGGTCCCCGTGCGGTCGGTCTTTGATCTACATGAGGCGTGTAGACGGCCTGAGCGTTTGTGGATACATATGCATGAAGCTAATAATGAATGAGCTTGCACTACTGAGTCAGCATGGGTGTGTCGCACGCTCGCCAGTGGGTGGGTGCGCGGTAGGGCTGGCGCTGTGTCATTAAAAATTGCCAAAAACTGAGGACCTTGATCGCGCAGTCGCCCAGGGTGCATGCGTGCATAAGGCCAATAATTGTCACCAGACTCGGAGTTGCCCTAGATTTTTGGTTTTATTACGCAGCCACCTACGGCGTGTATGCATGCACAAGCCTCAAGCTGACAGAATAGTCATGAAACCTTCCCGAAAGCTCGGCCATTATCATCTGCACTCGCCCATAGCACTTTTAACGTTCGATGAGACGGCGGTGATTAGTGGCAGAGTGCTTCTTACGCTCCGGCGGGCGAACGAACGAATGAGTCCGTGCTGCTCGCTTCCAAAATGTAATAGACCGTTTGTATTTTCTGATATGAAGATCCAAGCAGTCCATAGATATCCATCCGATTACTAGATACAACATCATCTAGATACGCGCGGCACATAGATATCCACAACAACAGCGTGTAACAACAGCACTCCCCCCTCGCGGAGCCAACGCGCCAAAGCATCCCCAAAGAACAACCAAAAAAAGTAAAGCAAAAAAGAGAGCCAAAGAGAGCGCCCCATCCCTAACTCTTACTGCTCTCCGAAATCGCCTTGATCATCGCGCCCCCAATCGTATTCGCCTCGTCAAACTGCGGCTCAAAAAACGCCGCCGTCTCCGCGAACCGCCTTCTATACAGCTCAAAGTTGCCAAACGAGACGCACTGGCTCCAGCCGCGCGCGCCGACGACGAACTCGAGGTCGTCCGAGCGGTGCGAGGTGTCGTACAGCGCGGCGCGCACCGCGGCGTCGAGCCGCGCCTCGGAGCGGAAGAGGTACTCCGCGACGCCGATCCACATCCGGAAGATGGGTGTCGCGGCGAGGTCGAGGTGCACGAACGGGTGGATGCCGAGTTTCGCCCAGCAGTCGACCATCGCGAGGAGGGAGAGGTGCGAGTTGGAGCCGACGCTGTTGGGGCTGGCGTTCCTGTTCCCGGCGCTGGTGTCGTTGGCTGCGTCGCCGTTCGCGACGGCCTTCTTGCTCGGCTTCCCGCCGATCGTGAACTGGTCGAGTACGTCCTCGGTGAGGAAAATCGGCACCCGGCCCTCCTTGTACGCCTGCCCGAACACGCGCTCGCGCGCCTCGAAGACCCGCGCGCGCAGGCCGGGCTCGTCGCCCGCGAGCATGAGCTTGAACAGCTCCGTCGCGCTGCTCGCGTACTGGTCGATCTGCACCTTGGCGGACGGGTTGAGGATCGCGAGCCCGGCGTAGACGTGCCACTTGTTGGCGTAGATGCGGTGCATGATGTTTACTTTGACGGTCTCGATCCCGCCGACGTATTGGCCGTGCTGCCAGGGGTAGTCACGCATCGCGGCCCAGGCGGTGCCCATTCTGCGAGCCCAAGAATGTTAGTGTGGGTATGTGAGAGGGAGGGGCGAAGGAACGCACGTGAGAAATGCGGCATGGGTGACGGCCTGCACGTTGGCAGTGACGAGATCGTGGTCCTCGTACGTGAGGTAAACAAACCGCGAGCGGAAACACTTGAGGATGTTCTCGACGAGGCTGACTGCCCAGTCGGGCGCGCGGTGCTTGATGATGACCTAGCGAACGATCGTCGTCAGCCCTGGGAGGAGTTAGAGCTCATAAGGCACGCACCAGGGGCTGGCCAACAGGGGATACAGTGGGCCCGTGCAGCGAGTGCAGGGAGACGATGTGCGTGTCGAGCGGGAGGTACTTCTCGAATGCGTCCTTCTCAGGCGCTTTTACGGACGTTTGGCCCGCGACAATGGCACCGACCTTGCAGGCTGCAGGGAAAGGAAAGGGGTTTGTGTGAGCATGGTGCCGTGTATCTCCAGAAGTGCTGTTTTATATAAAGAACGCTGAGAAGGAAAGAAATCAAAGGAAAAGGGAATTGAAAGAAGACCGAAAAGAGAGTTAAGGTTGTATGGTCCGGATAGGGGCTAATTGATAGGAGCTCGGACGAACGAGCGAACTGGGAAGGAAGGGAAGGGGTGTGGAAGGGTCGGAAGAAGGAATCCTGGGGAAAGCGGGTGCGAAGATGCAAAGTGTGCAGGCGTGCAAAGAGTGACGTAGGGGAAGAGGCAGAACGGCAACGACGATGACTCACAAGGGCCATACTGGGCGACGACCTTGTCGATGTGCTCCGCCTCGACGGAGAACATGATAAATTCAGATACTCGGGCGACGGCATGGCCGTCTTGAAGAACGGTGATGCCCGGGGTGTCTGTTTGACGTTTGATAGATAGAAGGGTTGGTCGTTCGTGCAGGGCAGGGGCAGATGCAAAGATGAATGTAGGGGTGGATGGAAGTAGGCGGGGATGAGCGTGAAGTGATCGAGTGCAGTTCCGTGAATTTCGAAGGGTGAGCGAAGACGCGAGGAGATGGGCAAGGACAGGTGACCGTCAGCAGGCATGCATAGAGACGGGATGGAGATTTGAGAAAGGGTCACGCACTCGCGTACTTCTCTCGCAGGGACTCGTACTTGGAAGGGAGATCGCATACGTTGATCCTATGGGCACGGGCACATCGCGTGGGCAGGTGAGAGTGGCCGTGCAGACGTAGGGATGTGGTTGGTCGGTATAAAGAGCAAGGTATGTCGTCATGCACAAAAGTGAGAGTCGAGAATGGTGCACATGGTCAGTGAGCGAGGTACATCAAGAGAAGAAGCAAGGAGGCGCACTTTTTCCAACCACCCTGAGAGAGGTACTTGGCGTACATTTCGCCCATAGCACCCATGCCAATGAGACCAATGGTCGGCTGGTCCTCGAAAGCATCGGCAGGGGTGACAGTGGTAGGGGACATCATGATCGGACCGGGTTAGTATAGCGGATATCAGTTAGTAAGAAGGCGGGGGAAGAGGAAGCAAGATGGGGAAGTCGGGGAGGGAGAGGGAGGTGGGGTGAGTAGGTAGAGAGACGGTGGAGGCCGGCGGGGGCTAGTTAAGGCTTGAGGAGTTTGAGAGCAGACCAGGGGAGATGGGATAGGTTTCTGCCTGGTGCTTAGCTGGGTTTGCCTAGTCTGAACGCTAACGGTGATAGCGCCTACTAGGGCTAGTATAGCCTAGGCTAGTGCCAATGAGAATGGATTATGCCCCAACCTGTACAACGATAAAGCTAATGAAGTCGCATATTGTTAGTGAGTCGAATAGGAGTCATACGGGGTATCTCATCGTCGTGGCTGGGATGGCGCTTGGTGGGTTGGCATGGAGCCACGTGTGCCAATGTCCCGTAACGCTCAACCGAGGGAGAAATAGCACAACATGCTCCGTTACGTACATTTGTGTTTCAGTCTTTTCCTCTTTTTCTCTTCCTCGTTCATCCTCACCCGGAGGCAGACGTCGAGCACAGCGGCCAGCGAGCAGACAGCTTTTGTTGAAAGAAGTGCAGAGCTCATCAGTCTCACTTTCTTGCAATCGGCCTCGCTATCAGCACATCCCATCATCCGAAACCAGGCGCCTCTCCTGTGCAGCCGCAACGTTACCGCAGCTGTCCACCGCCCGTGTCCTCTCGTCGTGCAATTATACGTTCCATAATCCGTAGTATCTCCGTAAGTTTCCAGGCACACATCAACGTGCACGCGCCTTTCGTGGCCTCATTTTTCATCCACATCCTTTTTCGTCTCATATTGCTGACTCCTCCTTCCTCCATTCGACGAGCTCATACTTGGTTTCACTCTGACAGTTGCGCCCAATCCGTGGCTGACACTTCGCTGACATATTCCGCTGCCTTTTCATCATTCATCGCGGCTCCCACTCCCTCTGCCTGGGCCCGCCGAGTGCGCCGTCGACGGCTGAAATCTATTTTTCAAATTCAATCTAGACTTTACCCGACTATATGCTGAGGTTCGTATGTTTTCGACCTATCCTCCCGAATGTCTCAGTCCCACTGAAACCTCTTTTTCTTTCCTCTCCCCTGTCCACGCGGTCCTCAGCATATCTCACTTTAGTTCATTTTTTGGCATTTGAGAGGCCATTGCCTGCATATATCGACGCATACACCCATTTATTAACCACGCTCCTTCTTCATTCGCGCGTCCCGCGTATTCCACTCCTTTCCAATCACGCTCCCTGAACACCGTCGTCAAGAGCCCTCTCCCTCAGCCGGTTTCCACCAACGACGCGCGCTCCCTTCCCGAGAACCTTTCACGCATTTTAATTCTCGTGGTCATTTCGCCGCCTGGACCGAGCCCGAGGACCGGATATTTCGATCCGTTGCGCTCCCACTCCTACCATATCAGGCCACTCAGGGACCGATACTTGTTAGCTCTTTATTTTCAGTCCCCGCGCGCGCTCATTTACGACGTATTCTGTTTTTATTTGCGCCCCACCCAGGCTTCCCCTCTTCCTCTTCTACGTTCCTCACGTCCTTGGCCTTTCCCCGTCCCCGGAGCCGCCACAGCTTCGTCCACTCGCCTTTTGTCTTGCCTGCTGGCTTGAAGCCCCCTTTGTGTCGGTGAGTCGCTCTGAGCCGTGCTGTTGGCGAACGCTCCATTGATGGCGATGATCCGTTCCAGACCACCTCTAATTTTGCTGCTCCCATCTTACTCCGGTCATTGATCACCCAATGCCTGTGCGAACCCGTTTATCTCTTGTGTCAGGAACAGAATCATCTTAACGTACTCGTAGCTTTCTTATCAGGCTTCAAGCAGCAGTCGTCACCCCTCGGAGCCGGAGCAGTCTTGGGATGCTCGAAGCACATTCTCAGCGCCTTCAACGCGCCTTCCGCAGTCTTCCCGCCAAGGACGGCCAAATCTCCCATCGGCATCCCAGCCTAGACAACCACATTCCTCCGCTCATTCTATCTATTCGTCGGGCTCGCGCTCGCACTCTCATCACCCTGATGAGCCACCGTCGGTTTCAGCGCCTACGCGCGTGCTGACTGCCCTCGACTCCACCGTGTCCCCTAAAACCCTCACAACCCCACGCAAAGCGTTCATGTCTTCTCAGTCGTCGCTCGGCTCCGACGATCGCTCGAGCGATACACAGCACCGCTCCTCTCCTCGCTCCAGCACATCAGCGATAAGCAAGATCGCCTCTGCGTTCTCCCGCTCGTCAAAGTCAAAATCCATGCGCGCGAGCGTATCGCCCACTGTCCAGAAACCGCCGTCGGATATCAAGTCGTCCATATCTGGCCCCACCACCACCGGCACCGCCGCCCCTAGGCGCCCCAACACGGCGCCGCAGGCACCGTCGCTGATGACCCGGCCGAGGACCGCACCAAGTTCGCCTGCGTCGCCTTCGCGGTCTCAGTTCGCGAGCCAGTTCCACGCCCGGATGAACTTCCCCGTGTCGCCCGCCGAGAGGGATACGTCATACCAGACGTCACCACCTCGCGACCATGCAGAAGAGCAGGAGCCCAGCAGCCCGCGTGGGCTCGCGCTCAAGACGCTCCTCAGCAAGCCTGCGATTCCGTCGTCGTCCGTCGCATCGCTCCATTCTATGCAGTCGGATACCGACAACGGCTCGCGGACGCCGATGGTGCCGCCTGCGCCGCCGCCATACATGCACAACAGGGGCGCACGTAAGATGAGTGCGCCGAGCATTGACGTTGCGGCGACGCCGCAGCCGCAGGGGCGGCGGGTAAATGCCGCTGATGCGGATATCCGCCCTCCCGCCGCGCCGTACATGTCGGAGCGCCACTCGCCTAGCCTCGAGTCCCTGGACGTAATGTGGAAGCCGCAGCAGCCGCAGGGGTCGTCTGTCGAGGCCAGGCAGCGCAATGTGCTGAAGAGGAGGCCGAGCGGGAGTGCGAGGGCTGTGAAGACTACAGAGAGCAAGGAGGTCGTGAAGGAGCGGGAGCTGAAGGATGCGAGTGCGAGGGTGTTGAGGGGCGTTACGAGTATGGAGAAGGTTCGGGATGCGGACGATGGCGTTGTCGCTGGCGGCGGCGGTGGATGGGGGTCGGGGCGGACGAAGCGATCATTCTCGATGAAGACGGTGTCGCCGCCTTCCACGTCGGTTACCGCGCAGTCGTCCTCGGAGAAGTTCAGCTCGCTCGGCCATTCGAGCTCGATGTCGCAAACACCGCAAACACCGCAGCACCGGGAGAAGGCGGATCGCGCACCACCGCCCGCGGCGCTCAATCTGACGCCCGCGGGCGAGGTCGCGCAGGCGTACAAGCAGCAGCGGCTGTCCCCGTTCCCGCGTAGCCGCGCGAGCGCCCCTGCGAGCCCGTCTATGAAGAAGCCGACGCCGCCGACGAGCCCGCACGTGTCAGTGCACTCGGGCGAGCGGTCGCCTGCGCCGTATTATACGGTCTATGGCAACAACTCGGGCAAGACGATACGTGCGGGAGGCCCGGAGGATAGGTGGAGTGGTGTTGAGCGGATTATTCAGTCGACTGTTACTATTTCTGCGGGTGTGGGTGTGGGCAAGACGGCGGCGGAGAAGGAGAAGGAAAGGAGGGAGGAGGGGGAGGGTGCGAGGAGTCTCACGAGGAAGGTGTCGAATCGGTGGAAGAAGGTTACGGGTGGTGGTGGTGTGGTCAAGGATGAGTCGCCGCCCCGTCCGTCGACGCCCAGCTCGCATTCGCGGTCAAAGAGCCAGAGGCCCAGTCTGCAGGAAAACCTTCCGCGCGGGCGCTCCACCAGCCATTCGATCGACGGATATCCCGAGACTCATAAAGTTAATGGTGGTGTTGGGGTGAAGCACGGGAGAGCAGAGACGGATCCAACGACGGGGCTTGGGACGCCCTCGCGCACGAACGGGAAGGAGGAGACGAACGGGAAACTGTGGAAGCTTATGAAGCGCATCAGCACGGGTGCGCTGCGCGATCGCTTTCAGGCGGAGAAGACGCCGCCGCCCGTCCCGTCGATCCCGAAGGAGTACCTCGACAGTGTGCACTCCAACGGGGCAAACAGTGCGCCGACTACGCGGTCGTTCGACAGGCCGTCGACGGCGCAGAATGGGTTGTCGCGGCCTGGGATCGGGATTGTGACGTCCCCGCTGACGACCTCGCCTCCGCCTTCGGCTATCCCTGCGTATGGGAGGACGAAGCGGCCCTCGACGGCACCAAAGACCATAGGTGGGACCCCGGCCCGACCGAGCTTCACGACGTCGTCCTCGCCTAATTCATCAGACGTCGCGTCGAGCAAGTTCTTCAACCGCACGCACTCGGCGAGGTCATCGGTCTCATCGTATGGCGAAGAGCTTCCACCGCCCGTTCCTGGTAGCTCGATGTCTGCGTCTGGCCACGAGACGGCCCGCCACATCATGCCCCCGCACGAGCTGCTCCGCATCGCGACGCGGGACGAGGAGGAGCGCAAGGCGCTCGACGGCGCCGCTTCCAATCGTTCGCGCGATCGCTCGCCACGCCGCACGATTTCAAGCCCGTCGGAGGTCATCGCGCCCTTCAAGCGTGGTAATCAGCGCGATCTGTCGCCCATGCCCATTACCATCCCGCGCAAGAGGGAGAACAAGGATTCGACGCCCACCGGTTCGCCGACGTCCCCGTTGATCCCGAAGTTTGACTGCGCGAATGCGGTGAACTCAACTCAGTCGCTCAAGGACGATACGGTCGCCTCGCCCATCGGATCTACCAACAGCGGAGAAAGAGGTACCGGAGGGCTTAATCCGCCGCCGAGGCCTACGCGGAGCACACTGCGCCCCTCGGGCACGTTCGGGCGCACGTTTGGCAGGGATAACAGCGGCTCCCCGGAGGATGGCAAGCGGGACACTTTGAAGTTGGAGCGCCCCGACAGCCGCAGCGACTCGAAGCGTGGCTCCAACTGCACCGTGCGCAGTCGCACCAAGTCTGAGGGCGCCTCGATGCGCGGCGAGCGTGAGACGTCCAAAAAGACGCCGCTCACGTTCCGCCCGCTGGACGATTCGTCGCGCAAGCCGCCGCTGAGCGAGAAGGAGAAGGCGGATATCTGGGATGATCTACTCGAGCGCAGTGCGCAGGCGGGCGGGACGCTCCATATCGGCGGTGGCGGGCTCATGTCGGACGATATGCGCCTCTCGCGGGCGATGTCGTCGCGCATGTCGAATTATTCGGAACTGGCTTAGAAGAAAAGAAGGGATTTTTTTGCCTGTATATTATTAACCCATGGTTTGCTCGCCTCCTGCGGAGCGAAGGCATCGCACTGACTCGGCTTCACTTGACTTGACCTGGCTTGGCCTTCATTGTACATCTTATCCGCCATGCATCCCTCGTTCGCTATCACGCTACACGCTCTCACAAGACCACTTATACCCCTCGGTTCGATTATACCTCGTCGCGCTCCCGCCGTTGCCATCGCCATCGCAACTGTGTACAAAAGTCTGCAATTCTCCTCGCTTCCGCACCGCTGGCTCGTTCATACCCATCCTTCGCTTTTACTGGTTTTCCCTTACTCACACGCATAGTCGCCCGCTCGCTTACTTACCACAACCACCCCCCTACCGCATCGTTCTCTTAGTCGACCATACACACGCATATACACACTCCGCGGTCAACACAGGCACATCAGATTACTCACACTTTCGTTGTAAAGATAGGATAGACACGTCACCGAGGTTAATCGTTTCTTCCTCTTTTTTTATTGGGCACGTTCATTGTTCTTGCGTATCGTACGGATACTTTGCTCGTCTCTCGTCTACCTCTCGTTTGTTTTCATAGTTATTCAACCTGTCTTATCACACACGTTTATCGTATCGTATATCACTTTCTTTTTCTCCTACGTTGGATGTGGATTGGCTCTATTAATTTGCCCTACATATACTCTGCTAACCTATTGATCACACTCGAGCGGACTTGCCCACGGTCGTCCGGCCGCCGAGGCGGCTGATTTATATGGACGATGAGGATACGATGAGAATGTTGTTGATAACTTGATTGCGCAGTGAAGAGGGTCGTCTATCGTTTCTGATGTTGTCTTTGGACATCATGCTGCGCGTTACCCTGAACATTTTATCCTGCCCCCAGCGATTGGACCACGTCTCCACTGGCACACGGGAGCGCGATGAAAGTCTCTCAAGGGCCGGAGATACAGTCATATTGAGCGCCGCATCGAGAACTTCGCGGGCCTTGACTACACTTGTTCGTTGGCCCTGGCGACGAGGTGGATGGATGTGTGGGGGGAGCGTGGGTGTATCCGCCGATGTTATTCTCTACACACGACCGCGGCGATCCCGCGGGGAGCTCGTGGTGCCTGAAACGGGGGAGGGGTGACGGACTCTAAAGCGACAGGAAAGCCGGCGGTGATGCAATAATAAGATTATCACTGCGATCGAGGTTTCGTACCGGTTCGTCCACCCTGACCTGAGTCTGGGAGTTGTCTTTTGCTTAGATATGATAGTCGTTGGGCTGATGGTTCTGCTTATGTGAGTGTAGTGGCCACCGTCGTGGGACGATCGTGAGACCGCGTGTTGGAAAAGCACGAGACCGAACCTAGCACGATATCACTAGGATATAGTAGCAGAGCCTAAGTGACAGCCTGTGATAGCGTACATCTTTGTTGACGTACATCAAGATTGTTTAAGAGCGAGTGCGGGGCTGAGTGCGAGCCCTCTACACCATTGTGTCTCTTCCGACGTCTGATCATGATATGTGTTGTCGGATGGTGCTGGAGAAACTGCTTGCGTTTACTCGATTTCGAGGTTTATTTGATGTTTACGTCGTTTATTTGCACGCAGACCACGCTTGAGTAACATTTCCCAGCCGCCAATACCACTGAAATGATGAGGTAGCATTATTTTACAATACACGACATCCGTCGAGTATGTCTGGTCTAGCCAAGTAAAATACATCAATTCCAGTTGTCAAATATTTACCTGACTTCATTTGTGGGTGTTTATTTTACTCTTTCTTTCCCCGCTCCATTCCTCCTGTCAGTCTCGCGTTAAGCGAAGGTATATTTCTACGCTGACATTCACATATAGCGCCTCAGTAAGTTTGCCCGCGAATAAATGACATGATACATCAATCAATTCCCGTGAACATATGGTACTGGGATAGAGGTGCCATACAAGCATGTCTAGCGTTTCCTATTCTTGTTGACTCTACTGTTCTTCTTCGACAGCAATTTCGAGACGAAACAGAGGTATGTACTCGAATCGGTGAATTCCTTCACCTGCGCACACACTAGAGTTATGCAGACGGTGCCCACAGTTGTCTGACTGGCCCGTTCACCTGCGAGGCAGCCTCGCGAACCGCTTTCAAGACCGCATCCTTGACTTGGTTCACCCCCTGGCTGGCATCTATATCGACCCACTTGTATCCTTCCTTAATCACCTCGTTCTTGACGCACGAGAACGCCTCCAGAACAGATTTCTGAACTTTTTTCTGTTCGTAACGCTCGTCCCCGTAGCCGCCCCGACTACCGGCTACCTCAGGATTGATATCCAAGAACAAGATGAGATCGGGCGCAGGTAGCCCCCTATCCGGAGATTGACACCATTCGTACGAGAAACCCTTCTGCAAGGAAAACGCGACGCCGGAAAAGGCGTACCGATCTACGATAACGGTCACGCCCGATTCCAGGTGGGACATGATGTCCGATCTACAGGGCGTCGAATCCATTAGCTTTTATAGAGCAGGAAAACGCCTGAAAGCTTACGCGTCTTCCCAACGATTAGCGGAGAAGAGAAGATGTATAGCTTGATCGTCCAAGCTGGTTTGCTGTTGAAGGTACGAGTCGATTATTTGCCCGATCGGAGTGGTACGATCTATTTTGGCCCAAGCGTGTTTGATCAGAAGGCGACTAGGCAGAGAGCTCGCTTGGTCGGAAAAAATTGTCGGCACACACCAGGAAACTTCATAGTGACAGTACTCGTGTCCGAGCCAGACTCCCTAATGAGCTCCTGGCGGAGGAGTTCAACTTGAGTACTCTTGCCTGATCTGTCCAGACCCTCGAAGACGATGAACATCCCGCGCTTTTGTTGGCTGGCCATTGGGTACGGAAAAGTTGTTAAGCGTGATAACGGGAGGTGAAAGGAGATGAAGAAGAGGTGCCGCTCAAATTTGGTCCAACACGCGTCAACATCGCGTTGAGGATATTTGTCTTTGCTTGTATCAACTCTTTCCTTTTTGGGTCCTCTCCTCCTTATACACTTTGTCAGAGCGAAGCTGCAAGGCGCACATCTTGTACCGCGAAGGAGTATTCCCATCCATAAGTATTGTGTATATTGGTGTCTTCAGTATAATCAAGAGCCTCAACATGTGAAACCGACCACGGAGTGCCAGCTTTCTTGGTAATGGATTTTCACATAAAAACAATTGTCTTGACAATTGTACAACTTATGAAATCTCAAATAAAATATGGAGATATCGCGATTGTATTCGACAACATCAGGCAACATCCGAGACGCGTCCATGGCGAGCTTGATGACGGTGAGGCACGATGGCTTTTATTTTAGCCTATTTTAACCCTTACTTCAGCCTCATCGCGTTGCATGGAACGCGCTACCGTCCTCTTCCTTCCAAATGCTTGCTTGCTTCTTCATCGTCAAGTCAAAGAATATGTACATGCGCCTCATACTCCAGATCTTAGAGTTTCTCGAACTGACTATCGCTCAAACGGACAGATCCTCCCTTGCGCGTTTGGCTCGCGTATGCAAAGCTCTCGAGGAGCCCAGCCTAAATGCCCTCTACCGTGAGATCGACTGTTTCCGCTCTTACCTCACCTGTCTGCCTTGTGATCTGTGGCTCTTCGACAATTAATACGCCGGGCTAGTTTCTTTCCTTGTGATTAGATCCATGATTATAATGCTGCCATTGACTGACCTCGTTTTGCCGTTAGGTGCTCAAGCTCAAGCGCCAAGTCATACAGGCTGACTGGGCCACGCTAGCCAAGAACGCGAAGCGTGTGCATGTTAAGTTCGACAGGAAACAGATGGAATGCGTGGAAAAGTCCGAGCAGATAAGACGGTCTGGGAAGCCCTGAATCATTGTCCACTCCCTGTTCTCTTTCCAGGTTTAAACACGCTTGACTTTCATGTCTTAACTTTAGGGCCACTGTTCCTTGGCCGATATTTATTCGGCTCTCAGCTTCAACACGTTTCGGTTTCCGTGTCTTCGTGTCACCTTATGTGTGCGGTCAAGGATATACGGGTGCATTTTCCGATGATATAGTTGATGAGACTTACAGGTGGATCATCAAGTACCAATATCCCTCCTTCGTTCGAGGAGGCTATGTTCTATGTGCCTGCTTTCTCGGCTAAACACGCTAGACTGCGGCTCAGACTCTTGTTTCTCTAAATCCGTTTTACACCACGTTGCACACCAGCCACTGGAAGGCTTCAGATACCTTCGCGTCTCGTTATCATCAGATAATCTGGACTGGATCAAATATAGCGCTAGCTTTGGGATCAGAGGCCTAACTAGCCTGTCGTTGGAGACACGCAGCTATCATCTTGCCGCCTCCGCCGTCAACCATTTTCTCGGTGACAATGTAATGGGATTTCCATAGGCCAACATTGATAATCTGGCTATCCGGTGCACGTGGCGCAGGGGCTTGCGATTCTCAAAACCGTTCTACGGTTCCCTCTCCCGCCGTATCGAGTCCGCAAGCCTCCGCAAGCCTCTCACTATCCGAACGGTCTCTACTTCTGAGAAAGACTGGATTTTGGCAAAGCCATCGGTGGCCACTTATGGCTTTGTCTCGAGAGATGCGGTTATTCCCTTTCCAAACCTACCACCTCCAGCTCACCCGCCAAAGTCCAGCGTCGTTTTGAGCTTGTCGTGCGTGATCTTGGAGACACACACTACGATGCATATACTTGGTCTGACTTGTGCCTACACTCGGAGGGATGGCTTTGGGATGGTCAGTGGAGGATAATATAGATTCCACATTAATGCAAGCCAACCCAGGGTGATCATCACATCGGATAGTATGAGAAGACGGACCATGTGAGGAAGCTGGGAGGGGGTGTTGTCCTGGACTCTCGGAATATCGCGTGTTATGGGGTCCTTTGTATATACGTACAACAAAACGTCATCAGAAACTCTTGTATATCATGACCGTAAGCGTAGATTCGGGGCGCAGTGAACGGCAGCACACCATGGGCGGCGTAGTCAGGCTTCTGCAAGAGCTTCTGAATACTTATGTCTACCGTCAAGTTCATACCACGATCCAAGTGGATAGATGCTACGGATACAAAAGCCCCTCTCTATCCACGATAATATGACAACAGTAGAGGGCGGAGGGCTGTAGAAGGCGACCGGTGACGAGGGACGCTTGGAGATGGTGGGGTAAGGCGAAGGCAACGCGCCCTGCAGTTATCGGCGCTCGGAGCCGCGGGCCGACTCCGTTCCTTGAGCTTGGGAAGCGTGAGAATTTGGCACCCGGGTCGCATGCTTTCCGTCCAAGTCTCGCGCTCTCCAGTGTCAGTCTTCCTCGGAAAATGACAGGGTTTTTGTCCAATTCAGCCAACATGTCTACACTACAACGTCACTAGCCCATCAAAAAACGCCTGGTTCGAGACTTCAACGTCACGATAGTTCCTTCGGCCATCATACTGTACCAATGTCGCTCTCGACCCCGCAATCCCAGAAATGGTGGTCTTGTGCTTATACCAGACGACGTGAACATGATGTCGGCTTTCCTGCTATGTTTTAACCAGTCCCTTTGGCGAAGCGTTACCACCCTAAATGAATGTGGGCGTGCTTTAATCCATAGAATGGGCAAAGAATGACGGCAGAAAAAGATGTTCACATCATCCAGTAGGTTATCTCCACCCTCGCTTCCGCCAAGATATCTTTGATCTCCCATCTCTACGGAATGGGCATCGTAGCACCGCCAGGCAGCAGACAGTCCTCAACAAGTGTAAGGGGAAGGATACCTAGTGATTGTATCGGAGAGGATACTTGGGTTACACGTTTAAGGTGAGTTGACAGCCTCCTTTCGCTTTCACTCTATCCTTGATGTTCGAATAGGAGACATATGCCTCACTGTTCTGTCCGCCCCGGGCATACGTCCTCATCCCAGGCCCTGGTGGTCAATTTCGGACTTCATAGTCGCCGTGTCATCCAGCGCTGAGGTTCATACGACAGGTCAGTCTCTCGTTCAACCGCTGCCCCTTCTTTTCTTATCCCCCACTCCTTATATCAGAGTAAGAGAAGTCTGCAGTCATGCCGGCAAACTGGTCTCACGCATTCATTTCGTCGAGATAGCGTGCGAGCAGCCCCTGCCGCTGTGAGGCTCGCGGAGGTGCAATTGGCATCAAGCGGACCTTCACCGGGTCACTTATGAGTACTCTGTCTCGCTCTGCATTGACGTCTCATTCAAGAACGTCCCGTAAAATCACTACGGAGACGAGCAGCGAGGGAAGGTCGGGGTAGGGGCGAGCGCTAGAGAAGCGGTGATCAGTATGGAGGTGGACCCTGTCATTGCTGCGAAGGGGTAGAGAGTAAGGCAAGGAGGTCAAGTTTGGTGCGTTTATCCTCGCCATCTGGGCTGGGATCTTGAGGTGATAAGACGCACGTGGTATTTTCAGGGATACAATGATAAGCCGAAGTCAGTCAATCGCGCCGTCTACCGAGTGGCTCGACGAGCAGGAGCGGGTCGACCAAGACCAGGAGACGGATACCCCACGAAAGGCAAGGTCGCGTTCTCTGTTTCGATATTCAGAGACGCGCACTTCGCTTTGCTACGAATTTCGTGGGCAATTACGTAAAAGTACGTTTCTCTGCGACCATACCTTTTCCCTCTCCTTGCCTCCACCTCTTAGCGGTTTGGACCACCGAGCGATTCTGACGCCATGGTGATAGGTACACCTTCGAAGCGACAGACAGCCAGTTCTTCACGAACAGAAAGGAGGAAGTGCTTAACGTTATCAATGGGGCCTGCCATTTCGTAACGGTCGATACAACGTGATTGTGCTTCGACTGCAAGCTAACAATCCGCAACTCGCTCCAGGTGTGGATGCACGAGGCCGTTCCTGCGCCGCTCATCGGGGACTCGGGGTATGTTTTCCTCTCGTGAGCTCCGTTTGGCCTCAGCAATGTTCGATATGACAAGCAGGTACGGCAGCTCGCAGGCAATCGAAACCCCACTTACTGAAAACTGTTGCCAGCCCATCTGCACGTGTATTGAGTAAATATTCAGCTTGTGCTGACAATGGGCCGATCTAGTCTGCCCGTGACCGTCATGAGAAGCCCTCAACGCGCGTTCCTGCAAGCTCATGCGAGAGTGACTTCCATGTGGCATCGGGATCCTTCCACCTTTCGTAAGTCCTTCTCCATAGTTTCTGTTACCTTGCGCCAACGTTCGAGGAACCAGAACAGTCCAAGAATAGGTTAGCGCCCAGCTAGAATTTAACTTTGTTTTACTGCTGTGCACCATGCAGTGTTCACCCGTTCGTCGCATTGCACTACATCGTTTCACCTGTACCAGATTCTAATTCTATCCATCAATGTTGTGAAGCGGATGCTTGCAGACGTGTGGGGAAGCGGGGGAACGAATAGTACACGAATTGCTGGGTACTGCGTACCACAGCGCTCAGGAAGCAGGCTTCTTCCGCGTGCGTCTGAGATTATTCTCATAATCACGCCGTATCTCACAAACTCCGTCAGTTACACCAGATTGTTATTCAGTCTTACATCCTCTTGGGTAACATGGATTGATGTTATATCACGACCAACCACATGAATATTGATAGTATAGACTTCATTCCGTGAATCGTCGATCGTGTTGCTCCTCAGATATGCGCAAGCACAGCAACCTCCGTCACCACTTGGTCGCCACTTTGGATAAAGATCGTGAATATAGCACGTAAACGCCCAGGTACCAATGCTCAGTATCAATTCGGATGCTATACCCTTTCCTTCACGTTGTTGGAGAGTCGACAGAAACATCGAGGTTTCATTTTGCTCATTCTTCCGTTTGCTGTGCAGAGGGGTGGCGATGGCGATGTGTTCCGCATGCACTCCCTCACCATGCCGAGAGCAAAGTCAGGCTGACTCTTGTCCAGCGCAGTGGTAAGCTCATTAACTTGTGGCGGAATCTTCCGATGGCTATCCATTCGCCCTCCATCACGCTGGGTATCACGGACCTTATCAAGCTGATGTTAGCCATGACGTTCTCAGCGCTTTCTCGGAGATGTGACCTCCTAATAGGCGCTTATCTGAAGGATCTCGATCGATAGGACGGCGAACTCTACCTCGTGTATCCCTTGGATGTGCGCGCACGCTAATGTAGCAAGATCATGTTCTAAGATTAAACCTTTCCTGTAGGCGAGTGTTACTTCCAGCGCATCATGGCTGGTGCAGTGGCGTCATGCTGTGGACGCATGTCGACCTTGTGGTGAAGCTGCGGCTACAAGACGCCGACGTCTCTCTTGTTTCTCTTCTCCGACGTCTCTCACCAAACGTCTAAGTCAATCCTCAAAAACAAACTCCTCGGAACCTCTACCCTCGACTCAACGGCTCTTCTTCAAACGTGCGATTTAAGCTTAGCTTCAACACGCGTTCATTCTCTTTCACCCATTCCCAGCAGATTCTCAATAGCTCCTACGCGACAAGGTCACATTTCTCTCTTCGGACCTACCAGTTGTTCACTCGCATCTTCGCGCATCTCACTTCACGTCTCTCAATCCATCCTTTTCTCTTCCGTTCAGTTTCTCTTCTTCTTCCCTTGCGTTTCCCCATCTCTCTGCATACGTTTACACAGCACTCTCGTATCACAGAACGACTTCAGCGCTTTTTTTACAGCTTTTTACAGGTTCAGCGTCCGCGGTGGAACATCAAGTTATCTCCGTTGTCTCTTTAGCTTTCTCTCCCACAGATCTTTACAGGTTATCCGTAGGACATCAAGCAAGTATCTAGGTTCTTTCTTACAGATCGTTTGCGGCGTTCGCACGTACGCACTACACTCAGGCCACCCCTTCCCCTCCCCATTTCCCACACGCTTCCACAGGAGTATTGGACGAACGTACAGGTAAGCCTCCTGAGCCTTCAAATAATCAAAGATCGTACTAACGTACCGCTTGCTAGGTTTCAACCATGCCAGACCAGGTTCGCCAAGATGCTTGGACGAAACTCGGGAATCTTTGCGTTCACTCTGCCAAGTTCGACTCTCCACAGCGACAGCCCTTTTCCCAGTGTCTCCAGGGCACACGTGTACAGCTCCTCGATGCTCTCCGCAAAACCATTCGCACGCAGGATCAGAAGATCATTTGGCTTTTCGGAGAGTCGGGGACAGGCAAGTCCGCCATAGCCCATACCCTCGCACAGGAGTTCTCCTCCTCCGACGCCCTCGCAGCGTCATTCTTCTTCTCCCGTCGGCATGACATCCGCAGCACTACCGATCGCTTCATTCCTACCATCGCTTATCAGCTCGGTCTGTTCCATCCACATGCACAAATCAAGATCATCGACGCTCTTGTTCGCGATCCTGCTCTCCTTGATCCCGACCGCTCTCGTGAAGACCAGCTCACCCGACTTATTTTGGCGCCGCTTCGCGAACTTAAGATGGGTTGGAAAGATTCTAAAAGAAAGATACTCATGATCCTCGATGCACTGGATGAATGCGAGCCGGGTCTTGGTAATCACCAGTTGCGGCAGCTTGTTTACTTCTGTGTCAAAGCGCTTCAGGGAGAAAACTCGGCAAATTTCCATGTGGTGATGACCAGCCGCCCGTACGACAGTATCAACGACGCCATGAGTCAAACGAGTTCAATCATACCTCTTGATATCGACGACTATAACGCATCAGAAGATATTGAGCTTTTTCTTCGCTCGTCGTTCAGACGAATGGGTAGTCATCCTTCAGTTCTATGGCCTTCGGAATCCGACCTTTCCCTATTATTAGAGAAAGTGGCTCGCAGGTTTATCGTAGCCACCACAGTGATGAGGATGTTGGAGCAAAAACGCCCGCCGGAACGTCGCTCATTCTTGTGCACTCTGCTCCAGACTGGCCAGCTTAACAGCATTGACGAGTTGTATCGTGGGGTTATTACGACATCGCAGTATTCTTCCAAGGCTGCATGGCTGGTTGTTATTATTCTCTCACTACAGCAGCCACTGTCCACACCCGAACTCTCCCATCTCCTTCATTTTGAGGTGCGACCTATGCTTGACTCCATTGCAGCCATCATCTCCGTCCCACCCACGAACTCCAGAGAGCTCGTCTCAACCTATCACACGTCCATCCGTGATTTCTTTTGGGATGCAACACGCTCCCAAAATCTCTATGTTGATCCAGCGGTCGCCCACAGTCACCTCGCATCCAGCTCTTTAGCCCTCCTTAACGATTCGCTCACGAGAGACATTTGCGGATTAGGCGATGCATCGCTCTTACATTCCGAGATAGAGGACTTTGACATCAAGAGGGAGGCGGCCATATCTTCCGCTCTTGAATATGCCGTGACTCACTGGCTTCATCATCTCCACGAGTCGCCACCCGATTCCAGGCTGCAAGAGCTCCTGTCTTTGTTTGCAAAACAGCACATACTCCACTGGATTGAAGCTGCCTCCATTGTGGGTAGTTTAAACTCCTGCATAGCGTCTCTATTTAAAGCACTTGCACGAGTGAAAGTACGTTAATAACACCTTTTGAGCGCTCTTGTTAAATCTTGCCCTCGCTAGACTTGGCAGTCTATCGCCGATCAAGAATACATCAACGATCTTTTATACGATGCCTATAGGCTCATGAACGAGTTCCTTGATTGCATTAGCGAGTCTTCCCTACATGTTTATCACACTGCCATCCCCTTGTGCCCAACACAGGCAAGCTTAAGACTCGAAGAGCACTACGCTGCGCATGTAAAAAAGGCATCAACAGTCGTCATAGAGGGACTGGATGACAAATGGAGCCCCATTATCCGTGAAATCAGCTTCAATGGTGGCCTCGTCGTTTGCGTTTCTTTTGACGCGCGCCTTGTCGCAGTTGTCAGGAAAACGATCGTCGAGATATGGGACATTACAGCTGGTCTCATGAGAACCTCTCACGATATTTCGGCACGTCGTTCAATTTTCAATTGTGCTTTCGCCAGGGACTCCTCGTCACTTGCATACTCTTCGGTATACCAAAACAGCATCGGACGTTTATCCAATTCGAGTCTTGAAGTGCACGTTTGGTCACTGTCTACCAACATGGTCTTGTTGATTGATAACACGCCGCCTAGCACTAAATCTCTTCGACTTAGGGGGGAAGTTGCTATATCCTCGTTGGGTGATCGTGTAGCCTGGGCGACAGAAGAGACACTTAGTGTTTCTTCAAAGGATAGAAACGGTGCAGCGCAATTCAGCCTTAACTTCAAGAGAAACTTTGGGGATGTTACTAGCTGTCTACCAGAATCCGAGTCCTCTGTTTGCCGTCATCTACTGTTGTCGCCTACGGCTTCTAGCGTTCTTGCAGATCTAGATGGTAGGCTTTGGATGTTCGACTGTCAAAGCGGAGACGCCATATGGTGGAGCGGCTGCAAGATTTACCAGACGACTCGTCAGCAACCATACTTTGCAATCACTTCAGATGAGAAGTATATCGCATGCATCGGCGAATCAAAAGTGCTATTGGCTCCACTCGTGAGACCAATCAGCGCTGATTCGCTGCAAAATCCGCGCTTTCTTCCTGGAGAATCATTGCCTCAATACAGCGTGAAGTTCATTGCAAGCGACATCGTCGAATTTGAGGGTGTATGCTACTACCGCGGCTATATAGGATGGAGTTATACTTCACTGAATGCAAAGGAGACCTCGCTTATTCTCAGAAATGTGTTGGTCAACGGCAGATTCAACATCGAAGTCATTGACCCGTCCCTACTGTCGCCTGGAAACCTTGGCTTTCAGCCGTACTCGAAGTTTGTACGATGCTCCGATGATAGCACATTTGCCGTGATTACATCGAAGACGGACCCACAAGATTTTGTAGGGTTATGGTTTCGTGTCCGAGACCGAAAAGGGTGGAGCTCTCTAACAAAACTTCCATGTGATTATCCGGACGAAATCTCTCGTGCTGTCTGTTCTCCAGATGCATCGCTTATCGCTTTGAATGTGTCTCGAGCCCGGCCCGGGGGCAGCCTAGGACGCACGGGAATATTCGTTGTTTACCGTTTGCATCCGCCGGAGTGCATTTTCTCCGAGCCTCTAGATCATGCAAAGAGGTATCGCTCGGTCTGCTTCTCGCCAACATGTTCTTACATTGCTATGATGGATTATGCCGACTCGGAGCAGGAACCAGAGACCGACGATACCTTCACTGTGCGGGAGATTCCGAGCTGTAGCGAAGTTTACAGGTTTTCCAAGGCTCGAAACCAGCATTGGGGCGAGGAAAGCACCCTGCACTTCCCTAGAGGCGGTAAGATAATCATAGCAAACCGCAAAACTAATATCCTTGGTCCCGACCGGACCAGAACCACTCAGTGGAACATGATCGAGTTAAACCCTGCATTTCCGCACCTTCTACGTAAGGACTATTTGACTCCTTATAAGTTTGATCTCGACTTCGGCTTTATCCCCATCGATACTAGTCTATCCCCACAATTCGACAAAGCACTCGTTTATGGGAAAGACACCATGGGGACACACATGTATGTCCATCTTGAAGAGCGTCAACAGCCACGCTGGCGGAGCAACCTTGAAACACGACAGTTTGAAGTCATCCACAGAGATCCCGAAGGAACCTTCTGCGATACGGAAACCTGGTCTATGGTCCGGCTTCGTCCAGACGGGTGGCTATGGGATGGAGGACGCAGACTCACTTGGATCCCTCCTCGGTACAGACCCACTGTTCCGTATGAGAAGGATCCCGCCGAAGGTGGCTTGGTACGTAAATTGGGAGGTAGCATGATCCTCATCCTGTCATATAAACGCGAGGACCCTTTGATTCTCAAATATCAATAGGTATGCTCCTTTCCCCCATGTATTCACCTATAGTTGGCTGATCGTGACTCGGCTAGTCCGTCCAGGGGGCAGCATACATTGATTTGTGGCAAATACTTTCTAGGTTGTGTAGGATTTATGTAGTCTTTGACTTTTATTTATGTTTGTACGTCTAGTCGTTCTATGAAAGATACGCAGTGCCTCGAATTTAACCATTATCGCGCCGAAGACTGAGACGTGCTCAGTTTCTTATTCGGACTAGGACGGAGTTGGTCAGGCGCTTCGAAGTAGGAACAGTGCGGCCGGAAGCAGAGTATCGCACTTTTTGGACCGATGATCCCTATCACGACCTTGTCGATGGCAGGGATAGCTCAATGTGCCTCCCCTACTCTGCCAATCAAGTCAGACTTGATCTTTTACGACCTGAGATTATCCGTACCATGGTATATTAACTGGTGAGTGGTCCCCGAGAAGATGAAGTAACAATTGAGGCCGAGGAGAAGCATAGGGTATGACGAGGACTATGGCCTCAAGAAATTGGCAAATTGAGAATATGCTTTCAGTGTATGTGGTAACGAAAAAGACATCTGCTCCAGAATAAGGAGGAGGAAGTACGAGATACGACAAGCGGAGTGAGAAAGTCGACCACGCAGATGTACCAAGACGAGCCCTGACGGGCCTCACCCATCCGAGTCAATCATCAAATAACCTGGAGTGCACGTTCTGCGAGGATTGGTACATAGGCCTGACGTGTCTGCAGGAACACGACTACCTTTCTCATCCCAGCAATATACGCGGCCGCTGGAGTCGGAAGACATGCTCTCGCCGCCGATTCCCACCTCGCATTTGGTGCACCGTTCTCCGCTGGGGAAGGTAACGTGCAAGACAGGGCTCCGGTGGCCTGTATCTGAATCGTGTTCGCCAGATAAGCATGCGCCAAGGGGACGGGAGAAGGATTTCAGAGGAAGAACGTACGATCGTCCAACCCGTTAACTATCACGCCAGGGGTCCAGTTTGGGAGAGTAGCGCAGCATCCCAACGCTAAAGCCTGGGCTTTTCTCGTTAGCCGAAGCTTTTCGGGTGGTGTAGCTGTGCGCACCTGTACATGACGGAATCCTTATCTGGGACGAGTCTTGTTACCATCAGCACGGGCGGAGATAATGGAGGAGTTTATCAGGCTAAGCAAGCTATCGCAAGGATCTCGTTCATGCATATCGAGCCGACAGATGTCGAGGGACGTAGCGAGGTGGGATCAAAGCCATGCTATGTGAGGAACAGAAGAACGGATCGGTTATCTGGCTTCGTGCCGAGGGAAAGTGCGCAGAAAAGGAGATGGGAAGACGGTGGCGACAAGATCGGGGACCAAACAACAACGGTGGAAGACTCAACGAAGAGGAAGAACGCACATGAGAAACCATCAGCCCAGGATCGTGCACCGTGCGTTCGCTCTTCGCAGTTTGCAGAACACCGCAGCCGGTCCCACAACCTCATCTAACGGCGTCGATGTTAACGTTCATCGTGTGTCCACCTGGAGTGTACTCCGCGCAACAAGTGGGGTCGTCCAAGGTGCGCGCTGTGCCACGTTGAGAACAGGACGCAATGCAGGGAGAAGGGATTATGGGATGCGCAGTAGAATGCCCGATGAGATTGCCTTGACTGAGTGGGAAAGCGAACCTAAGGAAAGAGATAATCAAACATTAGTCACCCGCATGGGCCATTTGTAGTCAACCATAGCGAAGTATACAGAGGATCGAGTTATCCGAGAAAAGGCGGGCAGCCGAGCCGACCAAGACAGCAGAAGAGCGAAGTGAAGGGGAGGCAAGGCAAGAACCACGAAGTAGCGATACTCACAGAGGACAAGCACCCGAGACAGTCACATCGCCCGCTCCCTCGCCCATTCAGCGCATCTCCATCTATCTTTCCATTCTTGCAACCCGATATTGTCGCCAGCTGTCGTTTTCCCGTTTCTTGATTCTCCTCATATCCGTCGTCGAAGAAAATGTGTAGAGGTGTTCATCGAGGAACCATGGTGTGGACGTATGTCGATAGGCCATGAGAACTGGGAATGTGTGGATTCAACGCGAAAGCACACTTGGAACTGTGAAGGGTAGGAGTTAGACTTTAGATCGCGGAGGGACGACGATCGAACGGTGGAAACTTACCGAGTCGAGACTCGAGACGTGTATAAATCGCTTACGGGACATAGGGCTCGTTGATCATTCCCGGATCCAGCGTGAAGTTCGGCGGGAAGCGATTGACGAAGAAGACTCATGTCTACTTGGTGATAGCGCTGTGCGTGCGGGTTACTCTATGGTCGCGCTTGATCCTATCGTGTAAAGGAGGCTACGAGAAGATAGAAGATGAAGGGAATGAGATCCTCAAGTCGCGTGCTACATATCACCACTGTCCGTTTATCCTCCCGTGTGAGCACTAAAGAGAAAGACACACATTCTGTGAAACGTGTTGGGGGTGACGCTGATCGCGAATACTAGCGCGGTATCGTCCGCCTTCGTTGCAACCTCACGGTAGCGATGCGAACGTTCTGAGACGTTGCTTGGGGTAAGCTATGAGCTTCTTGCCGCCATGATCAGGGTCCTAATTCGCAACGGCCAGGGATAGTAATCAGACGTTCTGCACGCGATGGTAGCAAGGCTGTGGACGAACGCCATCGAGCCAGACAAGGAGGTCTGTCCGTCTAAAAGAGACCGGGGCAGGAGGCAGCTTTCTGCTTCTGAGCCGTCAGCGCCCCAGCCGTGAGAATTCGGCATCCGGCCCGCATACTTTCGGTAGTCCCCGGATGGCGCGTCTGTCCCTCCTTTGGTGTTCTCCAAGGTAGCGCGCTTTGGTGTGTTCGACATGTCCGTCGTCCAAGTATGTCTTTGCTGTAACGACATCCTGCCCTATCATTCGCGACCTTTCATCGTCGAGAAAGCAATCACACCGGCGTCGCCCACAACCCTGCAATTCCCAGCATGGGCGATCTTGCGTTTATACCCGACGGCTTGAAGGTGATTTCCGCAACACGTCCCTTCGGCGCTCGAACGCTGCACATACATCCACGCTTATCGCCGTTTCGGGACATCAGTTTTGGACCAAACGCCGGCCAAATCATCCAGCGCTGGAGTCTGCACGACAAGTAAGTCCGTGTTCTATGCCTGTATCTCCTCCCCCTCTCTAGTACCAACTCAGCACTTCGATATCAGGATACGGGAACGCTGCCGACATGTCGACAAACTCGTCCTACACGACTACCTCGGCGAGATCGTGCGCGAGCAGCCCCTGCCACTACCCCTTTGGAGCGCGTGGGGGTATGACGGACACCACGCGGAGATGCAACGGGTCATCTACGAGTACGCGGTCTCGCTCGGCATCGACGTTCGGTTCGGCCACACTGTGCAGGAGTACTACGAGGATGAAGCGGGTAGGAAGGCTGGGGTGAGAGTGGAATCGAAGGGGGAAGTGACAAGTATGGAAGCGGACTTGGTTGTTGCGGCGGACGGGGTGAAGAGTAAGGCAAGGAAATATATTCTTGTGCGTTATCCTCATTTCTTCCATGAAAATAGTGGGCTAATGAGACATGCGTGATGTATTTAGGGTTACGACGACAAGCCGCGATCATCAGGCTATGCTGTCTACCGCGCGTGGTTCAACGGGCAGGAGCAGGGCGTCGACACGGATCCGCTGACGGACTACCTCACCAAGGGCGAGGACGCATTCTTTGGCTGGATAGGCAGGGACGTGCAGTTCCTCGCGTCCTCAGCCAGGAAGGAAATCTCGTGGGTTATCACGTTGCTTCGCATCCGCATCTTGTCCGTATCTCTCTTCTTCCCTTCCCCTATCTCCTTCTCACCCCCTCTCTCTCTTCATCTCTCCATCGCCATTTCTGGCACAACACGCGTTCTTGAATCATATCGATGCTGACGGTATGTCTGCGGGAACAATTTCGAAGAAACAAACAACTGATCCTAGATGGACGATGTAATAATTACTTGCTATAATCGATGGCCAGGAACTCCATTGCTCCGCGACTCTTGCGAAAGCGCTGTCGTGCATCGGCTGGAATCTCAAGAACTCATCCCCAGTCAGAATCGACTCTTTGGGAATCGGTAAAAAAGTGTCTCTCGCATAGATTTTTCGAAGTAGATTATTTATAATTGAATGGCATCGTTTTTCATCTTCAAAAGATAGTTTATTTCGAGTGATGAAACCAGTAAAAAACTATGCGAAACTATGCTAATCCATGGGAATCCATCCGAGATGAAACGAAACGAAAACCATAGAAAACCATAGCAGGAGAGAGACTCGCATAGAAAACCAGGTCGACAGAGTCAATGCAAGTCGGGCGCGGGAGCAGCAAACGTCGGGTCAGAGCATAGCATAGCAGAGAAAGCCATAGAAATCGCCAGAAAACGGGTCTAGGCGGGAATCGGCAAGAAATTGGGTAGACGAGCAGGGCGCCGAAGTCGTCGAGCAGGCGGCATAGAATACAAGGCGCGAATGGTCAAGAAATTGAGCTGTCGTGAGGCGGGTATTGGATCGTGTAACGGGGCTACTTGCGAGAGTTGAACTTCTTCCGGAAAACCTAAGAAAACGTTAGTATAGTTGATACCAACGAATAGAAGGCTTACTGCTTTCTCCGTGGCGGGTAACGCCTTCCACTCGGTCTGGTACTCCTTCTGGATACCTGTGCCTCCGTTATCCTTCCACCACACCTCGTCACACCACAAGCTTCTGTAGGCGCCGTGAGCAAACGCGTTATTGGTGGTGCGTATACACTTACTGGGCATTCGTGACGTCTGGCTTCTTCATCGGCACGCGAGTGCGCGGCTTCTTGGTTTTGGCACCGGCTGTGTCGTCACAGCTACGTTTGGCGGGAACTGTGGCAGTGGGCGTGTTTGTGACTGCGTTGTTTAGTGGGCTGGTCATTTGGGAGGGTGTCAAAGCCGGAGCGCGCGGGGACAACTCAGCGGGTGACGAAGGACTCCTGCCCACTCCTTCATGATGATCTCCGTCTTCGTCTTCGGAGTCCGAGTGGGGGGTTGGATCGCCTTTGTCACTAGAAACTAGGTTAGAGTAATCTACACATAAATTGATTGCATACCAGGGGTCTTCTAGCTCTAATGGAGCCAAACGACGCGTGGGAGAAGGAGACGTTGGAGCAGTCGAGGGGGAAGCACCAGATGATGGAGGAGATGAACCGGCCTCGGAGGGAGAGCCGGCGCCGCCAGCTGGAGGTGTTTGAGCCGTAGGAGGTATGGCGGCCTCCGGGGGAGAGTGGGCACTGCCAACGGGAGGTGTCTGAGCCATGGGGGGTATGGTGGTGTCGGTTGGTGAGGTGATGTCGGGAGATGTCTGAGCTGCAGGAGGCGCAGTGGACTCGGGAGGAGGCGCGGAAGCTTGAGATGGTAGAGTTACCGGACTCGGAGTGGATTCCTATACCGAGTAAGAGTCCTCGAGAATAATGAGAGCATACAACGACATACCTTTGACCCCTGCGTTTGAGCTATCCTCTTCGACTTATTCGGCTGAATAATACAAGTGTATCAATCAACAATGAACAGAAAGAAAAGGAACGTACCTTCTTACGCTTCTCCGGAGGTCGCGTGTCCGGTATAACACCCCTATCCATCCACCTCCCAGCAATTTGAGGGAACTTCGCCTTCGCGATATGGCGAACCTTCCAATGGCGGTGACAGAGACGAAGGACAGGGAACAGCCGCTCCATGGTATTGATCCACCAAACCTGGTCTTCGACGGCAAGCTTTGTGAATGTTGCTCTCCCACGACCTTCATTGCCGAGGAACTCGAAGGCATCTTGAGCCATGTTGAGGACGTCGATGACAGCCTGGCCATCGACGCACTGGCCGTCCGTCTTCTGCAAGTAGGTGTGAGTCTCGTTAATGCCCTGACGCAGCCGGTAAGTCCCCTTTTTCCCCTTCTCCTTCTTCTGCCCCTGTTCATTCTCATCGCCAGCCATTCCCTCGCCAGCCTTGGCATCGCCATCGCCCTCGCTCCAGTTATTCTCGTACCACGTCTTGACGCAGGGGTAGTCCTCGGCTTCAAGGTGGAGATCACCCTCGAAGAGCAAATCCCCTGACATCTTGTCTAAACCCGCCTTGTCGGTCTCAAACAGAAGTCGAGCGCGAGTTGCAAAGTCCGTAGGAGGGACAGAAGCGGGAGGGACAGGTGTCAGCGCAGAAGATGTGAGGCCCTCTCGGAGATCTTTGATAGTATCCCTACGAAAGTAGTGCATACAGGCAACGTAATTGACTTGTCCAAAATAGACTCACCGATATGCCTCACATTTCCCATTGAGTGTCCGGATTTGGTCCCGAAGCTGTTTATTGGCCTGGCGCAGCTCACGAGGCGTTGCCAGGATCTCGTCATCAGACACGTCCACGGGGATCTAGCTGCATATGGTAGCCCGTACCTCCCAATATGAAATTATGAACCTTACCTCGGCAACACTGCCACTGGTGGACTCTAGAAGCATCTCGTCACTAGCCATATCCGTTGGACACAATGAGAAAGGTTAGTCGGGGAACACGGATGACAATGAGCACACAACAAAAGAGAGTTTGCGCGCTGACCTGATCCTATCTGTGCAGTTCTCGGCA